AAGAACTACTACTTAGGTACCTGATTACCTGTAGTAGGTTCCATGGATAAACTTGCCATTGTTGGTAAAGATGATTGATCACGATACAACTTTCTGCTTAGAACTATGGGTTCCATCGATCATAAGTGTCAAATAATAATGGACAAAGGGTGTAATGACCTCCTGCATGTTTTCTTTATAGAGGTACTCAAAGATAGGTCAGCAGAAACTTATGAACTCGAAGAACGGTCAGTGCTCCATTTCATTCGCCCTACCTGGAAACGAGCGTGTTTTATTCCCTTTTTGATTGACTCATCTGAGAATCTTTCTTTCAAAGATACCTTCTCCGTTGTAAGAACTAGTGACATACTAAGATTTCTTCATACCTACCTATAAATATTATCTCGTGCAGGTAATATGCATTATTATTAGAGCTTTTCCATTTACTTAATTATTTATTTTATTTATCTTTATTGTACTCGTAGAAAAAGAAAAGAAACAGCCTATTCCAAGTACTGAAATTAAATACATGTAGCTTAAAACTAAGTGAATTATACATTGGCCTTTAAAGTTTCTAAAACTAGTTTTTACTATAGACCAGTAACCTAGTTTGCCTTATCCCTCGCGTTGAAAGAAAATCTATTACAAGAATAATAACATCAAAACTTTGAAGCACAAAAACCAGCCTTAGAGAGTAATAAAATTGGAACATAATGAAAGAAGTTTTTGAAGCAAATATACGAAAGAAATGCGATCATTATTCTTTATTTCCAACTTGATCGTAAATGTTTTCAAAGCCTGAATGATTTATGCGTAGTAAAAAGTGAGTAAATAAACTGAAATCCTGTGAAGTGCTCCAATCTTTTCAGTCAAACGACGGAATAAAAGAAGCCCTTCGTATTAAGATAAAAAGCTCAGCGCAAAAGGTACCTGACTGACCCGACCCTCGATTTCTAGGCTAGAATAGCCAATACACGACGAGCTGGAAAACTTAGATTGGGAATAAAAACCATCACTATCAATCACTAGGGTCAATAAATGTTTCGTGAGCCCTATTGATAGATCAGAAAAAGTCGGGCAATGTCGTGCAACGTTGCCAAACATCTCGTGGTTTCAAAACATCATCCAGTCAGCTGGGGGAAATATGAGATGACATGACTGGCAATGGGCAGTTAACACTGTACCTACATTTAAATTATGTAGGGACATAAAAGTAGGACTTACCTACCTTTTCTTTGTTTGTTAACCCTAAGTATTATTTATTTAGGTGTAGAAGTTCTGTTTGAGCATTCCTGATACACCTTTTTGCTACTCCGTAATTTATTGTTTCAGTCTGAAAATAAGACAGTATTATGCCCTCATAAAATTACCCGCCTCAAACCAACTTATTCGCAAATGACATAAGTTATAGAAATGTTTAGCAGCAAGAAAAGCTATTAGAGTCGTGACTGAGCATCACAATACTGGAAGATTAGGCATTCCACACTCGTAAAAGATAAGACGAATACCGCGCTAAATGTATAGAAAATAAATATAAGCTTTCACACATGAATAGGGGCGATTATTACTAAGGGACGACTGTGTTTGTATTATAGCAGCGCAATGTTTATGAATGTAATAGAGCTGTGAAACTGTAATATGTTTCGCGGCATATTTTATGCAAATCGAAAGAAAGAAGAAAACAAGTCACCTTTCAAAAAGTTTGGCGCTCTTTAAACACGATCTTCATATCACTTATGGCATAATCTTAAAAAAACTAAGTTAACAATAATTCGATATCTTTTGCCTGTTAAAATCTAACATAATTCTTTTACCTATACTTATATTACCTTGGCTAGCTAGATTAGGCTGAGTTGCACCACGTAACTTTAACGGTAACTATAACTACCTTGCATGGAATTTGATATATTTTTGACGTTTGTTAAAGTCAAAGTAAGATGGTGCAACCCTGCCTAAATGTAATGAACGTCTTGTGAAATTATTAAATAACTAGTCTCCTCTAATTAAACAGGAGTCCAAACATTTTTCTTAATTAGGTAGCACCAAACCAGCGTGTTTTAACAAAATGGCCGCTTCAGTGACAGATTTACCTTCAGAATAAGCACTAAAGTTTGTCGCTAAATTAAATTCCCTCCCCAATCCGAGGACAAGCCCGGGCAAAAGTCATTTTGATGTAACGCTTGCTGCCTGGGCAATAAAGGATCGGAATATTTTTTACCTTTAATTACCTGACCTATAGGCCTGTAGCACACTGCTGGGCAGCGTGAATATGGCGCAATGTAACGAGAGGCAACCTAGCTTAAACGTTATTTCATGAAGTTATAGAGTTATTGCTATTTTCCTATAACGTGTAAATTCAGTACCTTCTACATAATAGATGCGTACCCACTATCTACCTATCTACCTTTACCTTACCTTTACTTTACCTTCGACTTAGAAATGATGTAACGAAATACACATGATTGTAATTAATCTGAAATCGTATATTATGTCACAAGGTTTATAATTTCAAGCATACCTACCTAATATACATTAGTCAAATGATTAATTAATTAATAATGTCCTATTTGGAAGTAAGGTAGTCCTGTGTGCTTACCATGAGTTTACGTTAGGTGTGCTCGCTAGCGACTGCGTAAAAAAATGACATTAATTGTATGACATATTGTGCAGCGCTCCTAGCGGCTACTTTCAAGAAACAAAATTTTCATAGAGATTTTTGACGTATTCGCTAGCGAGCACACCTAACGTAAACTCATGGTAGGTACACTGGTATAGTCGGAAAATGTGTCAGTTACGTCATGCTTAGGTATCTGTGTTAGAACTTTATTCATGCTTGTTAAATCTTAAACCCTATCCACTTGAAATAAAGGTACTTATTGCTTACTGTATTATGTAGTAGTGTAGAATATACACAAATATGTATATTAGTAGGTGTCATTTATGGCTTTAACAGAGCTCTCGTGCAATTTGTGCGAGAGTGGATTCTGCAAATGGATTCAATTAATTTACTTATTGATTCTGTCATCCAATAGAAAGGTACGAGTACCTACATAGTAATATCAAACTAAGGGCTGATTTTTCAATCGTCAGATAACTTTTAACTGAAGAATAAGTTTGGCACATTGACAGTTTCAGTATGGGAAATATGTCAAAATGACAAGGTTATTCTTCAGATTAAAGATATCTGAGGATTGAAAAATCAGCCCTAAATATATTCAAAATATGGCCTCTAGCTTTTTTATTTGGCATACCTAGTTCAAAGAAATAGATAAGAAATAACGTTTATTGCTAAATATTAAAGATAATATTTGTATTTTCCCGACATAAACTTCTTTGTATTAAATAAGTACGTACATATGAAAATGTTTAGTACAACAACATTATCGAAAAAGAAACAAAACAATTTATCATTTAGCTTTATCTTATGACTCTACTAACTTTTGTAGAGTTAGTAGAGACGTCTTATATATCCGATCAATTTAACAAAAAACGTTTCAACTCTTCATTAACTTGATTCGTCGATCTATCGGGAAAATAATACTAAGAGGAATATTTTTAGAAAAATCTGGCTTTTAGGTCGAAAGTCTAATCTACCACCGCCACTCCAAAGAAATAAACAAAAGCAAACCTTCCCAATGAAAACAAGTACCAAAACGGTTTATTTGCACAAGAAAATTCTAACACGGTTAATTTAACTGAGACCCAAGTCCTATTCAAACGAAAAAAGGGTTGGGTAAAGATAGATTGATACACATTCCCACAATCACTCGTATAGATCAATATGGGTGCGTTTTTGACTCTATCAATGCAAACTGAAAGGAGTCAATAATTTTCAACTTTCAACTTATTCTAGTAAAGTTATTAGACTATAAATATTGTAAAAGTTCTGAGCAAGCTTTTAATATCGCTCTCATAATAATAGGTACTGGAGACAGTACATTTAAGCTAAACCCAGTGGCATTTACCTAATGTAGAGCTAAATGGCTTAATAGAAGATAAATAAAAATGGTGCCATTTTAAAGATAATTAAAATACTTTTTTTTAAGATTATTAATAATTTGTTATTTCACAAAATACTAATACTCCCGTTAGCACCTCGTACTAAGTATCTTGTAGCTTTTATCACGAATGAGCTCACCACAATAGTCACGCGGCGGCGCCGCGGCGGGGACCGAACCCGCGTTCCCCGGATCACGAGTCGGTCAGTCCGACCCATTCACCGTTCAGCTACCGTGGCTTCTAACTTTAAATTAATACCATAGATAATACATAGTTAATTCAGTTCTTAGATCGCTCTGAACCAAACACAACGGGCTGATTCCATATACTTGCTCATAAGTGTAGTTTGTGTTAGATGTTAGAGTTCTAACGAATATTAGTAGAACCTAAGGTACTACAAAAATGTGAGGTCTATGCTGGCATACACACACACACGTACTGTAAAATTACGTAGTTTTACCCACGTAGCCGAAATAAATCCTCCTTATACGAATTAGTGACTGAACCAGACCGCCCTTATAAATCGCGTCTGTCAACGCTACGTCGATAAATAATAATCCCACTTAAACATAATAATAAATCCGAGCACAGCCGTTCCAATCTGAACCCTATTACAGGAGGATAGAGTCCTCCAACCTTCACCTGGCAATTCGCTTCACCTTTGTGAAGGTGTTTGTTCGCATACCCTCCCTCACCGCTTCATACGATTCAATAACCGTAATTTGGTAATGTTCGAATTTCAGCGTTCTTCGATAAAAAGAGGTTATCGAATCGAAATAACGACGAAAATATTAATTAAAATGTAAATATTCCCTTCTTATATAAATTTCCATCTGCCGGTTTCATTATTAAATTAAGCCTGATTTCCAGGTAGCTGATTTATCTTAAGAAATGAAATCGATTTCGTTTCAATTGACTTGAACCCACAAAAAGACCGAAAGATAAAAGTAGCGTATAAAAACAACTAGTAAATAACATGATTGCACAAGAAAGGCATTATGATGTTGAAAATGAACACTTACCGCGCACTCCGGCTCCGAGATATAAGACCCATTACTGAAGTACTTCTTCGGGCACTCAGACCAGGGCAGCTCCGCCTGGAAGCTCTGCGCGAAGTAGAACAGGCACCAGGCTATGATCGAGTTGTAGTACAGCGCCACGTTGAACGACACCACCGCAGAACTGATCCCAATGCCCCCCAGGTAGGGAGACACCTGGTGCCACACGCCGATAGCCCCCTTCCTCAACCTTTGCCCAATTGCAAGCTCCAAATAAAATATCGGAATCCCCTCGATAGCCAACATCACGAAATACGGAATCAAAAACGCTCCGCCCCCGTTCTTCTGAGCCAAATACGGGAATCTCCACACGTTGCCCAACCCGACGGCATATCCAACAGTCGCCAGTAAGAATGTAAGCTTGCTGTCCCAAGATTCTCTCTCAACCCCTCCTCCTTCAGGCTTCAAGTTGCCTCTCTCTTCCACAGAGCTGGCTTTGCTTGTAGGCGTGTCGGGGGACCGTCTATTCGGGCTGGTGTCCTCAAAAGCCTCGTTGGTGGCTCCATACATGACGTGGGCGCGGTGCGACGGATGCCCATTCTCCATGGTCACCAGTCTCCCACGCAACTCCTTCATCTCCATCCGATCTATCGAACGCTGGGCATACAGATCCCGCGAACTCTGTCGCCTCATCAAATGTGCCGTATTCGCCATTTTATCTCTTCCAATTAACCTATTAAACCTCTAATTAAACCTTACTTTAATTATTGTCGTAAGCTTTATTGTCATTTTATTTCTAAATACTTATCTCTAAAAGGACTCGTTATCAGAATCGTGACACGCGATGAGAACCATTAAAACGTGAATAAAGGTTATGGTGATTTGTATTATGTCAGACCTGATTGATATTATTGATTGACTGAACATTTTACACGGACACTGTTTAATGATTGATCACTGATATCAGATAAGATCGATTTTAGTTATTTTTCACTGGGTTTCACATTATTTTGAGGATTTTTTTGTGAGATCGGGTGGCGAATGGCGTCCGTCCTGGAGGCAGGACGTCACTGGCGGGAAAATCATGGGGTGAGTGAGCGGGTTTAGGGCGCATGCGCGTCAAAATCGCCTTTGTTGAACTTACACCCACATTTTGAAGGGATTTAAGCCCGTTGCAATCACGGCCGAGGACCAGCATGGAGTAATGCTTGTAAACGAAAGTCAGAAGCCATTAGCCTTAATTTGTGGGAACGATTTGCTGTTTCAAGTGGGGGTTAAGGTTGGAGCACTTCGGATTCCAAGTCTCCGGCGGTCACTGAGGGTCGTAGAATTTTACGCTAAGTAATCTGTTAACCCTACTAATATGTAGGTACACCCTACAGCCGTGTCTCAAGCTCTTATTAGAGGACAGTCAGCAAAAAAGTACATAAAAATAACCAAATCTTTAAATTTGTTTTTGAGAAAACAAGAAACCGTATTGACTAGTAGCAATTAAAGGGGAAGAGACCTCAAAAAATTCAAGGCAATGAAGTCAAGCGTTTTAAGGATAAAAAATTACTTTCTGGGTACTTTTTTGTAGTATTAATTAGTCGTTAGTAAATGCTCTACATCTACAAAAGAGTAGTACCTTGACTCTCCCTCCAGAGGCCTGGAAAAGGGCTTGACAAGCCAGCCGCTATAAATAATGATTCATCTAAAATCACAACTAAAACATTTTTAATTGACTTTTGGACGGCAAAAGTTTGATAAATTACCCTATATAAAAAAGCTTCGCTGCTGTCCGTACGTGAGCCAGCGAAATATAATGGAGGGACATTGATTTATTGTGAGCAAAGAAATTGAGGCCGAGATTTATATTAGGGGCCCTGATCCACATTCTTCATACACGTATATTACCTATATTGCTTTAATTAATGTCTTATTAACATCACATTATGTAACGGTAATCAAACGTCCCCTTTTTTAAGTCGGGTATACGCCAGACCACCTACCACCTATCTAGTCACCATCCATTGCACTTTCTGAATTCATTCACAGACTATTTTGTCACCGTTTTTTAAACGTAACTGTCTGTAAATTATTGGCCTGACTACTCTGACTAGGAATCGAACCTGGGGTTGCTGAATGTAAGACGATAACCCAAGTGGTGTTATCCACGCTACCTGACGCTCTATTATGATATTTTTGTTCATAATAAAATGTGTACTTATAACACTTATGAAAGTAATCTTATTTTAGCAAGTAGGCTTTTTAAAAAGCACTTTTACACGTCCCAGTATTAACCTAACCACTGCTATAAAATACAAATCGCTTAAACTACCTAAATACTGTTCAGTTGACAAGGGTAGGTAATACAGTTATTTTAGGTAATCGGATCACAGAGCTATTAATTGACTGTTCATAACTGCCAATTTGAATTCAAAGCACGTAACAATGTGTAGTGCCAATTGGTGAATACAAACTCTACGAATAGTTTGATAACTCGAAAGTTTATCAACACAGAAATTCAATAATTAACTTAGGGTGTCTTGAGGTAGGTGAATATTTGACGGTGTGGTTTGAATCATGTTAAGAGTAAATTTACTCGTATCTTATCAAAAAAAAAAACAATCAAACCAATATTTTCAGACGTAAAACTCTTTATGAAAATGTTATATTGATTTATGCGGTAAAGATATACTCAAAAAAAGCCAGTGTGCGGTTATTATAAACCCAAAGCCAGTGAATTAAAAACCTCTTTAGAGCAAAGTGTGTTAAAAAGGGTTTTGTAGGTAAATAAGTGTTTTAAGTTATGAATTTTCATAAAAAGTCTTTCCAGTGAACAATATTTAATTTGGCACCGGGCCAGCCTCACACACAGCGTGGGAGGTCAACCTCCCTAGGTTGTGAAAACATTTCTTTTGCTAGTATTTTTCAGGGGCTACAGCTGAAAAATTCGGGTCTTTTGAACGAACATTCGCAGCCAGTATGAATTGGTTTTTCTGTGACGTCACGTTGTTTGTCGTCATTTAAAAATGGTGCTAAAAACTTGAGACTAACCTTTTAAACGTAATCACCATCATTCTTATAGATACAAAGGGTAAAATCTACATAATAGAACTTCCAAAACTGGGAGAATTAGTATCGTTTTCTTCTACAAATAAGTTACTGAATTTACAAAAGGTTACTTTTGTTTACGACTGTCCCAAGGCCTTATTGAAAACTTACTTTCCGCCCGCGGCTTCGCCCGCGTGGAATTTTGTCTGTCACAGAAAAACTTCATCGCGCCCGTCCCTGTTTCAAAACCCAGGATAAAAACTATCCTATGTCCTTTCCCGGGACTCAGACTATCTCTATGCCAAATTTAATCAAAATCGGTTCAGTGGTTTAGGCGTGAAAGCAAGACAGACAGACAGAGCATTTATAATATTAGTATAGATAGTAGGTATAGATTAGATGCAAAAAGTAAATAAACCCTTATCGCTACGAGTATCAAAGCTATAATAACTCTTCCCGTCCTAGAGTTTCCACTTAACAGTCCCGGTTCCGATTTATTCCTCTTCTCTCTCTCTCCTTCTTTTTTACTCACTTTTTGTGTCGCCTGCATTAATGAGTGTTCGCAAGCGTTGTTTTTGTTCGGGGAAATTTTCAGCGGTGCGTGGGAATTTTTTTGAAACTACCATCGTCTTGTAAACAATGTACCTAAATACGAACACATACAATTTGTGATCATTTAAGTTTAAAATAGATTAAAGGTTTCGTTTCATCAAAGCCTAATTATGCAAGGTTTGGCTAAATTATGGAAGCATAACAATGTTACGAAAAATTTTTGTACATTAATTACTATAGTGCGTTTTAAAAATTACAGCTAATTATTTCTTATAGGCCTTATTAAGCGAACTTTCCCCACTTAAAATTCATTCCTAAACAGCTAATATAACGCAGATCAAAGCCCCCTTGTATTGTTATTAGTCAGTCGGTTCACGTCTCGACGCCCGCAGAACTTCGCCGCCTCCTTGCATATTCATTAGCACTTCTCCGCCGTTTGTCGCCGCTATTAATGACATAATTCGAACTAGCACGAATGGCTTTGTTTACGATTATCCAAACCAGGGGTTCCCAAAGTGGAGGGCGCGTCCCCCAGGGGAGGCGCCCAAAACCTTTAGAGTAGGCGCACACCGTTGATTTTTAGTTGGCCGATAGTTGTGCCCGATTTTAAATTGTATGAAGAATCGGCCAAATCGAATCGGCGTAGTGTGCGCACTTCCATACATATCCATACTGATTAACTGCCCGACTAAGCTATCGGCCGACGAAAAATCAACGGTGTGCGCCTACTCTTAGCCTAGGCGCATGACTACAGACTTTTAGTTGGCCGATAGTTGAGCCCGATTCTAATTTGTATGAAGTATCGGCCGATACCACATCGGTGTAGTGTGCGCACTTCCATACATAGGTACCCATACTGATTAACTGCCCGATTAAACTGTCGGCCGACGAAAAATCCGTGGTCTGCGCCTAGGCTATTAAAAAACCTGCGACTGCTGAGAGAATAATTATGTACATTCCAGAGCCCCTCAGAGCAGAGCCCCGATTACGGTAACTTTTAACGTCTACAATCCAGACACGCTTCATCGATTCTGCGATACGATTGGTCAAAACAGCTGACGTACGCTGTTGAACGACCAATCGTATCGCAGAATCGAGAAGCGTGTCTGGATTGTAGACGTTAAAAGTTACCGTAATCAGGGCTCTGACTGCTTGATACTACCAATAAATAATCTGGACTGGAGGATGGGGGGCGCGGATTTTTTTTATGTTCGAAAGGGGGCGCGTCTCAAATAAGTTCGGTAAACGCTATTTTAGCATCTATCTATCCCGTCTATAAGGGCCATTCTTAAATTTGTGCCAATTTTTTTTAAAAAATTAAAGATTTTTTTTTGAACTTTTTGCGATGTGTATCGAAAGTATAAACCAAAAGCATACTTTTGATGTATATGGACAACCTTAAAGCCCTCGGAAGGGAAACAAAATAGCCTACGTAAACACGGCTGTGACACTGCATGACACGGATGTGACAGTGTTACATTTTTACTGTAAATAATAATATTTATGTTGTTAAATTTATATCATAATAGTTTAAATTGATTAACAATAAAATACACTAAATTCGTTTCATCAACAAAGGTGTTATTTGGTAATATGTACTTTTTTCTGAACATCCAAAAATTTAATTAAAATTGAGATCAAAAATACCGAATCTTTGAGGTAAATATCAATAAAATGGCTTATAGTCCAGTCAATAAAGCATTATAGATGGAAATCCGTGTAACACAATTTTTGACTTCGGGACTTTATTTAGACTAGTTAAGAGGTGAACATAGCAAAAGTCCCCGCCCTTACCCTTGAGCCGGCGGGGAGAGGGGGGTTTAAAGGTACCACTTTTCGGTTTTTCGCTTAATCCTCGGAAACTATGCGTCCTAGTGACATGACTACTATGAACCAAAAAAAGGTTATTCAATTTGCTACAGGTGAGATAGTCAAGTTTTTCTATATCTTGTATAGTTTTCGCGGCATCTGCTCGACAGTTTATGTCGGCCGACGAAAAATCCGTGGTCTGCGCCTAGGCTTAGACGGGGGGCGCGGGCCATCTGTGTAGCTAAGTATTAAAAAACCTGCGACTGCTGAGAGAATATGTACATTCCAGACTGCTTGATACTACCAATAAATAATCTGGACTGGAGGATGGGGGGCGCGGATTTTTTTTATGTTCGAAAGGGGGCGCGTCTCAAATAAGTTCGGTAAACGCTATTTTAGCGTCTATCTATCCCGTCTATAAATAGTTCCATAACTGTAGGTACAACTACTAATTTATTAGTTGTTGTTGGTACTTAACGTCTGTAATTATATTAAAATACCGATTGCGGTCAAATACCTGCCTTGTCTTGCATAAAAAATAATAATAATATTTTATTATAAACAAATTATTATTATATTGAATGCATTACGTAATATTTACTTACAATTTTTAAAGATGATTTTCCTAAAATCCGGTCAAGAATCGAACCCGGGAATGTCTGCGTGTATTGTAGTTAACTTACCAATACATCACTGTGTTTATCTTAATAAATACCTAGGTATTACTTTAAATTTATAAAAGCTTTGCATCTATGCATCTTACTCCGGAAATTACCCAATGGAGTAGTATAATAGCATGGTTATCTTCGAGAATCGCTTTTATTGTATTAATTAGTCTCGGATTCGATCTGCATCTTCGTTTTAAAAATGAGTTTTTAATTTTCTACTTTTTTAGATTAATAAAACCTTAAGATTATTCCTAAAATTATGACCAATTTAAAAATAATATAAAAATAATACAAAATAAAAATTTCTTTATCGCCAATCTCTGCTCGAACCAGAGGCTCGGTCGGACCTCAGTCAGCTCGGACCGCTTTTTTTTACCCTGAACTAAACCCAGAACCGTGCTATAAAAAAACTAGTTATAGAACCGAGAACTCACTCTGTAAATGATCAAAATGGCACATGACATTGACACTTGATTGACGTTGACAGCAAAAGCCAGCTTGGAGCTGTCAAAAATTACATCGCAAAAATCGCAATCACATCAACATTTTCTGGTCTCGTCCACAAAAATAATGAAGATATCGCACGAATCATGTCGATTGCGACATCGTTGCTGATTGCCGTCGCTCACACACTGTAGAAACAGTGCCGCCACCGCCCGTGCGCCCGCCGAAATGTATTGTTTGCAATGGCTGATTCCCGTGCTCCTAATCCCGAAGCCCGTGAACCCGGCGTTAGTAAACACACACGTGATGTTTATGGTACTGTACCTAATAGGATTTTTTCTCGAGAGGAAGCCGTGTACAGTGTGCAGTGTTGTCTTCCTGGCCGCCGTGATACTGATCTGCTACAGCGGAATCGGCAACTGTTTATTTTGGGCAACTCAGTGTGAGAGCGAAAAATACGAGACCTAACCGTGCTCACGAACCTTCCAGAGTTACCAAAATGCTCAAAGTTCAAACAAGTGTTCCTGACACGCATCGAAGGCGGGAGATGCGAGGACGCTGCGGCTCTTCCATGCCACAGAAAAAAAAAATTTCCAAAACTTTTGTATATTTTTGTAAATAAAATGTAAATTGTTTTAATTTACATTTAATGTTGTTGTGTAAAGTATGGCAGTGTCCGTGTGAAGTAATGTGCCGATCTGTACTTACGTCTCAGTTGTTATGTTGATCATTGAATTGAATGATGATTATTAAAATGTACAGTTATTGTTAGTGACTATTTACTAATTTAAACGAAATACAATTTGGGAATATTCATGTTGGTTTCTTTCTCTACCGTTTTAGCAAATGTTAACTATCCACATTGAATTTGCATTTTCACACTTACTAGAAATCTACCTGAATTTTCTAGAAGTTGCTTTCTAGTGATAAGGCCACCCAAAATGTTCCAGTCTATTCCAATTTTTATATTTCATGTAGATTGTAGGTATTAGGTATTATCATAATATTTGTATGCTGTGCACACATAACTTAATATTGTTAGGCTTTACACATTACAGCCTATTTAAACACTATTATTACAAGTCTGTAATTAATATTTAATACCTATCAAGATAACATTATCTTGCCTGAAGATAATGCAAGTTTTGTAACTGAACAATGTTGATTTGATACTAATTAATATTATTATTAGTTATCTGTAGTGTTATTGTTTTAAAACCTATTATACCTATCTAGCCACTTAGTTACAGCTATGCCAAAACTCGTTACATACCTACCTACAAATCAGCTACTTTTTTATCACAAAAAGTATAAGCATCCACTAGATTTTGCCTTGAATGTACCTTCACAAGTTGTAGTAACAAAAAAAACGTAATCAAGCTTTGGTGTCTTGATTAGTAGCACAGTTACGTGTGCCACTGCCACTATGGCGTTACGACAGGCAGCGTTATCGTGGGAGTAACGCAACTTCACAATTTGCACCTCGTCAATTTCCCGCGCAGCAAAAATCATCGATGATAATGTGGCCGTGTATCAGCAGTACGTGTAAAAACTTGCAGTAAAAAACATAACCCTCCTTCTGGCGCAGTCGGGTAAAAAAGGTGAACTTATAGCATTCTCTACCAGTTTAGGCATATTAAGTGCCGAGGACACTGCAAACTGGTAGATACCTACGCTTTGATGCCCAAATACATTACACATTTGGCTACAAATTAAAGTAAGAATATCGTCGTTTTCATTTTTCGCAGTAAAAAAGGAGCAGCCTTGATGCAGTTTATTTGACGTTATCCTTAGATTAATAAAACCTAGATGGATAGTCTTCATACAAACGCTTCGTCAAGAGTGAGGCAAAAACCTTATGTCATTAGTGTCAATTTTGTTGGGGAGTGTAGACAGTGAAGGCGATTTTCCCGAAAGTAGGGAAATTTTTAATACGTTTTTAATAATTTTATAATTAACAAAAACAAAACGCATCATGTACTTACTTATTTATTGAATTCAAAGTACCTACCTAATAACAATAAGATAAATAATATAATAATCTAAGACGTTATCGCGTTATCGGAAATATCCTGAGAAAATTTTATTTAAAAAATATAATGCAGTCAATATTTTTGAGGATTTATTTACCTACATAGAGAAGAACTATCTGCCTACCTAATCGACCAAAGGTAGACTGGGAGAGAATACCCTATGGCCATTGTGCTTTATGTAAAATAAAAAGGTACTGTACTGAGACTGACTGACGCTAATTTTGTAACTGTACCTACCTACTTAAATCATAATCAAGTTAATATTATTAATTAAACTATTGACATGGCCTAATTGCCTAGATTAGAAATAGGTAAGTAACTTAGGTCCTAACCTTGTAGACTGATTGATTCAGTCAAAGAGCATTTTCTGTCTAAATATCGTAAAGCACCACTGATGCGAGACGATCGTTGCCTAGTTACTCAAGTTTGGGCCTTGAACTAAACTTCATGTTAGGTATTCTTGCACCTCTAAAACCTTTGATAGATTTATTCTTTCCGCGGTTCATTTCAGGGTCTCTGTACTTTCTAATTCAAACCAGATTTTTACAAAATATAGGAATCCAAAAAAAGCTAGTAACCGAATCAGCGACGTGGCGTCGCGGCATTAGGTACCTAACTCAGGCTATGGTCACATATGCGAAGTCCGTGACGGGTTCAACAGAGGTGTTGCAGGTTGCAACATTTATTTTATAAAAGGGAGGAGGTACTCCCCAAGTTTCATACATTCAAAAGTTGGTACACTTGCTACATAAGGAAAACTTGATGTATTGGGCATTCTCTGCCAATTGAAAACTAAAAAGTATTTAAATATGTACCTATAGTCTTAACTATCTTGAATAGCTACAGAGAAATCAGTAGCCTATAAGATAACCCCTTAGTGATCTGCTGACAATTTCTTTTTCCTTAGCAGAAATATTGTTAAAACTTCAAAGAACACCGAAATTATAGACCTATTGAATACCAATATTATTTATTAATTTAAAAAACTAGGAGATAATATGGAAAAGAGTACAAGTAATGAAACATTACATTAAATGTTAAATATGTATTCACAAGCTTGATGGTTACATTGAGATGGTCATCTTTGACGGTTTCTTAATAGATGTTTAGCATAAATCATATGGATAACTTGTATTATAGTGAGCCTTAAACCAAGAGGCAAAGTTCAGAATAAAAAGGCTTATTATTAATATTATATTTATTAAGGATTAACCTAATGTAGACTAAGCAGCGACATCTGAAACAAAAAGACAATAAATGTAAAATTGTTGTTATTATAGCCTACATAATAGGAAGATAAAATTAGTAAACATTAGCTTCCATTTTGGGGGAAAAATATCTAGACAACATTGATTATTGTGTATAAAAGTAATGAAAAACATAAAAAGGCTTGAATGTTCAACAAATACTGCGTAACTTAGAGACACATTTGTAATCAAACAGCATGCTGAACTGTTAATGTCAACAAATCCCTTTTCTCACCTCAGATCACAGAGCAATATTGAAGAATAATAGCCTTAAATTTTTCTGTCAAAGTAAACCATACTTTCACATTCAAAAATAATATGACAAGAACTGACCAAGGTATATTATAACCATTATTACACTCTTGAATGCTATAGGATAGCAATTACAAGTAAAAAACGTAAACTTCGTGGTATTTATTTAGTTCTAAGGAATGATGCTAAGAATATTAGTTGATGTGTAAACGATTCTAACCTCAAACTGACAAAGAAAACTTAGCATACTTTTGCACTAAGTTAGATATTAAAAATAAGGTATTTTTCGTTCTTACCGTTTATCGCAGTCTCCTGGCTTCACGCTCAGACTCGAGCAGGGTGAGGATGTCTCCGTCACGCACGGGTCCCTTCACATTCCGGATGATCTGACGGCTCGTCTCCCCGATGAACTCAACCTTCACCTGGGTACATTGTCCCTGGGAGCCGGTACGGCCAAGGACCTTCACCACACGAGCAAGAACGTTGGGCTTGTCCATTTTGCTTTAGATATCGAGCTAAAACCAAAGAATACACGTGCACTGAAGCTGGCGTGTTCTGAAAAGAATTTGACAGATCAGTGTTGTACCGATTGTAAATTGTTAATCGATTACTACTAGTTGTTGTCAATTGAATAATCGGATAGTGCCAGTTATTTTTTTTTATTGTAAGAGATGTGAAAAACCGTAACTAAGGAATCATGGTGGTGTGACCAAACAGAAAAAAAGTATTTTTTTCTTTTCATAAAATAAATATTAGTTTTGAGCTCATCGATATAATTTTGCGAGTTTTCATGGTTTCTTCAAGCAATGTTAAAAAAAAAATTAACGAATTCTATCCATTCAGCGTAAAGATGTACTACTAATCAATTTCATTTTCATTTATTATTTCGAGACTCGTGTTATTGTATTACGCTTTCCTTTTTAGGCCAACTATGTTTGTTTGAGTGGCGCGAACAAGCACCACATAATTTCCATATCATGCTACATACTCTCGGCATAATGTTTAATAAAAACAAAAAATCAAAAATTAACATTTTATTAAATAATGTCTTCTATGCACACGTTGTTAAAAATCTCTGCACACTTTGTTCCATAATTTACTCTCATTACGCACTTAACAACTACGAACCACACGCAGTCTGTTCACAAGAAACAATTCGAATAAGAATAGACCTGACACTAGCTTTGTAGTTAAAAATATTTCGAAAATAAAAGACACAACAGTTATACATAAAAAGATAAGCATTTGGAGAAAATATTTCATGTTAGCTCATAAACTTGTACTCGTACAAAGAGTATTTCACGATCAGATAAAACATATAAGTTTCAGGCCTATTCTTATAGGATCGTGCGCGCACGCATCACCGGGCGGCACTCGGTGTCACACAGCCGGCCAGAGCCTAGTCATCGCCCGCGGATCTCTTCGCTTTCCTCATGCGTGGAGACTGTTTGGGCGTCTTGGGAGATTTTTCTGAAAAAATACAAAATTCATATAAATAGGTTTTCTAAAAACATAGAAACAGAATCAGAATTTTATTTGCGTAAAAACATGGTATATAAAGATGTTACAGAAACATGGTATATATAAAGATATTGTTTTTCTTTGACAAGATCACAATAATCTGCATAATTAATACTGTAAACTGAAAGAAGTAATTGAAGATGTAAATATCAAGTTGTACCTATTCATTTGTACATTAGTATAAATAAATATCAGTTTAGTAAGATAACTACCAGATAACATATCTGTTCTAAGCAAACATTGAATGATTACTATAGATTTTATATTCTCATGAAGTATCTCTCAATATTATGTAGTTGTTATTCTTGAACCAGCATTCCTGCAGTTTAATTTTACATGTATTACTTTAATTAACTGCAAATTGTTAAATAAATAAAATGGACTGACAGCCTCAAGAAAATAGCAAGCAGTGTCTGAATAAAAATACAGATCATGCTTTGTGGTGCTGCTTGGTAGCCTTGGATTGCCATTGCCTAAAAATATGATGAAAATCGAATCATATAAAAAATCTCTGATCTTTTTTAACTTACTGAGCTGGTTAACGACTTCCTTAGGCAGCCAGTCGTAGTCCACATCGTTGGGAGTGCCTGTCTCCAGAACCTTGGGGGCGGAGCGAGGCGCGCGCCGTCTGGCCAGAGACGACAGCGCCTGCTGACCGGCCACTAAAGCGAGGACCATCGCAGCACCCAAGAACAGGTATAGGAAGAATGTTTCTCCGTCCAAACCCTCTGACACCTCAACTATGTTGACGGTCTGGTTGTATACAGCTTCCTGTGGGGGATAATATAAGTAAATTCATAATAATTCTTAAAAAGTTTGGTTTTGATGTTTATTTTATTTTTATTTATTTAATAGGACAACCAACAAGACATACACTGGAAGACAATCAATATTTACAACGTATTTAACTTAATCTAAGTGCTGCCTTAATTATAGGTTGCCACGGCATGCAATAGTGGACTTATACATAAACTGTGTCTACACTTAAAGAAAAGAGTTTCTTCAGCGAGTATTATTTAGCTGGAATAACATTTCGCCAGCGACTCGATGCGAAGCTGTTCAGGATTTTGCGCTTAAATGAAGGTAGCTTGTCCCGAAAGACATCTAGATCAAGATCGAGGTTAACAATGATGATTATTTTTAGGTTATGATTATTATAGGTAGCGGTAATGATGATTATTATATGTTGGTAAACAATGATGATTAATTTTTAGGTGTTTTAAAAATCTAAAATTGTGCAATATATTTTTCACATTATTGATAAACAGGTTACAATCATTGAAACAATACATCATTTAAATAACTATTGGGATAAACTATAATTTGGGTAAATAAATCTAGCATGTTGAAATTTTCATTATTTTCAGTCTAAGGAAAGTCGAAAAGATTGTCAAACATACCTGGTAGAAGTTGCCACTGGCATCTCTGTAGTTCAGCTGTACATTTAATCCGAAAGGTCTGCCAGCGAAAGCTTCATTGGGGACGAAGGAGTAGGCGAAAGTAGCCTCTTGCTTTGGCTTGACTTCACGGTTGTAAGGCAGAGCGGTGAAGTTCTGGATGTAGTATGTGTAGTCCATCGGGTATCTGAATGAGGCTTCCATTGAGTCAACTACGTAGTCTTCCGAACCCTTGTTGATGAAGCCCACTAGGAACTCAACTGGGAAACCAGCTTGAAGGTCTGCGGAAAGGTTTTAGATGTTGTTAGATTAACTCTTCAATACTTAATTGTATTTTCAGGTTTTCTATTGTTTCAAAATGATCAAGATATTTGAAAACTATATTTTATGGTTTATTTAGTTAAAATTATGTTGTAATCAAAGTAAATAAATGAAATTAGTTCAATGTTATTTCTATACCTACTTACCAAAAGCAACATCTCCATAGTTAGGGACTGGCTTGGTGAACAGTATTGTTGTGTCAACATCCTGGGAGGATTTTACAACGGAGTCATCGTCATCTCCAGCGTCGTCACCAACGACCTGGTTATCTTCGCCCTCGATATCGACTACGTCGTCCAGCATCTCATCTTCTTCTGCTCTGGCTGTGATTGTGTTTGCTGAAATAACATTAACTTTGTGTTATTAGTATGTATCAGTAAAAACTCCCTTTATTTTGGTACGTTTTTTTAACAACATTATTTAATATTTTAAGGTCTAGAATTTCTAGAATTTCTGAATATAGAAACCTATATTTATGTAGCTTTATTCAACAGTATTATGCAGAGAAGCTTCTCTGCTAATAATTAACCTTTAGGTTATGTAGGATTTTAGGGCCGCTTTTCATAAGTATTTACTTAGAATTTTAGACTCTAAAATTTGTTAAGTGAAAATCTAGAACACTGACCTAATTTTTGACATAGTAAATGATCTTTTTGCAATTATTTGAGCCAAAATTTACATCTCTGTCTGCAAGTTAATTACAGATTCCTGTACCATATGTGAACTTACTTCAGAATATGGATCCTGATCAGCATTTACTGGTTGATTAAATAATTCTTACATAATTTAAGTCAAACCATACCAGATATGTAACAAAGCAGTTTATATCGGTAGTAGTTACACTAGAATGTTACGGAGGTTACCGTGACCTATGAATATTGTGTATTCTATAAAAAGCACTGAATTTTGGCTGTAAGATTTATGCCAAGTAGGCAGTCAATTATAACCTCTGAAATAGACATTCAATTTAAACTTTCTCTCATAAAATACACAATATTTGATGCCACGTACTAGAAGATACATTCTTGCAAAGGAAAAAGCTGAATAATTGAATACTTACCGTTTTGGAAACACAATAAGGCCGCTGGGAGAACCAGTAGAGTTATGTATAACAATTTCATATTGAATAAGTTAAAGCTACAACTGTTTTTACTATAGAAAACGGAGGCGAATATCAGAGCAGATTACAGGCCATTCACTTTTGTGCAACAAGCGGCCAAACGCTTCACAAAACTAAAGGCAAAATGCCAATTTTCACTCCAACTCGATTGACGTGGAATATTTTGTCACAAGTAGTGATGTAGGTCTTTAGTTAAAAACCGGTATTAAATGTTCGGTTATTTTTTGTAGACTAGTTAAACAAATAAAGGCTTAGCCATATCATGTTTATCCACTATACCTTCGTTTTATTGTAAATAATTTACTCCAATTATTGATTTCTTTGAATAATTAAATTAAATTAAAATAATGTTAGTATCCATTAACCATAGACGTTACGACACTATTAAAAGTGGGAAAGGAACGTAACATAAAATAAAATTAACACGAAGACTTGAAATGGAACGGAATTCTAAGGTGTTGGTTTGGTGGTGGTTCGATTCTCGTTTCGACCAAAACGCTCGGATGTTAATAAAATAGTTTTTTCGTTATGATAATATTCTGAAGCGATATTTCCATGTTATCCTATATTTATCTACATTCTACACCTAGAAACTATTTTTCTAAACTTTTCGGCCTGATGATTAAACGCCTAAATCGTGAAATTCAGAAGATAACTATAGATAGTTACCTCGATATAAAATATAATTAAAGGTACCTGCTTAGAATACGGAAGACACATTTCCGCATCTGATATGTAGATTACATACAAACCGTGTTTATTTACCTATTACTTAGGTACTTATTCACTCATAAATTACTTTACCTATATTGTAATATTATTACTTGGGTTATTTACCTAAAAGACCTCCTACCAAGAATTTATAACGCTTTTCGCTAGGAACTTTTATACAGTCGAGTTTAGAGTTTAGGTATGTTATATCACAGATAATATAATACTAGTGTTATATGAATCAAAACTACCTATATTCCATTCCTACGAGTATAATTATCGACATATTTCCCAAATGGAGCACAAACTTAAATACAATAACTAAAATTTTGACTTAACATTACTGAATAACAATAATTTCAGAACCGCTTGCTGCTCCATCGAACAGTTTATATTAAATTCGTCATTTTAGTTTAGTTGATATCGTCGACAACTTTACATAATCACACCTACTTATGTAAATAGCGAACATAATATAAAGACTTGTTTAAAACGATTGTAGTTAGTGCACGATTCTGGAGTCAACGGTCACACTTCATTAATATTAAAATTAATTAAATTCCAACATTGATTTAAAATCGAATACTTAAGTTGTTCAATGATGAAGACAAATTTTAATATAGGTAAAACTTGTGCTTGTTTTCAAAATAAAATACTTGTGCTAATTCAAATAAATAAAAATAATTAATATTTATGTTTTAGTGCGCTTCCTAAAATTAAATGGTGTTAGAAGTTATGGTAGCTGTAGTGCTACTATTTCGCAAACAACCGAATTCAGCCCTAAACAATATACGGTATGTATTTATTTTAAACTAGCTTTTGCCCGCGGCTTCACCCCCACGTGAATTTTTGTTTGTCACAGATCATCATAAATTATAGCCTATATGTTATTAGGCTAAAACTAACAAACATCCAGATATCCATACAAACTTTGGCATTTAAGTATAGGTAATATTAGTAAGATTCTATTATTTTTATTTTTGTTTACGAAATTATGTATCGACGCCAGCACACATGTTAAAAAGGCGCCCGCTCAGCAAAAATCGTGATCGTGACACGATACAAGTCGTCAAGTCACGAAGCTGGTTTTCAGCGGATAAAATAAGGAGTAAAGTAATAAAATACTTCGCGGTTTATCGTTGTTTCGTGTCGATTGGTAGTTTTCGTAGTATACCTACCTGACAAAAAGTTTGTGGTCCATTTTGTGAGATCCTCCTTCTCTGCAAAACCATAACACCCTATTTTATGAATAAAATTGTTATGAACAATAAGGCCTTGCCAATGAAACCACTTTGAATGACCATTTAGGTAGTTACCCTTTGCTTTTATTCAAGGGCCCGACACTGGCAAGAACTGACGAAATAAAGGCAAACCATATCCCACCGGCAGTATACAATATCTACAAGAAGCCAGTGCTGCTACACCAGGGTCACATGCAGTGGCTCTTCGACCACGAGGGCCGCAAATACTTGGATCTTTTTGGAGGAATTGTTACAGTCTCTGTTGGACATTGCCACCCGTAAGAATACAAAGCTTAGTTAAACTAAATAAGAATTACTCAATCTTTTGAAAAATTTTAAGCCGTTTTCAATTTACAGGAAAGTTGTTTCTGCCCTGCAGGATCAAATACACACCCTTTGGCATACGACAAATATTTATCGGCATCCAAAAATATATGAGTACGTAGAAAAACTCGTAGCCAAATTTCCGGGAGACCTAAAAGTGCGTCTTAATTAATTATTTTAAGTGTATTAATTTCTAAAATCCACTTCAGAACATTTAGTCTCAGGGCCACTTACTGGCAGGCAGCCGAAAAGAAACAAAAAGTTAATAAACTTTAAGTAAGCATACTTAATGCTTTGAAATTCTCAAAATTGCGTCAATGTTTTTTCAGGTGGTCTATTTGGTAAACAGTGGCACCGAAGCAAACGATCTCGCGGTCCTCCTGGCCAAGGCGTATACTGGCAACCATGACGTCATATCTCTTCAGAACAGTTACCATGGAGACTCTACGGCTCTGATGGCTCTCACTGCGACTCAGAGCTATCGCATGCCCATACCAGTGCCTCCGGGCTTTTATCACGTATGTAGAAGACAGCACATCAAGCTAACTGCGGCATCTTATTTGTGTTATTTTAAGGGCTATTTTGCAATGATACGAAAATTTATATTCTGATGCGCTGTCGATTGTACGATTTTGATAATACCAAGATCGAAGTTAAAGTTCAGGGCTGATATCGCCAAGATACGCAATAATACTTACGTACTAAAAGAATACAACAATATCTATTTTTAACGATAAAATAAAACAAAAAATATAAACAAAGCAAGTAGGTGGTGGGACTACTTGAAATGATTTGTCCCATTTATGCACTAGGATTTGAAAGGTGATAATATCTATGTCCTAGTAAAACTGTTTTTCCAGGCAATGCTTCCAGATCCATATAGAGGTATCTGGGGTGGGTGCAGAGACTCTATATCCCAAGTACCAGGGTCATGCTCCTGTCCTGGCGACTGTATTACTTCAGACAAGTACATCCACCAGCTTCAGGAGGTAAAAGAATCATAATTTTGGAAAGAAACGTGAGCTTTTATATACGAAAAAGCATCATCTGATTATTGTACATCCGTAGCTGTTAGAAAACTCAGTTCCTGCCGGCCGAGTAGCAGCATTCTTTGCGGAATCCATACAAGGTGTGAATGGAGCTGTGCAGTTTCCAAAAGGGTACTTGAGGAAAGCACATGAGCTGGTCAAGTCGAAATACGGCGGTGTCTTTATTGCTGACGAGGTACAGTCTCTGAATTTCCTTCAAAAACAGACCAAAGAAGTTACTGTAAACCTGCTACAACAGAATTGTCTCTTGTAGGTGCAAACAGGTTTTGGCAGAACAGGTGACGCTTTCTGGGGCTTCGAAAACCATGGCGTCACACCGGATATAGTGACCATGGCTAAAGGGATCGGCAATGGTTTCCCGCTCGCTGCTGTAGTTACGACCAAGGAAATAGCTGCTGCTCACACCAGAGCTACGTATTTCAACACGTTTGGAGGAAATCCTTTGGCAGCGTGTGTTGGAAAAGCTGTTTTGGAGGTACGATCAGTTTTGATCGGAGTAATCTGAGTGTAAGAATAAATAGTTAAAGATATATTTATTTTTATAACTATCCGCTTATTTTCCAGACAATCGAAGAAGACCAACTGCAAGAAAATTGCAAAGTTATCGGCAAGTATTTCATAGAGCAACTTATGGAGCTGCAAAAAGAACAACCGTTAATCGGTGACGTCAGAGGCAAAGGTCTGATGCTGGGTCTCGAGCTGGTGGTGCCTGGCACGAAGCAAGCATTGAAGGTGGCAGATGTGTCAGTCATTCACGAGGATATCAAGGATCATGGGATTTTAATTGGACGCGGAGGACGATACAACAACGTAAGAATTTTTATCATATAATATCTAAGCTCTCAATATATTAGGGATAACCTAGTCATTAATTACTTAGACTTACAAAACAATCATTATTTTTGAAAGAAAAATGTTAGGTTTTATGTATGCCAAAGAGCCCCTGTTTACCCTAGATATAAAGCTTATCGTACACCCATCCACACCACACGAGTCGCGCATTATCCGGATTGTTTCCGAAAATTTAAAAATATTATTATACACCTTAATATCCTTTTATTCACAGGTACTGAGAATCAAGCCTCCAATGTGCATCAATAAGGAAGACGTAGATTTTACCATGTCAGTTCTAAAGGAGACATTGAAAAATTTTCAAAATAATAATCAAAATTAAAATTAAAATATTTATAGTATTGTATAAAATATTTTATACTGAAGGTGTTGGTTATTGTTTATTTATTGAATAGTTTGTAAATTATACAAAATACAAAGTTTGTCTTTTCTATGGAAGAACTTTAGTCTATTTACTTACTGGACACGCTGTATATTAAAAGTAATTTTAAGCGTAATTTACGTAAATATTATGATCGTAGGGTCGTAGCCGTATATTTTATATTCTGCTGCTTGGACCCTAGTTTAACAAAAAAAATAAAACGTCAAAAAAAAATTTTTTTTTTGCGACTCGGTGTTTGTGATTTTGCTTGAATTTTTGGCGATTTTTTAACAATTAAAAACTAAGAATGGTGTTTAAATGCCAGGAAAATAGTTTTCTTAAAGAAGTAAGTAAAACGAACAAAGTATTTGCAATCAGCCCAGGGAAATTCGGTCTATCTAAAAATAAATATTTACCGGTGTTGTTTTGGTCACATTTTGTTATTTTATCTTGCTTTTTGTGTAGATATACTGATAAATATGTGAAATATTGTTTCAGTTCACATCAAAAGTCGTGAAATGTGAAGAGACGAAAGAACCAATAACCGAATATGGGAAGGTGTCCAATTTTGAAGGTTATCAGGTTACTTTGGAGAATACCATATTATTCCCAGCAGGTGGAGGACAGGTGAGATCATGCAAACCTATTAAATGTAACTTTAAAACAATCGTTTCAGTCCAATGACGTCCACTGCTGGACAAAGGCCTCCCCTAAGGATTTCCATAACCGGTCCTGAGCTGCCTACATTCAGGTACTTCCCGCGGCCTTCACCAGATCGTCGGTCCACCTTGTGGGCAAGTCACACTGTCTGCCAGCCCATGGTCACCACTCGAGAAATAAACCTAATTTATAACAATATTGAGCGATTGCATCATACAGGATATGAGTATTTACCATTGACTTTTTCATTAACCCCCTAATTGATATTGTTCTAGCCTCATGATATTGGCTGGCTGAATGAAATAGAGGTCCTTCAAGTCCTTCGTAAGGGAGATGAGGCACTGCACTTCACCAAAGTGCCTTTAGAAGTGGGCTCGGAAGTCTCCCAAAAGATCAACTGGGATAGAAGATTTGACCATATGCAACAACATTCAGGTTTCTTTTTGATATTAAACGCATTTTTTATTTTAACTGTAACAATAACCGGTGCTTTTTGTATGGAGTTTGACAGATTTTTGACGTTTGTGTAAGTTAAAGTAAGATGATGCAACTCAACCTAATAGTAGTAAAGTTTCATTGATATAAAGTTCCAATTTGTGTTCCAACAAAATAATACAGGTCAGCATCTTCTGTCAGCAATATTGGAGAAAGAACACAACCTTCCTACAACCAGTTGGTGGCTCGGTGCTGAGGAGTCTTACGTGGAATTAGACTCCACCAAAGTGAGTGAAGAGACCATCAAAGCGACTGAAGACAGATGCAATGCCCTTATAAGAGAAGCCATTCCGGTCAACGTCAAGTTCTGTAAAGCCAATGATCCGGCATTAGATGAGGTTTGTTACAAAAATAATTTGTTTTCGACATGTATAAAAGCCAATTTAATCCAATTAGGCTTTTAAAAAGCTTTTACACATCCATTTTAAATCCAACCACTTAACAGACTGGATCTTAAGCTTATGTAATAAATAGTGATTAATTTCACCAGGCACATACCAGGGGCTTGCCGAAGGATTGTATGGACACAATTAGAATCATCAGAATCGGAGATGTTGATGAGAATATGTGCTGTGGAACCCATGTTTCAAACCTGAGGTTTGTTATTTACAGTGAAAAAAAATATTTATTCAAGGAGAATTTATTTAAATACAGTAGAACGCCGATTATCCGAATTAATTGGGACCGAGGTCGATTCGGATAATCGGACATAGACTGGTAATAAAGAAAAGCTTGGTTAAAACGAACTGTCACGCATAGAATAAACTTTATTAAGTGAGTTTAGAGTTCTACAACAACGCCCAGTTGAAAAATATCTAAAATCCTGTGAGTTTCAACTTGTTAAAATAAAACAAAACAAAAATTACTTGGTTTTAATTTTTTATGTTAGCCTCAGGACCGATTCGGATAATTGGCGATTCGGTTAATCGGCGTTCGGATAATCGGCGTTCTACTGTAAACAAATGTTTTCTTACAGCCAGCTACAAGTAATAAAATTGCTTGGAGCAGAGCCTGGGAAAAAGGGAAAAACAAATCTAAAGTTTCTGGTAGGCAACAGAGTTAACAAAACATTTCAAACCATGTTAGACAGAGAAAGAGCTTTGACTGGGCTACTAAAGTAAGTACACAACTGTCATTCATTATTCTCTCACATTTTTCATCTACAAGTAGAAGTGACTGTTCAGTATTTTTAGGAGCAGTGTGAATCTCCTATATGCCCCAAAAAACCATCCATCTAATGATAAATCTTTATATTTTCCAGAAATGAAGCAAGTAAACATGAAGAACTAGTCAGTAAACTACAAAAGAACTTGAAAGTTTCAAACAAGAGCCTGCAAAACGTTTTACTAGAATTAGCTCAGTTTGAAATAGACAAAGTGAAAAATTCCAATCCAAAACCGAAATATGTGTTCATGTTTAAAAAGGAGGCCACTCCAGATTTCAATAGAGCTATATGCAAAGGATTAGATGGGGAAGGAATGTTTTTATTTCTGGTTTCTGAAGAGCCAGATAAGCCTAAAGAAGGCCAGATCATAATTCAAGGACCTGAGGAACACTGCAATGCTTTAGGGAAAACGTAAGTGACATATTACTTTGTCTAAAACCAACTTTACCAATGGCCATGTCCATACATCAATGGTGCCATCACCATAATAGCACTTGCCATATTATGTTTCTCTCGAAGTGGTGGTAGGGCCCAAAAGATAAGGAGACATGTAAAGTGCCCCTTATGGGTTATTTTTTTTTACTGTTTTTTGACATTCATAAGTACCACTTGTGGTCCAAATTGAATAAAATATATATGATTTTCATTTTAATAGTAAAAACCACAGACAAGTAACTAAGATATTGCTTGCTTATATTTTTGTTGTTATTCCAGAATCACTGAGCTGTTAAAAGGCAAAGGTGCATTTAAAAATGGAAAATTCCAAGGAAAAGCTGGCGATTTGGGAGGCATTAACAAATGCAAGAAGTTGATTGAGGAATACTTTAATAAGATTGAATAAAATAAATGCATACATTATTTTCTTTCAAAATAAATAAATGTAAATAAAATATGCAGTGCTTAAGATAAAGGAATAAACTTAAATAAGTTCTTACAACAACCAATTACTTAACAGTTACATAAATATACTCTACTTTGTTATACTCAGTATAAATTAAATATAATACACCTTTAATTGTTACTAAATAAATGTTTTATTACGATTACCATTTACTTTAATTTATAAAAGACTTACTTATCCTAGAGCTCTTGAATAATTCAGATATGAATAATATCTTTATGCTCAATCCTTCAACTTGTGGGATGTGTCCTTCGTGTTCATGGCCAGAAGCTTCTCAATGCCACGGTTGGTCCAGTCCTGAGTGGTGTCGTCAAGGTAGTTGTCGAAGTCTACGAGATCCTTCTCAACTCCGTATTGAAGTAGATACGACACCGTCTTCAATACATCTGGGTTAGCTGTTGATTTTACATTGAATAAATCACATAGCTCATCTTCTTACTGCATTTTAAATTAGATTTTATTATTACATTTTTTTATTTTAGTTTTCTATTTTTCATTAATTTCTTTACTAACACATTTAAACAACAGACATTTTGTTTTCTCCTAGTGTGTGCTAGTGAGCTAATCTAATTTCTTGTAAAAGCAAGTTTATGTTATTAATTTTCTATTGATTTGACCCACTGTAAAATGTATCAATTTATTAATTACATAAAGTTAACTTACGGAATAAAGTTTTCATGTTGATTTCTCTCTGCTTCCATTTCCCATCACTGTATTTGTGCAGTTTTATAGCCGGTGAGTCTAAATGCTGCATAAATCTTTTGTTGTCAATCTGTAAATTGAGAATAGACATAGTGAGTACCTATAACTTTAACTAACTTTAATGATAACTGGTGTTTTTTGTATGAAGTTTGGCAGATTTTTTTACGTTTGTCAAAGTTAAAGTAAGATGTTGCAACTAGCCTAAGAGCTGGGGAGAGTTACTAATGATGTTTAGTTACCACAATGAACACAGCAGATGGGAAATATTCCACAATCTTTTCGGCAATTTTCTGGCCAGGGCAAGCCTCAACTGTGTTGGCTCCAAAGTTCTCACAGCCGGCGTAGTAACCAGCTATAACCAAATTGTCAGCTTGAGCCATGGTCTCAATCTAAAACAGGCCAAAATAAAAGAGATTCTTAGAGACAAACATATCCAAAAAGGTTATGAAAACCTATGACTATTCCCGGACTTACCTGTGTTAGAGCAACTTCAGCCATCGGGGACACGTAATGACTGTGGTGAAATAGAGGAATAGTATCCACAATTTCTAAATCCTGATTTTTTGCACCATCCTTGATTTTGGAACCATCGGCTAAGAGAACACCGTTTACAGCACAATGACGGTATTTAGCAGCATGTAAAATTATTTTAGCGTATGCCTTGGTTTCTAGTGTTACGTCGCCCATGTTTAATTAAATGATTTAATTGAGGATTTGTTAATTCTTGAATTAATTATAAATTAATCACGACTTCCGAAAAACACACGTATGACGTTTTGTTTTTTAACTACTTTTTCTTTTCTGTAAAAAATTACGGCTTTGGATAAAAGAGCTTTTTTTTTCGAATTTAAGTGTGAAAAGAACTTTTTCCAAGTATTTTGCCCTTCAATTTGGATGATAGTGTTCTTCTTCTCTTCTCTTCTATACCATGCGTGCGTACCATTTATTATCTTCTTTGTATCTTGTATAAAAGAAAACATTGATTTAAAAAACTCGATTTAGTTAATTGAAGATGTTACATCACTATTTGACGCTGACTGACAGTGACAGTTGCTGGAGCCTGACAGGTCACAGGACAGCTGTTCGAGTTTGTGGATGTTTTAGTGGATTTTGCGAGCTTGTTTTGTAATTAATGTTTTACAAGCAAACGTAATTAGTAATATGGATAAGTATGATACGTCTCAGCTTACAGAGTTTCCACGATTTGAGCCCGAATCGACGCAAAGCGGTGTGTCGACGTTTCTCAACAAATTGTGGAGGTTTCCACTGTTCTCGCCCAGCGAAACTACTGAAAATTTGCAAGACAAGGCTGCAGGTGAGAGGAAGCAGAGCAGCCAACAGTCAGATGATTCGAAGAAGCAGGATTATGAGGATGCGAAGACCGAAACAGGATCTTACGCCGTGGAATTCGAAGGGCGAAGTTTGCCCAATGTTTTGAGGCGGATAAGCAGTTTGATCGCTATGGGCTCAGGCGTAAGTGATTTATGTATATCCTGACATGATTTGACAGCTGTTTAACCCTCTTTAATAATGGACATTGCACTGTAATCAAATAATCATACAGTTTTGCAGCATTAATAGTGTAATATCTTATTATTGTTTGTTACATAAATTGCATAAAATATTTTTCTTACTAGAATTTAAATTAGAACTTGAATACAAACTAGAACTTTTACTTTACAAAATTCTATAAGTATGTTACTTTTAGGGAGGCACCAGATATGCGGACACCGAGCTGGCCCGCTACTGGATGCCGGACGACATCTCCCGCGAGTGCTACGAGTGCGCCACGCGATTCAGCACCTTACGGCGCAGGCATCACTGTCGAGTTTGCGGGCAGATATTCTGCTCGAGATGCTGTAGTCAGAGGGTGCCAGGTAAATTGTGAAAATCTAGTCAAGTGCTTACTTATATTTAAAGTGAGATGCTAGAGTGACTGACAATGAATGAAGAATTTAAATACCTTACAACAAGCCTTATATTTTTCATTAGTATTTCATTAAAATAAATAATTAATATTAATAAATCAATCTTTTTACTTTTTTTATTTTTTTTATTCAATACTAGCTATTCAAGATTAATAGTTCTGACAGTTCCTACAGGACTAACTTTTTGGGATTTTTATCATCTTCTTCCTGAAAGAGAAGTAATTCATACTGTATTCCAAATTCCTTTTCAACCAAAAGAGGTCTACTGCTGGATAAATCCTTCACTGTCACTGGTCCTGCACTCCCCGCATCTAGGTGGTAGCGTCCACAAACCAGCCAAACTACATACAGTTAACAGAATCGCAAAATTTTCTATTTTAGTATCTTAATTCTTGTTCACAGGGCAGATATTTGGTTGCGCGGGCGGGCTTCGCGTTTGCAACTACTGTTGCAATGTAGTCCTAAGCTACCTGAGAGAAAACGACCTCACTGGCGACATATCGCCCGACTTGCGCACTTTGCAAGAGAACCTGCAGGTTTGTAACTTGAAGTATTTGATCATAATCTATACTATCTAAATAAAATAGCAAGACACGGGTCTTAACGCGACGTTTATTAATGAGTTACATTATGTACTCACGGCTTGACGTTTCGTGGTCACAAGCAGATTGAATAATAATGGACGCGTGTCTTACTATTTTTGTTGAAATGGAACGCAAAAGTTTTAAATACTATCTAAATAGTCCTTGAAATGGCCAAACCAACCTTTAAGCTTTTTATTACTTGTGCAATGATTTCTTTAGTTCCTTCCTTGCAACATTTCAAAACTAGTAATAAGTTACAAATAAACTCATCTAGCCAGAGTAGGGAGTGTAGACCAAATTCTCCCTTTGCTACTGGTAAATGAAATTAGTCGTCCTGGAACTAAAATTAGCAGTGGAGATTAAATATAATTATGATGTTCCTATTTGTAATATACATTGTTCATAATTTCACTGTCTCAGTGGTGACCATTTTTTCGTTCTAGGTGAAATTCCCTGAAAACAAGTCGCAGCCAATGTTCAAGGCTCGCGAGCATTTCATGTTCGCTCGCGAGCAAGACGAGCGCGAACCGCGCGTGGCGCCCACCGAGGCGCTGTACGAGCTCTACAGACACCTGGCGCACTCGCTGCCGACGCAGCAGCACAGGTAACATGACAAAGACACCTAGCACAGGTACACACGGCCACAGTGTTAACTATCCATTTCCGTTTTTGCTCTCGCTCTCATCAAATGGTGATTCTTTGCGATAGAACAGTCTTTCCCAAAGTGGGCGATAACGCCCCCTTGTGGGCGCTGCAGGCTTAAAGGGGGGCGGTAAGAGACCCAGAAAAAAAATCGGGACGTTGTGTAGAGGCTTGGGAGGCGTCATCTACTAGGAGGACTCTTAGACATCGACTGAGCTCGACTCTTGACTACAAAAATGGTGGGCGCTAAAAAATAATTTATTCTCAAAGTGGGCAGTAGACTAAATAAGTTGTTCTCTCCTTTACTTTCCTGATCATTTGAAACCTTTTTTTTTCCGTTTTCCATTTTTACTTTCCTATACGTTTCCCAACCTTTACCTTACTTCGTCGTGGCTGACGCACAAGCCGTGCATGCCATCATAGGGAAAAAAAACAAAGTTTGGGAACCACTGCGATAGAACGAGATGACATGACTGGTAATGAGCAGTTAACATTGTTGCCGATAGTACAGGGACTTAACAACTCAGTGCAGGTTTAGCGGCACAGTGATATAGCATCTTGACGTAACAACACACATTCAACAACCACCAGGTTCAGTAATTTAGGACTGCGACACAGGTACAGGAAACAATATCGGAAGAATAACGTCGCTATAGTAGCGCAGGCATAGTGACTATCCCAGCACAGGTAGAATAATTGAGTAACCCTATACATACATAATATTGTGGTACTAGCTGACCCGGCGAACTTTGTTCCGCCTTAATGGCAATAAATAAGCAGACTTTTTTTTTTAATTTCGAACGGGATAAAAAGTATCCTATGTCCTTCTCCTGGCTCTAAACTACCTCCCTGACAATTTTCAGCTAAATCGGTTCAGCCGTTCTTGAGTTATAAGCGAAGTAACTAACACGACTTTCTTTTATATATATAGATAAGCACTTTGCCTGAAACAACATAGCTCAAGTTCAGACATTCAGTACCCTAACACGGGAATAGCAGCATAGTGAAATAACATTGCCACAACTTCGATGCAACAGCACAAGGATAATGACACAGCAGCCCAGCACAGGTTCAATAATTCAGTACCACAGAGGTACTGACATGCGACACAATAATAGGCTAGTTGCCTAAAAAATTTTTTTTNCCTAACCTAACCTACTATTTTCTACAATACCTACCTACTTTTTGCAACCATACTATTTTCTGCAATCTCTGATTTGTGGGTAACGGTGGGTACTCGTAAGTATGTAAAGTGTCAATTTGACCAAGCAAATTATTTGGGATATAATATTTGGCAAAATAAAACATTTGCTATATAAACATTTGCCAAGTAAAATTTGGCCAAATGTTAATTTGACCAAATGAATTAGTTGCGAAAAGTACAGTTGCTAAAAGTTTATTTGGGAAATGAAACTTTGGCGATAAGTTGTTTGCGAAGTGAAATTTGGCGAAAAGTAATTTGGCCAAACGGAAGGATACCTTTTATTTCTAACAAATAATTACATAGTTATGGTGCGTTGAAGTTGCGCACGACGTCACAACGTGCGGCATTTTTAAGCAAGCGGTGACGTCACGGGCCTCTTCTTCTGAACTTTGGGGCGCTATATCTCTTTAAATTTTCATTAGTTTGAAAAAGTGAAAAATACGTGTAAAGTATTTTTTGATAAGTTAACTGACGGACTAATTAAAACTCTTGCTTTTTGACCCAGGAAACATCCCCATTAATAGCTCCTCGCTGATACAACACAGGGACCTCGAAGCATTAGCACAGGTACTTACTGTACCTAGGGTAATTAGTTGAGTCAAATGAGGACACTAATATGTACTAATGTTTTACAAGTTACTATTAAAAATAGTTGAAGATTTTCTTGTATGTTAAGACAGAAATGTTTATGTTGTTATGGCAGAAATGTTACTATTTATTACCAAAACTTTACAGATCACTGAAGAGGTTGTGGGAAGAAATGACGTGAGTTTGTGTATTGATGTATCTGCTATTGTATTATTTCAATTTACTGCCAAACTCAAAACACCTCATAGCACCGTTTATCGTATACCGCTTAAAATAAAATGTTTATCCAATAATATTTTATTTAGAATGAAATGGCTAAAATGATGTAAATAATAACAAGATTTTCACAAACTTAATTTGTGTAAATAGTTAAATGTTCCTCCCAAAAACTTAAGGCCTTTTCAAGTATGCAATATGTTTGTACAGAATACAGATTAAAAATCATCTATTATTATTTTCTTTATTGTCACTTTATGTTATGCTATGTAACACACCTACTACATTTTAAGTCAAATACAGGATGTTTCTAAACGTCAATGATAGAGACTTGCAATATGTATCTAAATTAGTTGTCAAAGACTCCTGTATTTACCATAACAATATGTATTGACTTAAACTAGTAAAACCTTAAAAACAAGTGAATTAAGTGTATACCTACAACTCATTGTACTATGTATTGTATGTATCTTGTTCAAATGTTACATTGGTTATCTGCATGGCTTAGTACAATCATTTCTTTCTTCTATCGTAGGTACCGATTGGTGAGGTACAACGGCGTGTGGCGCGGTTGTGACATCCTGCAGTGGGTCATAGACAACACCAACCATAAAACCAGGTATGTCTATTCTATTAAACAAATCCTATTTGCCAAACTATCTTTCGTGCTATAAAAATTCTAATGTTTATTAAACTCAAAAATGCCCGTTCCGGCATGAATTTTATTTTGCGTATCCTTTAGAGCCCCCACAAACTACAGACTTTTTATCGGCCGATAGTTAAATCAGTTACAAATGAATAAATGAATGAAGTACACACATTACACCGATTTGGCATCGGCCGTCCTCCTCGTCCAAAAAGAAGACAACCAAACTATCGGCCGATAAAAAGTAGTGTGCGGACTTAACGATTTTTGTGATTTATTATTTTTGTGTGTGTGAGGGTTCTTTGGTTCACTAACATCCTGTATACCCAGGTTCCAGGCAAGCCAAGTGTGTCAGAACCTTCTAAGCTCGGGCTACATGGAATGCGTGTCGGAACTGCTACAGTTTGCTGACTACGCGCTGTACCGCCCTACTGCACTGCCCTCTAACACCCAACAGGAAGACTCCAGCCGTGAGTCTATCGACACAAGTTTTTTCTTTTGTTTTTGGTATTGGTAAACCTTTGTCACCTGTCATCCGCTTTGCAATGGAGGGAAGTCGAACCTTAATTACGAACTCCTCCTATGTTCTTCTGATTAATTTCGTTGCGGGTCCAATGACAGTTTAACTTTCCCCCGGGACAAACTTGACCTTCATTGGTTGGGTTTTTATGGCGGTCAAACTGTAGATCCTGGCTACACACGAGTTGCAGCGGTGGGAACGAGAGGTGGGAATAGTCCCGTTTTGTTTTTGGTATCTCAAATTATATCACTCGCTCATATTAGTTCCCCAAGCAGTGGTAGGGTTGGGACATGTAAAGTGCCCTTTGATCCTACTTACAGAAAATAAATGAGTTTACTGCGGTAACCGTTGCGCGAGTTTTTATGTATGCGCGTCAATCGCAATGCCCTTTCTGCAATAGGCGAACCGTGCACTTGCCGGCGTTAACTGTAAATTGATATTCTTTAAAAAAAAATTGACCAAGTTCCTAAATCTTATGCTCATTATCAAATTCACAAATACACGTCCGATTTCAGCGGAGGAAGTTGAAAGTGCTGGCCGACTAGTCGAGAGCGTATCGTCGTACTGCCTGGATTTGAACCTGGGAAACAACTCTGCTCGGCTTATAAAGGCTCCTAAAACTGGTAAGCCATTTTTTGCAGCACTCAGCCGCTTCCTTGGCCCCGCGACACTGGAAGAAAATGGTATTCTTTTTTTCTCGACCACTATCGTTATTATTTTGTTTTCTTTAGCTCTTGTTTCTAGTTTTCTCATGTATGCAATTCTATTTTAGGATTCGAATAATGGCAGTTTATATTCTATTGAATTTCCAATAGTCACTTTCAATCAAGTCAGTTTCTTATTACATTTTAATTGTTAGCAGAGACAAAATCGTCGCCTTCCAGCGAAGAAGAGAATCAACCAGTCCTGGAACAAAGTGAAGGTAAGTGTTGCAGTTTTAACAAGTAACTTTCCGCCCGCGGGTTCGCCCACGTGGAATTTTGTGTCACAGAAAAACTTTATCGCGTGCGTCCCTGTTTCAAAAACCGGGATAAAAACTATCCGGTGTCTTTTCTCGGCACTCACACTCAAACTATCTCTATGCCAAATCTCATCAAAATCGGTTCAGTGGTTTAGGCGTGAGTGTTATTTATTTATTTATTATTATTCAAACATCTTACAAGCTAACAGAATACATTCCAAAGCTCTTATAAGATTCATTATAAATAGGTTATTGTGAAATCACAGGCACATAATAAAGTCAAATCAGTTTTGTAATGTTCTCTTCTGCTCAATTTTTGTATACTTTTGGACTTATATGAACATCACTTTACTTACTTGACAGGCCACACAGAATCAGCGAGCGTGTGCAAGGCAATATCAGTATCAGGCGAGGAACACCTTCGACTTCTGATGCGGCAGTGCCTCGCACGAGCAGCGTTGCCCGCCGCCTGGTTACCAGCGTTGTTTCCGCTGTGCCGCCAAGCTTGCGACCTCATCATGCCTGGTAGGTTAGCGGAGCGAAGCGGAGATGTAGCGGAGTGAAGCGGAGAGGTAGCGGAGCGGTGTCGGGCGAGGAGCACCTTCGACTTCTGATGCGGCAGTGCCTAGCACGAGCCGCGCCCGCCGCCTGGTTACCAGCGTTGTTCCCGCTGTGCCGTCAAGCTTGCGACCTCATCATGCCTGGTAGGTTAGCGGAGCGGAGCGGAGATTTAGTGGAGCGAAGCGGAGATTTAGCAGAGCGGTGTCAGGCGAGGAGCACCTTCGCCTGCTGATGCGGCAGTGCCTCGCACGAGCAGCGCTGCCCGCCACCTGGTTGCCGGCCCTGTTCCCGCTGTGCCGTTAAGCCTGCGACCTCGTCATGCCTGGTAGGTTAGCGGAGCGAAACGGAGATTTAGCGGAGAGGTAGCGGAGCTGTGTTGGGTGAGGAGCATCTTTGCCACCTCGTCATGCCCGGTAGGTTAGCGGAGAGTTAGCGGAGCGATGTCGGGCGAGGAGCACCTTCGCCTACTGATGCGGCAGTGCCTGGCACGAGCCGCGTTGCCCGCCGCCTGGCTGCCGGCGCTATTTCCGCTATGCCGCCAGGCCTGCGACCTCGTCATGCCCGGTAGGTTAGCGAAGCGGAGAAGTAGTGGAGCGAAGAGGAGATTTAGCGGAGAGGCAGCGGAGTGGTATCGGGCGAGGAGCACCTTCGACTTCTGATGCGGCAGTGCCTTGCACGAGCAGCGCTGCCCGCCGCCTGGTTGCCAGCGCTGTTTCCGCTATGCCGCCAAGCTTGCGACCTCGTCATGCCCGGTAGGTTAGCGGAGATTTAGCGAAGATGTAGCGGAACGAAGTGGAGATTTAGCGGAGAGGTAGCGGAGCGGTGTCGGGCGAGGAGCACTTTCCACTTCTGATGCGACAGTTCACACTTCTGTCTCGCATGAGCCGCGCTGCCCGTCGCCTGGTTGCCGGCGCTGTTCCCGCTGTGCCGTCAAGCTTGCGACCTCGTCATGCCTGGTAGGTTAGCGGGGCGGAGAGGTAGCGGAACGAAGCGGAGATTTAGCGGAGCGGTGTCAGGGGTGGAGCACCTTCGCCTACTGATGCGGCAGTGCCTCGCTCACGCCGCGCCGCCTGCCGCCTGGCTGCCGGCGCTGTTCCTGCTGTGCCGCCAGCCCTGCGACCTCGTTATGCCCGGTAGGTTAGCGGAGATGAAGCGGAGATTTAGCGGAGCGAAGCGGAGATTTAGCAGAGAGGTAGTGGATTGGTGTTGGGTGAAGAGTGCGAATGCGGCAGTGCCTCGCACGAGCCGCGCTGCCCGCCGCCTGGTTGCCGGCGCTATTCCCTCTGTGCCGTCAGGCCTGCGACCTCGTCATGCCCGGTAGGTTAGCGGAGATTTAGCGGAGCGAAACGGAGATTTAGCGGAGAGGCAGCGGAGCGGTGTTGGGTGAGGACCATCTTTGCCACCTCGTCATGCCCGGTAGGTTAGCGGAGAGTTAGCGGAGCGGTGTCGGGCGAAGAGCTCCTTCGCCTACTAATGCCGCAGTGCTTCGCAAGAGTTGCGCTGCCCGCCGCCTTGACTGCCGGCGCTGTTCCCGCTGCGCCACTAGGTCTGCGACCTCGTCATGCCCGGTAGGTTAGTGGAGAAGTAGCGAAGCGGAAAAATAGCGGAGCGAAGAGGAGATTTAGCGGAGCGGTGTCAGGCGAAGAGCACTTTCGCCTACTAATGTGGAAGTACCTTCCACGAGCCGCGCTGCCCGCCGCCTGGTTACCAGCGCTGTTCCCGCTGTGCCGCCAGGCCTGCGACCTCGTTATGCCCGGTAGGTTAGCGGAGAGTTGGCGCAGAGGAAGGCCTAAAGAGCCCCAGCTCTTGGACATCGTTCGTTTCAGCCAAATGACGTCCACTGCTGAACAAAGGCCTCCCCCAAGGCTTTCCATAGCGACCGGTTCTGCACTGCACTGCCCGCATCCAGGTTCTTCCCGCGACCTTCACCAGATCGTCGGTGCACCTAGTAGGAGACCTGCCCACGCTACGTCTTCCGGCCCGTGGTCGCCACTCGAGAACTTTTCTGCCCCAACAGCCATCGCCTCTACGAGCTATGTGCCCTGTTCACTGCCACTTGATTTTATCAATTCTGGGAGCTATGTCGGTCACTTTGCTTCTCCTGTGGCTCTTGGACATAAATCAAAGTATCTATTGTTTCTGTAGTCTACAGTTACAAGCTGAACATTTCCATTTGTTCGGATTTTTAATACTAAAGACCCATCTTTGACAAACTTTTACAAATACCGAATACTGTCCTATACCTTTAACGGAACTTAATCTCATCTGCTTCCAGATCTGTTCAGCACGGACATCGACCCGCGGCACTACGTGCAGGTCAAGAAGGTGCCGGGCGGCGAGCCGCGCGACAGCTGCGTCGTGCGCGGCGTCGTGCTCACCAAGAACGTGGCCCACAGGTAGGGATATTCCGATACTAATACATACGAGTAGGTACTCGATACTTTTGATTCGATACCAAGTATTTATTGTATCGAATCAATTTTGCGATACATAATCGGTATCGAAACAAAAATACTTGGTATCGAATCGAATCAGCAAAACAACCGAAAACAATAAAAAAAACCGAGAACGCATCATACAGAACTGAGAGAGCAAAAACTGTCAGCTAATCAGCTTTAATCGGTTACCGAGTTACCGGTATTCGTCGCGTGGCGGCGTGAGTGACGCGTTGTCTCGCGCTGGGCCAGCCGAATTCGTCCGACTTCAGCCGAGCCCGAGCCGAAAGCGAGAGAAGGAGACACCGCACCCGCCCGCAAATCATCTCGCCATTCCGCCATTGTGAAAGTGTTAAGTGATTGTTTACAAGTAATTTTATTAATTGTAATCATCAAATTCATCGGTTTATTCCAATGTTATGATGGCATAAACCGATAAATAAATAGTTGTGTTTTTCTCAATTTTGTTTAATTATTGTCCTTCAACGTTCATTGATAGCACCCTCAAAATAATAAAACAAAATAAAAGTTCCAAAAAGTATCGATATCAGTAACTATCGATACTTTAGGAGTACTTATTTAAGTAGTATCGAAAAAAGATTTGAGTATTATCGAAATGAATAGGTATCGATACTTAGGTGGTATCGGAACATCCCTACCCACAGGTGGGCGTGGGCTCCTTACAGACAGCACTACGGCAGGCCCAGGAGCCGCGCGACAGCGGCGTCGTGCTCACCAAGAACGTGGCCCACAGGTGGGCTGAGATTCCCACTCTACCATGGGCGTCGTATCATAAAGTTAATATTCCTTCGGAATAGAGCAACACCCACGAGCTGTCAAACGAAACCGATTATGGATGACATTTGTGTGTCAGCGTCAGGATTATTTCACTGTGTACAATAAATCAATCACTGAACCGAACCAGTCACCACGTTTTTGAAGCACTATTTCAAATAAACATTCACGATTTCACTCACGTTCGTTCGTTCGTTTCAGCCAAATGACGTCCACTGCTGGACAAAGACCTCCCCCAAGGTTTTCCACAAAGACCCGTCCTGCGCCACCCGCTTCCAGGCACCTCCCGCGACCTTCACTAGATCGTCGGTCCACCTAGTGGGAGGCTTGTCCACACAACAACTTCCGACTCGTGGTCGCCACTCGAGAACTTTCCTGCCCCAGCGGCCATCAGCTCTACGAGCTATTTGCCCCGCCGCTTTGCACATACCCAATTGGGTATTGGCCGATGGGGCTGGCCAGTGGGTTATGATGATGTGGGACTCACTCTCCCTGCCAGAAGGGTTCTAGAAAGAAAGAAAGAAAGATACATTTATTACAATGGACATCACACAAATACAGGCAATTACATAGACATGACACTGGCACATAATAATGGAAGAAGAAAAAATAAAAACAAGAGTAAACTGAGCAGTGCCACCCATCCACCAACAAGATGCCCACTGCAACGGGACCCCACTCAGCATATGCCGTGGCCCACGGGACGAAGGCCACGGCGCTGGTTTTCAGTGTGCCCCATGCCGAGTGAGGCAGGTTCTACCCCCCAAAACCCCGACGGTGTCTTCCGGAGCCACTGAAACGGAGCCGTGAGTTGGCTAAAATCCCATCCTACCATGAGCGTACCGAGATCTACACTGTCCCCTCCCTCTTAGAAACGTTACGCGGGGATCTTGCTTTTTTAAGCCCTTCATTTGCCCCCTACAAATGAATGACGACGATTTTACACGCCCCTATATATTACAAGTAGGTATAATGCAGAATCGTTGCGTCCAGGCGATCCAGCACCATTTGAAAAAATGATATCGGCAAATTAAGAATTTGGCCGATACTCCACACACTGGCTAGAGTCGCCTTTTATGCCAGGAAGAATGGAGTGGGTTCTATCTTACACCTGTTTGTATTTTTACTAAAGTCCAGTCGCCGAGCACATAGAATTTCGTCCAATGACCCCAAGTTACCCATCCTTATCGCTCGCGCGTAATTATATTGCTGTCGTGACTGTGCGACGGGCAGCCGCTGTGAGTGTGCGAGCAAATATTAAGCCAGGCGTACATAAGAGGTACCTTACTGTGATTTTGATTCTCTATGTCTTGCAGGGGCATGCCTCAAGAGATCGAGAACCCTACAATCTTGCTGTTGGACTGTTCCATTGCCTACCAGAGGGTGGAAGGGAAACTGACGTCATTGGAACCGGTTTTGTTGCAGGTGAGAGACGCATCACTGTGTGATATGAGACGGAACTGTATTTATTTACTAAGACTAGACACAGACCACCGACTTTTAGTTTGCTGATAGTTGGGCCTGATTCTAAATCGAATCGTCGAATTTTTAAAATCCCGCCTTGCACCCGTGAGCACTTACTTTCTAAAAGCAAAATTGAAGACTCCTAGCACTTGTAGTGCTATATAGTTATGTTACTAAGTGCACTGCTACCTTTATAGTATGCATTATTGTCTGTGACAGTTTGTTGTCGATGACAGCCTCCCGGTGTCTATGATTGTTAATAGTTTTNGCGACCTCATCATGCCTGGTAGGTTAGCGGAGAGGTAGCGGAGCGAAGCGGAGTGAAGCGGAGAGGTAGCGAGCGGTGTTGGGCGAGGAGCACCATCCACTGCTGGCAAAAACTAATAATAGTTAGGCTGTGCCTATCATAGTCCGGCAACTTCGTGCGCGACCGTATTAACCGTAGTGCGGGATAACAGTTGGTGGTGGGGATGAGATGTCAACGGGTTGCGGAAACTCGCTACCCTTTGACATCTTGATACCTCAACTGCTTCGTGCTATTGGTGCTACCTCGTCCCCATCTCCGTCTCTCTACCGCAGAACGGTCGGCAACGAAGTTACCAGTCTATAATGCTGGCCTGTGTTTAGCAACCCTAAGAGCTCTTTCAAATTATAGTCTGGTCTGCGAGCACGTAGCAATTTTGTCCAATGACGCCCGTCGCACAGTCGCGACAGCAATATAATTTCGCGCGAGCGATAAGGATGGGTAACTTGGGGTCATTGGACAAAATTCTACGTGCTCACAGACCGGGCTTTAGACGTTTATTCCAACGCATTTTTCACACAATTATCCGTGTGTGGTCCCGCTCAAAACGCATAATTTGAAGGAGCTCTAAAGAAAAACTTGTCATCATTCCAGATCTGTTCAGCACGGACATCGACCCGCGGCACTACGTGCAAGTCAAGAAGGTGCCGGGCGGCGAGCCGCGCGACAGCTGCGTCGTGCNTTTCAGTGCCGCCCTCGTAAATAGGTTATTGTGAAATCACAGGCACATTATATAAAGTGAAAATATAAGTTTTTTAAAGTTCTCTTCTGCTCAATTTTTGTATACTTGTGTGAACATCACTTTATTTACTTGCCAGGCCACACAGAATCAGCGAGCGTGTGCAAGGCCATATCAGTATCAGGGGAGGAGCACCTTCGACTTCTGATGCGGCAGTGCCTCGCACGAGCAGCGCTGCCCGCCGCCTGGTTACCAGCGTTGTTTCCGCTGTGCCGCCAAGCTTGCGACCTCATCATGCCTGGTAGGTTAGCGGAGCGGAGAGGTAGCGGAACGAAGCGGAGATTTAGCGGAGTGAAGTGGAGATGTAGCGGAATGAAGCGGAGTAAAGCGGAGATGTAGCGGAGCTGTGTCGGGCGAGGAGCACCTTCGACTTCTGATGCGGCAGTGCCTCGCACGAGCAGCGTTGCCCGCCGCCTGGTTGCCAGCGCTGTTCCCGCTGTGCCGTCAAGCTTGCGACCTCGTCATGCCTGGTAGGTTATCGGAGATTTAGCGGAGCGAAGCGGAGAGGTAGCGGAGCGGTGTCGGGCGAGGAGCATCTTCGACTTCTGATGCGGCAGTGCCTCGCACGAGCAGCGTTGCCCGCCGCCTGGTTACCAGCGTTGTTTCCGCTGTGCCGCCAAGCTTGCGACCTCGTCATGCCTGGTAGGTTAGCGGAGATGAAGCGGAGAGGTAGCGGAGATTTAGCGGAGAGGTAGCGGAGCGGTATCGGGCGAGGAACACCTTCGACTTCTGATGCGGCAGTGCCTCGCACGAGCAGCGTTGCCCGCCGCCTGGTTACCAGCGTTGTTTCCGCTGTGCCGCCAAGCTTGCGACCTCGTCATGCCTGGTAGGTTAGCGGAGATGAAGCGGAGAGGTAGCGGAGATTTAGCGGAGAGGTAGCGGAGCGGTATCGGGCGAGGAACACCTTCGACTTCTGATGCGGCAGTGCCTCGCACGAGCAGCGTTGCCCGCCGCCTGGTTACCAGCGTTGTTTCCGCTGTGCCGCCAAGCTTGCGACCTCGTCATGCCTGGTAGGTTAGCGGAGATGAAGCGGAGAGGTAGCGGAGATTTAGCGGAGAGGTAGCGGAGCGGTATCGGGCGAGGAACACCTTCGACTTCTGATGCGGCAGTGCCTCGCACGAGCAGCGTTGCCCGCCGCCTGGTTACCAGCGTTGTTTCCGCTGTGCCGCCAAGCTTGCGACCTCGTCATGCCTGGTAGGTTAGCGGAGATGAAGCGGAGAGGTAGCGGAGATTTAGCGGAGAGGTAGCGGAGCGGTATCGGGCGAGGAACACCTTCGACTTCTGATGCGGCAGTGCCTCGCACGAGCAGCGTTGCCCGCCGCCTGGTTACCAGCGTTGTTTCCGCTGTGCCGCCAAGCTTGCGACCTCGTCATGCCTGGTAGGTTAGCGGAGATGAAGCGGAGAGGTAGCGGAGATTTAGCGGAGAGGTAGCGGAGCGGTATCGGGCGAGGAACACCTTCGACTTCTGATGCGGCAGTGCCTCGCACGAGCAGCGCTGCCCGCCGCCTGGTTACCAGCGTTGTTTCCGCTGTGCCGCCAAGCTTGCGACCTCATCATGCCTGGTAGGTTAGCGGAGAGGTAGCGGAGCGAAGCGGAGTGAAGCGGAGAGGTAGCGAGCGGTGTTGGGCGAGGAGCACCATCCACTGCTGGCAAAAACTAATAATAGTTAGGCTGTGCCTATCATAGTCCGGCAACTTCGTGCGCGACCGTATTAACCGTAGTGCGGGATAACAGTTGGTGGTGGGGATGAGATGTCAACGGGTTGCGGAAACTCGCTACCCTTTGACATCTTGATACCTCAACTGCTTCGTGCTATTGGTGCTACCTCGTCCCCATCTCCGTCTCTCTACCGCAGAACGGTCGGCAACGAAGTTACCAGTCTATAATGCTGGCCTGTGTTTAGCAACCCTAAGAGCTCTTTCAAATTATAGTCTGGTCTGCGAGCACGTAGCAATTTTGTCCAATGACGCCCGTCGCACAGTCGCGACAGCAATATAATTTCGCGCGAGCGATAAGGATGGGTAACTTGGGGTCATTGGACAAAATTCTACGTGCTCACAGACCGGGCTTTAGACGTTTATTCCAACGCATTTTTCACACAATTATCCGTGTGTGGTCCCGCTCAAAACGCATAATTTGAAGGAGCTCTAAAGAAAAACTTGTCATCATTCCAGATCTGTTCAGCACGGACATCGACCCGCGGCACTACGTGCAAGTCAAGAAGGTGCCGGGCGGCGAGCCGCGCGACAGCTGCGTCGTGCGCGGCGTCGTGCTCACCAAGAACGTGGCCCACAGGTGGGCGTGGGCTCCTTACAGACAGCACTACGGCAGGCCCAGGAGCCGCGCGACAGCTGCGTCGTGCGCGGCGTCGTGCTCACCAAGAACGTGGCCCACAGGTGGGCGTGGGCTCCTTACAGACAGCACTACGGCAGGCCCAGGAGCCGCGCGACAGCTGCGTCGTGCGCGGCGTCGTGCTCACCAAGAACGTGGCCCACAGGTGGGCGTGGGCTCCTTACAGACAGCACTACGGCAGGCCCAGGAGCCGCGCGACAGCTGCGTCGTGCGCGGCGTCGTGCTCACCAAGAACGTGGCCCACAGGTGGGCGTGGGCTCCTTACAGACAGCACTACGGCAGGCCCAGGAGCCGCGCGACAGCTGCGTCGTGCGCGGCGTCGTGCTCACCAAGAACGTGGCCCACAGGTGGGCGTGGGCTCCTTACAGACAGCACTACGGCAGGCCCAGGAGCCGCGCGACAGCTGCGTCGTGCGCGGCGTCGTGCTCACCAAGAACGTGGCCCACAGGTGGGCGTGGGCTCCTTACAGACAGCACTACGGCAGGCCCAGGAGCCGCGCGACAGCTGCGTCGTGCGCGGCGTCGTGCTCACCAAGAACGTGGCCCACAGGTGGGCGTGGGCTCCTTACAGACAGCACTACGGCAGGCCCAGGAGCCGCGCGACAGCTGCGTCGTGCGCGGCGTCGTGCTCACCAAGAACGTGGCCCACAGGTGGGCGTGGGCTCCTTACAGACAGCACTACGGCAGGCCCAGGAGCCGCGCGACAGCGGCGTCGTGCTCACCAAGAACGTGGCCCACAGGTGGGCTGGGATCCCACTACCATGGGCGTCGTATCGTAAAGATAATATTCCTTCGGAATAGAGCAACATCCACGAGCTGTCAAACGAAACCGATTATGGATGACATTTGTGTGTCAGTGTCAGGATTATTTCACTGTGTACAATAAATCAATCACTGAACCAGTCACCACGTTTTTGAAGCACTATTTCAAATAAACATTCACGATTTCACTCACGTAAAATCTGAAAATATCTCAGTTCAAATTTTCAGCATGCCACTAAGTGCCTCTGAACTGTCAAATAGTTGCAAAAAATGGTTCTGTTTGGCGTAACGGCGACGGCATCACGCGTCTCTTTTTTTTATTACAACGTGTTGTTGCTAATGACATCTCGCTCGCTCGCTCAGTTCTTTGTTGCTCTATTCCGCTAGGTATATTATTAACTTTATGGGGAGTATCGAGGGCCGCCCGACAGGCCCGCCAAGTTGACAAGACCTGCCGCGCTTGAGTTTCTGTCCGCGCCAGTAAACTGGTACTCCCATTTCTGGGGGGAGTTCCTCTATCCGCAACCCGGAGACGCGTCCGATAGCAGACCCAAAACTGCACAGAAAATTAGGGGTGATTATATCCTACTCCTATACAACTTTGTTTGATGCGAAATTAAATTAAATGATTTATTTTTTCGTCATTCGTCGTTAGCCATTTACTTTGGCTGACTATTTTGAGAGATATACGAGTACATAATGAGTATCTACAACATTGATATTAATTCTTTATATCTTGGCCTTGCAGGGGCATGCCTCAAGAGATCGAGAACCCTACAATCTTGCTGTTGGACTGTTCCATTGCCTACCAGAGGGTGGAAGGGAAACTGACGTCATTGGAACCGGTCTTGTTGCAGGTCAGAGACGCATGAAACCGTATTTACTAAACCTTGAGTTGCACCATCTTACTTAAACTATAACAAACGTCAAAAGTCTGCCAAACTTCATACAAAACACCGGTTAAAGTTAAGGTGATGCAACTCAGCCTTTGTTTTACACCAACTTTCATCTTAAACAACTGTCCTCACCGCGCATTCTCTGGAGGAGGTCGCTTTCTAGCGGTAAGACCGTTCCAATTAGACATTTCTTTTGTGTATAACTTACTAGCGGCCGCCCGCGACTTCGTACGAGTGGACCCCGTTCTAACCTCTTAGAGTAGGCGCACACCGTTGATTTTTCGTCGGCCGATAGTTTAGTCGGGCAGTTGATCAGTACGGGCATGTATGGGAGTGCGCACACTACGCCGATTCGAGTTGGCCGATTCTTCATACAATTTAAAATCGGGCACAACTATCGGCCAACTAAAAATCAACGGTGTGCGCCTAATCTTAGTTAGACGTTGAATTATGCAAAATCCCGTCTTGGTGAGCACATACGTTATAGGAAAAGCAAAATTGGACTCCTAGCACTTGTAGTTTCTTAGATTTCGTGATGAGTGAGTCAGTCAGTGATTCTCTTTTATAATATTACAGAGATTCGTCAACAGTCTTATCTATCCTACAGGAACAACAATACCTAGTCCGTTGCGCGGCACGCATCACAGCGCTACAGCCTAAAGTAGTTTTAGTCCGCGGGGGCGCAGCCCGGGCCGTGCAGGATGCTCTCAGGGCCGCGGGCGTAGCCCTGGCCGCCAGGCTCGGGGACAAAGCCCTGCAGAGGACAGCCAGATGTTCAAGAGCTGATCTGGTAGCTTCTATTGATGCTAGAATTGGAACGCCTAGGCTGGGGACTGCGGAGAGATTCTATATTAAAAATTGTAAGTACCTTATGTATAATAGGCTAAGATATAAAGTTTAAGGCTCAGATATAAGCCCTGCAGAGAACAGCCAGATGCTCACGAGCTGACCTGGTGGCTTCTATTGATGCGAGAATTGGAACGCCTAGGCTGGGGACTGCGGAACGATTCTATATTAAAAATTGTAAGTTCCTTATCTATAAGATGCTAAGATATAACACATAAGGCTCAGTAATAAACCCTGCAGAGAACAGCCAGATGTTCAAGAGCTGATCTCGTGGCTTCTATTGACGCTAGGATTGGAACGCCTAGGCTTGGAACGGCGGAGAGATTTTATATTAAAAATTGTAAGTATCTTATCTATAAGAACTAAGATATAAAGTATAAGGCTCAGAGATAAGCCCTGCAGAGGACTGCTAGATGCTCACGAGCTGACCTGGTGGCTTCTATTGATGCTAAGATTGGAACGCCTTGACAGCGAAACGATTCTATAAAATTGTAAGTAGTTATGAATCTTATTTTTTTTTTATGTGATAGGAGATGATCAGATGAAGGTGTAAACTCCTCAGAACCTAGTCCTCCTTGTCAACTATCTAAAGAATTGGAACCGTATCATATTGCATATTTCTCTTTAATTTTTAGATTCAAGCAAAACCCTAATGGTGTTAGAAGGCTGCGCAGAACCTCAGTTGGGATGCTGCATCCTCCTTCGAGGAGCGTCCTTACAAGAATTGATTAGAGTTAAAAAAGTAGTCAAATTCATGGTATTAGCATGCTACAACTGGAAACTAGAGAAAGCATTCCTTGGCGATATTGAAGCTGTATTACCCGAACCGGGTATGACTTTTGATGACGATGAAGAAGAAATTGCAAAAGATAATGACAAAGAAGGATCGTTTTCAATGAGTAATGACGCTGGACATAATGAAAAGGATACAAGCGTCAGTGAATCGGACGCAATTAATGATGAGGAGAAAGATAATAGTGACAATAGCGAAGTGTTTAAAGATGCTGTGTTGAGTGCCAATGATGCAAAGAGTAATGATTCGAAAGATAATGATGCAAAGTGTAATGATTTGAAAGATAACGATAAGAAGGAGCCAGATGATCCGTTGCAGAGGACGAAGTTTGTTCGCAAAGCGGATAGTGAGAAAAACTTTAGTTGTGGGGTTCCGATAAGGGATTTTAGTGATCCGCTAAGAGCAACCCTGTCGGTGGACGATGATGTGTTTTTGCCGAAGGAAGAAGCGAAGCTGCAGGCTGACACGCACAGCGACCGGTAAGTTTAGGAACTGAATTAGTTGATATTTTATGTTTGGTTGTATGGTTTCGATATGATTTGTTATCGCAATGAAAGATTGTTCAGAAATCAATAGTTGTAATCAACTTTATTATACACACATTGGAAAATTTTGCTATCGAAACAAAACACACTTGATAAAATATAGTAGACCTACTTATTCCTGCATTCTTTCTTAATCAGCACGTCTGACCCGTTTCACCCAAATGACATTTACTGCTGGATGTAAGAACTCCTCTAAGGATTTCCACAACAATTCAGGTGCCCCCGCGACCTTTGCTAGATGATTGGCCCACCGAGTGAGAAGGTTAGGTACAGTCATCGTCAAATAGTTTGTGACACCCAAAGTAGCTAAAAAGTTGAACCTTATTCCAATTGTAACAAAGACATGTTTCGAACTTTATGGCTAATTTGGGTGTCACGAACTATTTGACTGTACACACTACGTCTTCCGTCCGTCGCCACTAAGTACTTTTCTGCTCCAATGGCGACGTTCTACGACTACGAGCTACGCACAAACGAAAACTGACTACCTATTGTTATTCTTTTTCCATCACAGCTGGTCGACAGACGACGTAGTGTTGTCCATGTCTCCCCACACCGTAATCCCCGCGCCGTACCTCGAGACGGAGGCGGGGCGTCGCTGCCCGCTGCGGCGCTACTTCCCGCAGCCGCTGCTGCCGCACGCCCCGCACACGCCCCGCGCGCTGCACCGCAAGATGAGCCGGCAACAGGACAGCGGGCCCACGCTGAAGGTCAGTGGCCAACCAACTTCCAAACAGTATACTATTCCCACCGCTGCAACTCCTGTGTAGCCAGGATCTACAGCTTGACCGCCAATAAAAATGAAGTTTGTCCCGGGGGAAAATTAACTGTCATTGGACCCGCAACGAAATTTATAAGAAGAACATAGGCGAAGTTTGAAGTTAAGGTTCGACTTCCCTAAGCGGATGACAGGTGACGAACAAAGGTTTAGTAACCTTTAACACACGCCCCGCGCGCTGCACCGCAAGGCGAGCCGCACGCAAGACAGCGGGCCCGCGCTGAAGGTCAGTGGCCCCGTGTAGAGACGGAGGCGGGGCGTCGCTGCGACGCTACTCCCCGCACACGCCCCGCGCGCTGCACCGCAAGATGAGCCGCCAACAAGACAGCGGGCCCGCGCTGAAGGTCAGTGGCCCCGTGTAGAGACGCAGGCGGGGCGTCGCTGCGGCGCTACTCCCCGCACACGCCCCGCACGCTGCACTGCAAGATTACCCGCCAACAAGACAGCGGGCCCGCGCTGAAGGTCAGTGGCCCCGTGTAGAGACGCAGGCGGGGCGTCGCTGCGGCGCTACTCCCCGCACACGCCCCGCACGCTGCACTGCAAGATTACCCGCCAACAAGACAGCGGGCCCGCGCTGAAGGTCAGTGGTCAGTAGAGATGGAGGCAGGGCGTCGCTGCGGTACTACTCCCCGCACACGCCCCGCGCGCTGCACCGCGAGATGAGCCGCCAACAAGACAGCGGGCCCGCGCTGAAGGTCAGTGGCCCCGTGTAGAGACGCAGGCGGGGCGTCGCTGCGGCGCTACTCCCCGCACACGCCCCGCACGCTGCACTGCAAGATTACCCGCCAACAAGACAGCGGGCCCGCGCTGAAGGTCAGTGGTCAGTAGAGATGGAGGCAGGGCGTCGCTGCGGTACTACTCCCCGCACACGCCCCGCGCGCTGCACCGCAAGATGAGCCGGCAGCAGCAGGACAGCGGGCCCGCGCTGAAGGTCAGTGGCCCCGTGTAGAGACGCAGGCGGGGCGTCGCTGCGGCGCTACTCCCCGCATCCGCTGCTGCCGCGTGCCCCGCACATACATAATTTCAACCACTGACACAGGAGTTTTCGTCTACTGCTGAACATAGGCTGGGCCTCCCCCAATGTTTTTCAAATGAGGGTTTTCGCGTATGAAAAATCCGCCAGATGGCAATACGTAGACGCGAGGTCCAAATGCTGCATGATTGGTTATTTTTGACATGACATTGACAGATATGTCAAAATCCACAAATCACGCAGCAGTCAGACCCCACATCCACGTCACGCCATCTAGCGATTCTTTCATACGCGAAAACCCTCATTGGTCGGCCTTCCTCAATATTATTCAAATTCAGAAGCTGCCTGCATGTAGTGACTTACATTGGGTCCATTCCCTCGCCATTCATTCGTCCATTCGCTACTTAGCCAGACGTGTAGTTCCTACAAAATAGAACTTATAAATTGATCCGGTGGTATTTACCCGTTTTGTATGTAACTTATCAATTTATTCCAGGAGGTCCACCCATTCATTCAGAACCCCATAACAGCGAGTGCGGACGACCCAATGGTGCGGGCAGCGCTCGCCAACTACCGAGCTACTGGCTGCCGACTTGTTAGCGACAAACATAAAGGTAATTCAAACAAGACGTGTCTTGTAACTCGCTCCACGTAGGGATGATGACTGGGTAATGAAATCGAAATTCTATTTAGTCCGTCAGACAGATAATTAGAAAATATTAGCCTCATATTTTTTTATTTTTTCCATAATCGAATAATTACAGTGTTATATTGAGTTGAAATGTCGCGTGACGTCACTTTTGAGTATAAATTCTACTCAAGCGTGACGTATCGCGCCATTTCAACTCGATGTAGCACTGTTATTATTTCATTATGAACGAAAAAAAAATGAGTCTAATATTTTCTAATTATCTGTCGGATAGACAAATAATTAAAATTTTGTCATCTAACCTATTTGCAGTTGTGTTTTTAACATTATGCTTAAGCGCTAACTGGAGGAAATCGAACCCTAACTTCGAACTCCTCCTATGTTCTTCTGATTAATTGCGTTGCGGGTCCAATGACAGTTTAACTTTCTTCCGGGACAAACTTGACCTTCACTGGTTGGGTTTTTATTGGCGGTCAAGCTGTAGATCCTGGCTACACAGGAGTTGCAGCGATGGCAACGAGTAGTGGGAATAGTCCCGTAGCGCTGCACAGTAATTGTACAATTCAGTTGAAATAAATTTTATTAAAGCCTGGTCCGTGAGCACGTAGAAGTTTGTCCAACGACCCCAATCTACCCATCCTTATCGCTCGCGCGTAATTATGTTGCTGTCGCACTCGCACACTCACTGCGGGCGCCCGTCGCACAGTCGCGACAGCAATATAATTACGCGCGAGCGATAAGGGTGGGTAGCTTGGGGTCATTGGACAAAATTCTACGTGCTCACGGACCAGGCTTTACGAAATTAGTAGGAGCCGTTGTTTTTTGACATTATGCACTTAAATAACGGGACTATTCCCACCTCTCGTTCCCACCGCTGCAACTCCTGTGTAGCCAGGATCTACAGCTTGACCGCCACAAAAACCCAACCAATGAAGGTCAAGTTTGTCCCGGGGGAAAGTTAAACTGTCATTGGACCCGCAACGAAATTAATCAGAAGAACATAGGAGGAGTTCGAAATTAAGGTTCGACTTAAATATTTAGGCCCAGTTTTTTTATTCATAGTTAAAATAACTAATTGTTAAATTTTGCTACTAATGGTTAAATATTAACAAAATGTAAACTAATAGTTAAAAATGTACTAAAAGTCAAGCTAACCATTATTCGAAAAACATTTTTTTCTAATATTTAACCACTTGTCATTTGACATCTCGCACCTTCGGTAGAACAAGGGCACAATTGTCAAAAGTTGCAAAAATGAGTTAAGTATGCAGAAATACTTTAAAAATGTGTAGCTAATAATTAATAGCTCTCCTGTAAAATTGCAAAAAGTGCAATTGTGCTCTTGTTCTACCGAAGGTGCGATCTGTCAAATTTGACTATAGGTTATTTTAACTACGAATCAAAAAACTGGGCCTTAATCGTTATTATAAACCACGTGGTTTTTAACCACATGCGTTCTTCTTTGCTTTTTATAGTCGAATGCCCCCTCTACAAGCCGTCAGTAGTAAAGAAGACCGTCAAAGAGCCGGAAGAGTCAGAGAAGCAGACTGACAACGAGCCGCTGGACCCACTAGCGCCGGAGAACCACCAGCGGCTGGGCATGCTGCTGTACAGCTACAGCAGCAAGTCCGCCAACGTGCCCGACTTCTGCGTCAACCCTTGGTGAGCTGTGCATCATCACCATCAGTATGCATCATCAATGCCCCGATTGCGCTAAATATTTTCAACTGCAACGCAACTGGACGACGAACGAACATCAACTGTATTGACAAATCCGTGTCGCGGTGTCGTTTTGACAGCTAGTTCAAACGAAGCTGTAACGTGAGTAAAAGCTGACAGAAAGCTACTTTTTCTCACACGCAAGTTTCGAGCATTTCGCCTACGCTCCCATCTTACGGGTATCATAATCAATTCATTTAGTTGCCACTGCAAGAAGAGGATTGCTCTTCAATTTACGAGAAGAAAATAAACGATTTGTACTACACTCCCCATCTCAACATCATCAGGTCATCTCCATTTTATTTGCCAATAGAATATAGAGAATTTGGCCTACACTTCCCATCTTATCACCGTCTGGTCGTTTAGTCCCCGTTGCAGGAACACAACTCTCTGATTTACCGGAGGCAATGGAGGATTTAAGGCCATAGCACACTTGCCAACCCGAAAAGGGATGAACACCCTATCGCCTTTACGTACGGAGTTTCATACAAAGAATACTGACCGCCACCAGTTGATACGGTTACAATCCCTTTCCGGGATGATAAGTGTGCTACGTCCTTTATGACGAAGATTTGCCGTTTATTCGCCCTTTGACATACATAGAATACATAGGGTGTATTTTATTTCTGAAACATCTTACGTCGTTTCAACAGGATTGTTAACATGGAGATGTACGGACAGCACGACATATCCTTGGGGGCTTTCCTGGAGAAGTACTGCTTCAACGGGGACTACAAGTGTCCCTCGAGCAACTGCCAAGTGCCTATGAACCAACATGTTCGGAGGTAAGTGGATTAATCATTATTTTATTGTTTACCAAGTATAGCTGTGCCCGCGACTTCGGGGCCGTCCATAAATTACGTCATCGATTTTTTCAGATTTTAGACCCCCCCCCCCCTACAATCATCCTATCGTCATTTCTTAATGACCCCCCCTCCCCTTCTCCCAAAATTGACGTCATTACCNTAATGACCCCCCCCCCTTCTCCCAAAATTGACGTCATTACCAGTTTGATAAAATTAAAACACTTTTTTTTTAATAGATAGAGTGATTCTTAAGGAAGGTTTATACAGGGTGGAAACGATAAGTGATCTCACTCGATTATTTCTAAACTAAACAAGATTTCGAAAATCTGGTTACTGATCCTGAAAGTGCTTCACGAGCTCTTTCAAACGGTATCAGTAATGGATTACAGAATTAATTGGATCTATCCGATAATTCTGTGTTTTCAGCCTCCATACTAAATGTATGCCAGCCACACAATATTAGAAGTGTCATTTTTTTAATCAAATAATTAACACTTAAATTGAACTCCAATTTGCATTCTCATTTAAAATTATTCATGGAAAACATTGGTTTTAAGCTTTACTTGCTATAATATTATCAAGACATGAGTGCCATGACTGTAGCAGTACTAAATGTATGGAAGTTGGAAACATTGAATTTTCGGTTAGATCCAGTTTATTTTGTAACCTATTATTGGTACCCTTGAATAGAGCTCGTGAAGCACTTTCAGGATCAGTAACCAGTTTTTGGATATCTTGAATAGTTTTTAATATTATGTGGTTTTACCAAATGAATGGAAGCTGGAAACATTGAATTTTCGCATAGATCCAGTTTATTTTGTAACCTATTATTGGTACCGTTGGATAGAGCTCGTGAAGCACTTTCAGGATCAGTAACCAGTTTTTGGATATCTTGTATAGTTTAGAAATAATCGAGTGAGATCACTTATCGTTTCCACCCTGTATGTATAATACACGTAAGTACCACGGACGAAGCCGGGGCGGGCAGCTAGTATTATATGTAATATTATTGTTAGAGTATTTTATCTGTAGTTATTACTGTATTTGTGTACATCTATGTTACACTAGCTGACCCGGCGAACTTTGTTCCGCCTTAATGGCAATAAATAAGCAGACTTTTTTTAAAATTTCGAATGGGATAAAAAGTATCCTANTCTTTTAGGCGATTATCACACTGCGCCGCGGTCCGCGTGATTTCATATAAAAAATCCCGCGCGCAGACGCGTTGTCAGTGTGTTGTGCCGCGCGTGTTTTCTATACAAACTGAGGTACTTGCTTACAATGATTAAATCTGTCGTCCGGCGGAGCGCGGCGCAGTGTGATAATCGCCTTAACTATCTTCGTTTTCGGGAGGTATTTGAATGAATAGTTTAGATGTTCCAATTATTACTAACATAGGTTAAGTCCTTTATAACTAACAAATAATGAGTCATGTTACTTGAATAAATAAATTATATTATTATTATATATTATTATTATTTAACCGCAATTTCACTTGACGTTGATTCACTTGTAGATGCAATCTTTGCTTAACTTGCTTATATTGCTTCCACCGGGAAGCATTGATAGGCATTGAGAAAAGAACAAATCGCTTTGAGCGCAAGTCAAATTTCGGGATGGCACGCTAACTTACCTTTGATTTTACGAACAAAGGTCACGTCGCCTATCTTTTTCAAAATCCTATTGTTTTATTTTCGATACTGACAAGCGTGCGTGTCGCTAAAGGAATAAGCGACGAAGTGTTTAGCGTGGGCCCAAAATGAAAAAAAAAATCATAAATTTTTTATTCGTTAACAAACCAACTTTTACAAAAATTGTGGTGACATACCTAGTAAGTAAAAGTATACCTGTATCAGGTAGTCACCGCCCATTCAGACAGTGCTAATTTTGGGTAAGTTTAACAAAAAAAAAAAAAAAGGTTGTAACTGGGGTATTGTCTGTCGTTTGCGGTGTTTCCGGACGGATACGACCTGCAAGCTCTTAAGAGGAGAGCGTATCTTCACCTTACAGGCCGGCAACGCACNACGCACCTGTATCGCCCCTGGGACTGCGGGTGTCTATGGGCGACGGTAACCACTTACCATCAGGTGACCCGTCTGCTCGTTTGCCTCCTGTTACATAAAAAAAAAAATTGTTTTTGCTAGGTGATGTTCTGGTCGCGCTGCGAGTATTGCGGCGCAACCGGGCGCGCGCGCCGCCTCTCCCGCGCGGCGCTGTCGCTGTCTCTCGCGTGCTACGTGCGCGCGCGCGCGTCGGCCGCCCGCTACGTGCGCGCGCGCCTGTGCCGCCACGCGCTGCACACGCACGCGCACGCCTTCGCGCGCCGCCTCACCACGGCCAGCTTCAGGTGAAGCCCGGTCTGTGAGCACGTTACGTTACGTTTGCGAGATCGAATCAGAAATGAGGAGATCCGGAAGCGAACCAAAGTCGCTGACATAGCCCGACGGATTAGCAAGCTGAAGTGGCAATGAGCAGGGCACATAGTACGCAGAACTGACGGCCGATGGGGCAGAAAGGTTCTGGAATGAGGCCGCGTACCGGAAAACGCAGCGTGGGACGTCCTCCTACAAGGTGGACCGACGACATCGTAAAAGTAGCAGGGAGGGGCTGGACGCAGGCCGCTACCAATCGATCAACATGGAAAGCATTGGGGGAAGTCTGTGTTCAGCAGTAGACGTCCTATGGCTGAAGATGATGATGATGATGAGCACGTAGAATTTTGTCCAATGACCCCTAGCTACCCATCCTTATCGCTCGCGCGTAATTATATTGCTGTCGCGACTGTGCGACTGGCACTTGCAGTGTGTGTGCGAGCGCGATAGCAACATAATTACATGCGAGCGATAAGGATGGGTAGCTTGGGGTCATTGGACAAAATTCTAAGTGCTCACAGACCAGACTTTAGTGTAGCGCGGGGTCACCTATAGCGCTGGGTCACCTATAGCGCGGGGTCGCCTATACAGCGGGGTCGCCTATACAGCGGGGTCGCCGGTAGCGCGGCGTTCTCTCCCTCGCGTGCTACGAATGCAAGCGATCGTGAGGTTGACCACGGCCAGCTTCAGGTGTGTAGCGCGCCGTCTCCCTCGCACCGCATTTCGCTGTCGCTGGTGTGCTACGTGTAGCGTGGGTGTTATAATGTAGCGCAGTACTGTGCTGTAGCGTAGGTATCATGCTGTATCGCGGCGCTGTACTGTACTGTAGAGCAGGTGTGGTGCTGTAGCGCGGCGCTGTACTGTACTGTAGCGCGGGTGTGGTACTGTAGCACGGCGCTGTACTGCGCTGTAGTGCGGGTATCGTACTGTAGCGCGGCGCTGTACTGTGCTGTCTGTAATGCGGGTATCGTATTGTAGCGCGGCACTGTACTGTGCTGTAGCGCGGGTATCGTACTGTAGCGCGGCGCTGTACTGTGCTATAGTGCGGGTATTGTATTATAGCGCGGCGCTGTACTGTGATGTATCATGCTAAACTACATAAAACCCTTTTGAATTTAGTTCTAACAGCCATAAATTGTTTATCCTAACGGAGACAACCATATTTTCCTATTCATATTTATGTCACCACACTTTATTTTAGTGAAATCTTCAAAAAATTAAGTTCCGAAAGTCTTGAAATGCGATTAGCACTATTTATGAGAAAAACTATCTGGTAGCATACTTGTAAGTGTAAATACTCGTAACAAAGTTTGTTGCTCAATCAAATACATATTACCATTCCTCCCAGATAAAAGACAATCCCTTCCAGCCTTTGTATTCATAAAAAAAACTGTGTTCTCTACAGATATAGCAAAATATCGTACTACGATATCCAACTGCCGCCTGAGGTGATATCCACTAAGTATGATACTAAGAAGATGCGCGAGGCGTTGATTCACCAGCTCAACGAACTTATGCTCAAAGGTAGGGAAATATTTTTATGTGCATTTTTTCTGCATGTTACCATCAATATTTTCACATTCTTAGTCGCCTGTCATGATAATTATCTTCTTTCCTATTTTTCTTCGTGTATTTGTAGACTTGACTGTTAACCAAATACATATAAAAATCTGTGCAAGATAAACTCACCATACCTGTGCGATGGTTTTCTTTTTTGTCTTGTAGTGCCATTAACTTTCCCGCTTCAAACTTCAAGATATTTTGCGGGACTACCCTTTCATGTTAAAGCCTGGTCCGTGAGCACGTAGAATCCCGTCCAATTACCCCAAGCTACCCATCCTTATCGCTCACGCGTAATTATATTGCTATCGCGACTGTGCGACGCGCGCCCGCAGTGAGTGTGCGAGAGCGACAGCAACATAATTACGTGCGAGCGACAAGGATGGGCAGCTTGGGGTCATTGGACGGGATTCTACGTGCTCACGGACCAGGCTTTAGACATATGAAATTTTACTAATTACCTACTACATATTTTTTTTGGAAAAAAGAAATTTGTATTATTACAGTAGGTATGTATTTATATTTACTTTTGTACAGGGCACGAAACGTTCAGCGCGCTGACAGACAGCGAGGCTGAGAAAGACAGCCAGAACTTCAAGCAGCACATGGATCAAATACATCTCGCGTTGACTTCCGCTACACTAAGTGAGCACACCACTTTGGCTGGTGAGTACACAGCGAGTTTCCTCCTACTTTATTGTGAAGACAGATAAAGTTAATTGGAGCTAATTAAATAATAAAGTTATACCGGAATGGGGAAACCATCTTGCTAAGATGTACATGGTGGAATTTTGTAGTTCCACCTGGAGGGAAAGTACTCTTAATACTGTAGATAGAAAATTTTTCTCAGAAAACATTCCTTTATTTTTGAAAAGAAATAGAACTGCATTGGAAGATTTCCGATTTTTTTGCCTACCCTGTATAACTTACTTTGGGGAGGGCCTTAAAGTTAATCGGAGCTAAGTAAATAATAAAATTATAGCTGAATGGGAAAACCATCTTAGCTTTACCATACCTTATTCTAAAGTCTGGCTTTCACGACAAAGGGATAAACTCAATATTACGAAATGAAAAAACCACTTTAGCTGGCAAGTACCACCACATCATAATCTCAGCCATAGGACGTCCACTGCTGAACATAGGCCTTCCCCGACGCTTTCCATGTTGCCCGGTTGGTAGCGGCCTGCGTCCAGCGCCTTCCTGCTACCTTTACGATGTCGTCGGTCCACCTTGTGGGTTTCATGCTGCGTGTTCCGGTACGCGGCCTCCATTCCAGAACCTTGCTGCATCTGCCGCACTACTACGGTGAATCGCTATTTATATGAAGTTCACACGATTTTTTAGTTTTGTAACAGATAAAATGTTTACTTAGAGGAAAGTCAAGTCTTCTTCTTTCCTTCTACATAAATCATAATATTTTAATACTGAATATTTGATATAGGTGTGGTGCGAAGCCTTTGGAGTGTGTCTGACCGCATCATTTCGGGCGAAAAGATGCTCCGCGACGCTCAGGACCGCTGGGCCGCGCCTCCGCCGAGACACAAGCCAGCGCAGGATACCGCTGGTAAGTTACAATGAGAGCCAGTGTTGGAATTCGTACTAAAATTATAGTATTTGTACTATTATAATAAAAAAAATAATAATAATAAAATCTTTATTTCATTACCAGCGGAATTGCTTATAATTAATAGTGATCGATGCCTCCTTTTAAGCTTAAAGAAGCCTGTGCCAGGAGACATCGCTCTTCCTTGGAATATTATGTGTGCGTAAATACAATTCAATAGGTACTTATACAAAAATAAAAGTAAGCACTAATACTACATAATATCAAGTAGGTATACTAAGTAACATATCTGTAGTAACAAAGTAAGGGGGATGGCGCGCGCGGAGTGAGTGAGTGTATGTGTGAGTGAGTGTGTGTGTGTGAGTGTATGTGTGAATGTGTACATGTGTGTTTTATTTTTATTTATATTTTATTAGTTACTATTATTTCATAGTAAATACTATATACTATCCTAATTACGAGATAGTACGAGATAATACTATATTTTATTATTCCGTTCCATTTATCCTTATTTTAAGCTAAAATTTTACATTTGGCAACTTATTTATGAGGAAATTGCTGAAATGGTGATCAACATTCCATAGACAATATACTATTCTCAACCATTCTTAGATTCATATTTTTATTTAAATACTTTTTGCTATGAGAACTGGACCAATAACATTTTTATTAAAGGTTTCTTTATTCGATTAAACTTTACTTTTTTATTTAAATCCCTATTTACCTAACGTACTATATTTTTCAAGAAATACATTTTTTTTATTTTCCATAGACAATAATTTTCGAAGAGCGCAATTCCAACACTGACTGACACAACTATCGTTTTAGCGCTCACCAGTTAGCGCCACTGTAGAGTAAGGTCCTGTCACTTGCTAGTAGCGAGGACAGTGGCACCAACTGGTGAGCGCCAAAGTGGTAGGAGGACTATCGCATTTGCACTCATCAAGATGGCGCCACTGTAGAGTAAGGTCCTGTCAATCGCCAGGGGTGCCAACTGTTAAGTATAAAAACGATAGCCCTCATTACGATATTTTAAAGCGCGTGTTTTGCCCCTACACAATCAACAAAAACCTGTCAACATTCAACAAAATTGTCTACACAAAACATTGTTTCACTACGTGATTTCCACCGGGCATGGAAAGCAAAAACATTGTTGATGCAAACAAAAATGTGTAGTGTAATGCTTTTGTAGACAGTTTTGTTGAATGTTGGCAATGTTTTGTTGATTGTGTAGGGCAAAATATGCGCTGGAAGCCCGGCTTAAAATTTAAAAATTCAATGATTGAATCATTTTTAATTCTTGCGTGCTTTTATAACTTTTTTTATGCGGTATTTGACCTGACAATCGCACCTGATGTTAAGTGACTTATCATCATTTACTTACCATCTATGCAGACTTTAATAATAATGGTGTACATTTTCATGCTTAGTGTTTATTTATTTTAAGTTCTTCACCCTTTTAGTCTTTGTTTTTGTCCAAGTTCCAATCGATTTCTATATCTGATGCAGCCACTCAATAATTCACTGATAATTAATTTACATGTAACAAGTTATAAATAAAATAAAAATAATTATATTTTTGCAGTTGAAGAAAAATCTGACGTGGAAGAGTCTACTACCAGTGACAGTGCTAACAATGACAGCTCGGGTATGTTACACAGAAATAAATACATTTTATACCAAATATTAAGTAATTTTTGAACAGTTTCCAACTATTTTATTTAGGGACGACCTATGTTTTTGCTTCAGATAACACGTCTAAGGAAAATACAGGTACGGAACGTGAAGTGCTCTTCGGATGGATGTAATTTGCACTATGTAGTTAGAATTAACACAATCTAGCACAGTGGTTTCTGGTGTCTGTGTTGTAGTAATATGTCCGCATGAACGTAGATTAGAATACTAATATTGATAACGCCAAACAGTTTAATTTTATTTACAAGATGATGGGGCTCTTTTAAAGTGTACCACCGCAGTGTAATCGACAAACAGCACCATCTAGTAGTGGTTTTCTTCCAACGTTTATGGGTCTTCTAAAAACAATTTTAAATGTTACAGTTATCTGTATCTGTAGTTAGATGTGTCTATGCTGTGCTGTTTGGGAAATAACAATTAGCAAATTATAGACATTTAGTAACATTTTAATATTTAATAACAAAACCTAGTGGACATAACACATCTCGCTCCGCTAAGGCTACATAAAAAAAACTACACACTTTGTTTAGAATTCGGTACTCAAGGGAACGCTACTAGTTTTAAAGAAGTAGATATTTATGGCACACCCAAAACGAAGATGGTTTCTTTTCTTTTTTTGCATGAGGTTTTGTTTTTCATGATGATGAAAATTTCTTATAGAACTTTTCACCGACTGAATGTTCTATGCTCTTCTGTTTCTATCTAATTTATTTTTGAACCTAGCTTTTTTACTAGTAATGGCTAAATAAAGAATCAACTTAATTTAATGACAATTGTTATTAATTAACTCAATTTAATCTAGAGAAACGTTTTTTTAGGAACGGGTGTAATGTAATCAACATTTAATCATAGATTTAGTGCCTAATTAGATTAACTTGGATTAACTCTTCTAACTATAATTAATTTCTACTGACCCTCAACCTAAAACAATTCAAAAACTGTAATTCTTCATTATGGTCAGGTAAGATCGCGAGGTTTTAACGTAAATAGTGTTAAAAACTTTGTTTTTGGATTTCTAGGCGAGGAAGACGAGGAAAAAGGCGACAAGAAAACAGTTAGACAGATTCTGTCGCAATTGCTATCCAACAACCAGCCTTCCCACCAGGCAAGTTACAATAGAATTTATTTATTAGTCACCTAGATTAACTCACACTTTAATGGAAGGCGCCAATCGGCAATGAGGACTACCGCATTTGCGTTCACCAGTTGGCGCCACTATAAGAATAGAATAGAAAAACCTTTATTTGACACGTAAACACAAATGAAAATAAACAAAAAAAAACATTAAACACACTTAACATAGTATCTCGTGCCAAAAAGGCGCCCGCTCAGTATTAATCGAAACACTCGTGCACGCGTGCCTCGACACTGGTTTTCAGCGGGTACCTATAAGTATGGTCCTGCTACGCGCTAGTGACTAAGGCAGTGGCGTCAGCTCTTAAGTGGTGAAGCGGTTGGAGGACTATCAGTTGTGTCCTTGCCAGAAAGACGCCATGCACTGTAGAGTAAGAACCTGTACTGTAAACCTTTCCAAAGCATTTGTACAAACATACGCACAAACATCATGACACTGTCTCATCATCATCATCATCATCTCAGCCATAGGACGTCCACTGCTGAACATAGGCCTCCCCCAATGCTTTCCATGTTGCCCGGTTGGTAGCGGCCTGCGTCCAGCGCATTCCTGCTACCTTTATGATGTCGTCGGTCTACCTTGTGGGTGGGCGTCCCACGCTGCGTTTTCCGGTACGCGGCCTCCACTCCAGAACCTTACTGCCCCATCGGCCGTCAGTTCTGCGTACTATGTGCCCTGCTCATTGCCACTTCAGCTTGCATGATACTGTCTGTGACGGACGGACAGAAGTGATGACATTTATCAACGATAGCAGCCCGACGCGAAGTACCGTATTTGTGGTGTCAAGCCCCAGTAGGGGGAGATGAGAAGGGACATGGATCAGAGAAATTTGTAGGGAGTCAAGCAAAGCGCCCCACTATGGAGCGAAATTGCGATTTATGGACATAGCGATTTTTTTCACAATTTCTATTTGAAAAAAATACCTATCGATAGGTTACGTTATTCTGATGAATAAATGCTGCACAAGTTTTTCTCTAAAACCAATAGTTTGACTGGAAAAAAATATTTTTCATTTTCGTTGTATGGAATGAAACATAAAGTGGTCGATTTCGACTAAGATTTGACAGATCTTGCTTTGAAACTACTTGAGCCTTGTTCTATGGCTTGTTGACTGTAATCCTACGCTATCAGCGCGCATCCAAAGTTGCCCGTTCACAAGTTATGAGGTTCTGAAAAATTAAAAAAAAGTAAGTAAAAGTGACTTTTTTTTTGAAATATCTTTAAAGATTTAACAAAAATATAAAGATTTTATACGTTAATAATGTAAATTAACCTTAAATTACTGCTAAAAACACATTTTAATAAACTTAAAAGGAATTAAATCAGCGATTTTTTTTTCACAATTTCTGTTTAAAAAAAATACCTATCGATAGGGTATGTTATTCTGATGAATAAATATTATGAACGTTTTTCTCTAAAACCAATAGTTTGGCTGGAAAAAAATATTTTCCATTTTCGTTGTATGGAATGAAACATAAAGTGGTCGATTTCGACTAAGCCTTGACAGATTTTGCTTTGAAACTACTTGAGCCTTGTTCTATGGCTTGTTGACTATAATCCTAGACTAACAGCGCGCGCACAAAGTTGCCCGTTCAGAAGTTATGAGGTTCCGAAAAATGAAAATTAAAGTAAGTAAAATTGACTTTTCTTTAGATAAGACGACAAGAGAAAGGTTAATTACATTACTAAAGTATATAATTTTCATGTTTTAGTTGAATCTTTAAAGATTTATACCCAAAAAAAGATACTTTTACTTACTTTAATTTTCATTTTTTGGAACCTCATAACTTCTGAACGGGCAACTTTGGGCGCGCGCTGTTTTTGCAGGATTATAGTCAACAAGCCATAGAACAAGGCTCAAGTAGTTTCAAAGCAAAATCTGTCAAGGCTTAGTCGAAATCGACCACTTTATGTTTCATTCCATACAACGAAAATGGAAAATATTTTTTTCCAGCCAAACTATTGGTTTTAGAGAAAAACGTTCATAATATTTATTCATCAGAATAACATACCCTATCGACAGGTATTTTTTTTAAACAGAAATTGTGAAAAAAAAATCGCTGATTTAATTCCTTTTAAGTTTATTAAAATGTGTTTTTAGCAGTAATTTAAGGTTAATTTACATTATTAACGTATAAAATCTTTATATTTTTGTTAAATCTTTAAAGATATTCCAAAAAAAAGTCACTTTTACTTACTTTTTTAAAATTTTTCACAACCTCATAACTTGTGAACGGGCCAACTTTGGACGCGCGCTGATAGCGTAGGATTACAGTCAACAAGCCATAGAACAAGGCTCAAGTAGTTTCAAAGCAAGATCTGTCAAGGCTTAGTCGAAATCGACCACTTTATGTTTCATTTCATACAAAGAAAATGGAAAATATTTTTTTCCAGTCAAACTATTGGTTTTAGAGAAAAACTTGTGCAGCATTTATTCATCAGAATAACGTTACCTATCGATAGGTATTTTTTTCAAATAGAAATTGTGAAAAAAATCGCTATGTCCATAAATCGCAATTTCGCTCCATAGTGCGCCCGGGGAAAAGATCCCAGAGCAAGTACCCGCGCGCTCTCCCGAGATTCGGTTCGTACGCCGTGAGGCAGGAAGAACCATGGCTGGTGGTGGGTTTGTCTGTGACGGAATTATTAATTAATGTTTGTTTCTCTCTTCAGGTGGGCATGATCATCTCATCAGGCGTTATTCCTGTAGTGGTACTGGCGGGAGAGATCGGTTCCGTCATCGCCGCCACTCTCGCCTCCGTTACATACCAGCGACACCAATCGCAAAGGTAAGCGGCCGAGTGTCCCTTGAGAGGGACGTCCCTAGATTTAATGCCTGGACACACGGAACAATGAGGGCTATCGTCTTTATACTTAACAGTTGGCACCCCTGGCGATTGACAGGACCTTACTCTACAGTGGCGCCATCTTGATGAGTGCAAATGCGATAGTCCTCCTACCACTTTAGCACTCACCAGTTGGTGCCACTGTCTTCGCTACTAGCAAGTGACAGGACCTTACTCTACAGTGGCGCTAACTGGTGAGCGCTAAAACGATAGCCCTCATTGGAATTGGTATTTTTTTCCAGAGTAGATGTCCGAAAGATCGTGTATTTATTTGAGGAATATCTTAGTCAAAATATAGTTATTTTTATGATACTTACATTATTTTAATTTCTCACTACTGTATAGGAATCCTACCCCACAATTTTACTTTGAGTGGAACGCCAAATGTCCTGATTTCTCTCTAACTTTCTAAGTATGTTGCTCGCTGCTCCGCTTAACTAATCAAAATGTTGTAAATTAATCCGTTTTCTGGTAATCTTTCTTGTTTACAAATACAAAGATTTCATTAAATAGTGTTTTTTATTTATTTCAGTACACAAGGCGAAACAGAGGAAACGGAAAATGCTGCCAACTCAAAAGATAAAACTGACGGTGATAAAGCTAAAGCAGCGAAATCGAACGACCATATTGAAGTTTTGCTGAAGGTAAATTGAACTGAACTGTTTTTTATTGTACTCGTATTGTGAGTCTCTATTGCGATAAGTTCATAGTTTCATGTATTCACAATCCATCCAAACACTTCGGATCTACGGAGTTGCTAATTTATTACAAAGGGGATAAATACATTTTTGTGGCATATTCACATGTCTGCCATTTCAATATTTTCTTTAAGTTTCCGATTAAACGATATTGATATAGATTAAACAAACTAAAAGTTATAAGTTCTCGGCATCAGCCGATATATTGTACATGTCATATACAGGGTGACTTTGTTATCAGTATTGAAATTTTTTTAATAAGCTCTTTAGAACAATTTAACGATACAACTTTATCGTAATTATTTTTAATCGTGGTATTTTTCGCAAAAAATAATATTGAAAGTCTAATTCGCGGGTGCCCATATCTTAAGTTTTAAAGTTTATTGCTTATTTCCGCTCACCATTATGTCTATTAAGCTTTGCAGTTAACTATGTGTACGTATTTTTCCATGAACGAAGCAAATTTTCCACGTGAGTCAATTTGAAAACCGCGCGCAGCGGATGAAGATAATTAAATATGGAGAAAAAAGTTTTGTTTTCTTAACGTAAATCAATTAAGTTACTGATTCTGAGTCGATCCTGAAAATTTGGATACTGATACAAAAATCACCCTGTATATTTTTCTATTCCATCCCCTCAGGACGGTCTGCTATGCCGCGTGTACTACGCGCAGCAATTCCAGCGACTACGGCACATGCTACTCGCTCCACTATCCAGCAACCCGCACATCACTGATGAATTCGCAAATACTAGTGAACACACCGCCGGGGATAACAAGAAGTGCTGCTGCGAGAATAAGGAGAAAGATAGTGAGTATAATCATCATCATCATTCCAGCCACAGGACGTCCACTGCTGAACACAGGCCTACCCAAATGATTTCCACAATGGCCGGTTGGTGGCGGCCTGCATCCAGCGCCTTCCCGCTACCTTTATGAGGTGAGTATAATGAAAATCAAAATTTTCTTCATTTGTTTAGACTAATTAAATTAGTACTTGCAAATCGTCAAATGCTCCTAAGGAGCCTATATATGTCTCATTCTTTTTTTGCCCTACCAGCGCTTCGAGACAAACATTTGGCAAGTGCTGAGAAGTCGTCATTTGGCAAGTAATGCCGGTTGCAGACCAAGAACTAAGTTAGTCGGACTCGCGTGTCTGATGCAGTTGGCTCTGCCGAGCTAAGATTCGTGTCATGATAAAGTTTGTCAACAATTTTAAACCACTTTATGAGCTTGGAGTACATATTCGATAAAAAATATCGTGGTGGGCCATCTTGGGCCTAGAGGTGGCGGTACATAATGCTACTTGAATCGATCGGCTTTGTCGTTCAACAAATACTGTCAAATCATCTAATACACCAACTCGAATAAATATAGATGTATTCAACTAGTGGGATCCAACCACAAATGGTATGCTACATCAAACGGTACAACTTAAAATCAATGTAGCACGCGCCCACACCTTATAAGCATAATGCATATTTTTAACGCGCTCACCATTCGACACTTCGCAGACAAGAGCTTGTGTGAGATCGAGGAAGGCTTCATCCGCTCGCTGGCGCACTGCGTGCCGTGGGCTGCCAAGGGCGGCAAGTCGGGCTCCACCTTTTGTAAGACTAAGGGTGAGTTTGTAATGCTATTTCATTTATATTATATTACTTATATTCTAGTTATAAGACTTTGTCTGTGACGCCAATGAAGCGCATAAGCTGAGTTGAAAAACATCCAGGACTGTAAAAGTTAATTAAAATTACGCAAATAACGTCTGTATGTGTACGACATAATTATTTACTACGGCACATATTATATCACGTTTTCTCTCGCACTCACACTGTTATGGGTGACGTCACACAGAGGCAGGCATAGCGTTGTTTTTAATACGTAATAATTAATGAAATATTGGTGACTGCAGTGGCGGCGTAAGGCGTGGGCGACGTGGGCCACCGCCTACGGCCTCGCGGTACAAGGGGCCTCGCGCCTCAAAAAATTTTTTTTAAATATTAATCTAATTTGTATTTTTATGAATAAAAACTTGTCAGTGTTCATTGTTTTTTTATTATTACTTTTTTTATAATTCAGTTCGCCACAGAACAAGGCCTCGCGAAATCTGTCTTGCCCACATCAAATTTAGGTCTTGCCCCGCCACTGGGTGACTGTACATCAGCGCATTTCTGTTTCAAAAATTACTTATGGCCTCGCCTGCCACGAGTCTTTGCGCGAGTATAGTCGTTTAATTGTTCAAAAACGTTATAATAGTATGTTTTTTATGGAAAATAATTTATAAATACGAATTAAAAGTCCCGTTTGTGTTTGTTTGAGACATTGATTTTTTTTTCTCCTGTGATCGCTATTTTGTCCCATCGAAAATTCTTCGCGTTCAACTTACTCAAACCGTAATTACTCAATGAACAGACGACCGCTACGTGCTGAAGGAGATGACGAAGCCGGAGTGGCAGCAGTTCCTCGAGTTCGCGCCGCACTACTTCAACTACGTCATCAACTGCCACCAGAACCAACAGCCTAGCCTCTTAGGTGAGTGACGTACCGCACCGTCATAGTGAATTATCTTTCAAAGCTTCAAACCCGCAAACTCGTTGGTAAATATTTATAACTAGCTTTTGCCCGCGGCTTCACCTCGCGTGAAATTTAGTGTCACAGATCGGCATAAATTATAGCCTATATGTTAATCTGGATTACAAACAATAATACTGTAAAGTTTCAAGAAAATCCGTTCAGTAGTTTTTGTGTGAAAGAGTTACAAACATCCAGACATCCAAACTTTCGCATTTATAATATTAGTAGGATAACGTCTGGCAATACCAAGATGACGCCTATGCACTATGGCACTTATTTAATTCATAATAACGTCTGGCAATACCAAGATGAGGCCTATGCTTTATTGCATCTAATTACAACGTTTTTTTTCCCAAAGTTTTGTTTTCTCCGCAATAAATTAATTACTTGCAACTTAGTTTCGGTGTATGGACCTTAACCTCAACATTGTTCACTCTTCATCTGTAAACTAAAATTGATTGATAACATTAAAATTGTTTTCCGACCTAGTTTCATGAACTAATTTAATGTATTATTAAATCACCTGCCGAATTGTTAGAGCCACGCACGCGATCCATGTCAAATAATGTAAAGCCCGGTCTGTGAGCAACATGATTACGCGCGAGCGATAAGGATGGGTAGCTTGGGGTCATTGGACAAATTTCTACGTGCTCGCAGGCCAGACTATAGTTCATGACACCCAAACTGGCAAAAAAGTTGACAACGCACCCTTATTCCAGTTGGAACAAAGACTTGTTGCGAACTTTTTGGCTATTTTTGGTGTCACGAACTATTTGACGCTGTACCCGCGCAAGTTTTAGAGTACGCTACGCTAAGAGTAGGCGCACACCGTTGATTTTTAGTTGGCCGATAGTTGTGCCCGATTTTAAATTGTATGAAGAATCGGCCAAATCGAATCGGCGTAGTGTGCGCACTCCCATACATGCCCATACTGATCAACTGCCCGACTAAACTATCGGCCGACGAAAAATCAACGGTGTGCGCCTACTCTTAGCGTAGGCCCTGTACTGATTCCTCCAATAATCTTATTGTTTGTTTTCAGCTCGTATCCTAGGCGTGTACAGTGTAGGCGGAGCGGGAAACGGGATCCTCGTAATGGAGAACATCTGGTACGGCTGCGCGGCCGCGCGACGCTTCGACCTCAAGGGATCGTCCCGCCATCGCCTCGCCGCCGATACGCAACCGCTGGCTGTGCTTATGGACGAAAACCTGCTTAACTGTGAGTCTTTATGGTGTGGGAATAGAGATCAAGTTCGCCTGGTAGGAGAACCTACTCAAACGTGAGTTCTTACGGCGCAAGGAACAGAGCTTAAGCACAAAATATAACAGAAGGTAAACTCATGTATGTACCTCGTTTTGCATACCTCTNTTTATAACCCAGAATAACATATAGGCTATAATTTATGACGATCTGTGACAAACTGAATTTCACGCGGGTGAAGCCGCGGGCAAAAGCTAGTTATCCAATAATTCATAAAACCTCTCTAAAACAATTCGATATTCCTAATAATTGAGTTGGCTTTCAACTTCAATTGAAATTCAAATAAATAACTTACTTACCTCCCCGAATCAACTGGTAATTTAAAAAATGAAAATTCAGTATTTAATGATGAGTTTAAGCAACCAAATACCGAACAATTATAATACGACTTTTTCTGTTCACTCATTTTCGTCAATTTCGCAAAACAAAATAATATCACAGGCGGTTGACCGGCGCGTGACTCAAGCGAACCACAGCGAACGTGTGGCGAACGTCTGTCGCGCCACGTCGCGCTCGCATTCGTCCAAGACAGTCTTGCTAGAGCGGTGTCTATGTGTGCGTGGCTCGAGCGCATTTAGTATGGAGTTTGTCTTCTGTTATATTTTGTGGCTTAAGTTTGCTCGAATGAAGATCCTGCTCGACCGTGAGTCTTTATTGCGCAGGGAATAGAGTTCAAGTTCGCCTGGCGTGACGCTTCGACCTCAAGGAATCTTCGCGCCTTATGCCTTATGGACGAGAACCTGCTCAACTGTAAGTCTTTACTGCGTAGGGAATAGAGCTCAAGTTTGCTTGGATGAAGACCCTGCTCGACCGTGAGTCCTTACGGCGCAAGGAATAGAGTTCAAGTTCGCTTGGCGTGACGCTTCGACCTCAAGGGATCGTCCCGCCATCGCCTCGCCGCCGATACGCAGCCGCTGGCTGTGCTTATGGACGAGAACCTGCTCAACTGTGAGTCCTTCGTTCGTTCGCTTCAGCCAAATGACGTCCACTGCTGGACAAAGGCCTTCTAAGATTTCTACAACGACTGGTCCTGCGCCAACCGCATCCAGGTACCCTCACAAGATCGTCAGTCCACCTGGTTAGGGGCCTACCCACGCTAGATCTTCCGACCCATAATCGCCACTCGAGAATTTTTCTGCCCCATCGGTCGGTCATCAGCTCTGCGAGCTATGTGCCCCGCCCACTGCCACTTGATTTTTAGGATTCTGCGGGCTATGTCGGCCACTTTGGTTCTCCTGCGAATCTCCTCATTTCTGATTCAATCACCTTCGATCCTCGTAATGGAGAACATCTGGTACGGCTGCGCGGCCGCGCGACGCTTCGACCTCAAGGGATCGTCGCGCCATCGCCTCGCCGCCGATACGCAGCCGCTGGCTGTGCTTATGGACGAGAACTTGCTCAATCGTAAGTCCTTATGGTGCAGGAAATAGAGTTCAAGTTTGCTAGGATGAAGATCCTGTTCGACCGTGAATCTTTACGGCGCAAGGAATAGAGTTCAAGTTCGCCTGGCGTGACGCTTCGACCTCAAGGGATCTTCGCGCCATCGCCTCGCCGCCGATACGCAGCCGCTGGCTGTCCTCATGGACGAAAACCTGCTCAACTGTTACTCCTTCGTTCGTTCGCTTCAGCCAAATGACGTCCACTGCTGGACAAAGGCCTTCTAAGATTTCTACAACGACTGGTCCTGCGGCACCCGCATCCAGGCACCCTCACAAGATCGTCAGTCCACCTGGTTAGGGGCCTACCCACGCTAGGTCTTCCGACCCGTAATCGCCACTCGATAATTTTTCTGCCCCATCGGTCGGTCATCAGCTCTGCGAGCTATGTGCCCCGCCCACTGCCACTTGATTTTTAGGATTCTGCGGGCTATGTCGGCCACTTTGGTTCTCCTGCGAATCTCCTCATTTCTGATTCAATCACCTTCGATCCTCGTAATGGAGAACATCTGGTACGGCTGCGCGGCCGCGCGACGCTTCGACCTCAAGGGATCGTCCCGCCATCGCCTCGCCGCCGATACGCAGCCGTTGGCTGTGCTTATGGACGAAAACCTGCTCAACTGTGAGTCTTTATGGTGCAGGGAATAGAGCTCAAGGTCGCCTGGCTGGAGAACCTACTCGAACGTGAGTTCTTACGGCGCAGGGAATAGAGCTCAAGTTTGCTTGGATGAAGATTCTGCTAGACCGTGAGTCTTTACGGCGCAAGGAATAGAGTTCAAGTTCGCCTGGCGTGACGCTTCGAACTCAAGGGATCGTCCCGCCATCGCCTCGCCGCCGATACGCAGCCGCTGGCTGTACTTATGGATGAAAACCTGCTTAACTGTAAGTCTTTATGGTGCAGGGAATAGAGCTCAAGTTTGCTTAGCTGAAGCCCCTGCTCGACCGTGAGTCCTTACGGCGCATGAAAAAGCGCTTAAGGTCGCCTGGCTGAAGAACCTGCTAATAAGTTAGCCTGGTTGTGCTCATGGACGAGAACCTGCTCAACTGTGAGTCCTTATGGTGCAGGGAATAGAGCTCAATGTCGCCTGGCTGTAATCAAAGTCCTTACGGCGCATGAAATAGGGTTCAAGTTACGGCTGCGCGGGCGCACGACGCTTCGACCTCAAGGGATCTTGGCGCCATCGTCTTGCTGCCGATACCCAGCCTTTGGCTGTCCTCATGGACGAAAACCTGCTCAACGACTTGACCTCAAGGGATCCTCGCGCCATCGTATCGACTGTTTTGGCTCTAAGAAGAAAGATCGCGTTGTGTTTGGCAAAGACGTCAATATACTGACGTATTCACAAACGATGCTTGTTTAAGTGAAGCAGCAAATCGAATGCACAGCGTTGAATAGAGCTCTGTGGTTGGTTCGTGTGTCACTCTGTGCGTCCACGCGCACTGTGAGACATAGTAAGGCGGGTTTTAGAATCGCGCTGACCGCTCGCTGATCGTCGGCGCTGACAGATCAATATGTATGTAATTGAAGGGAACGTTTCTGAGTGACGCTGATCACTCGGCGCCGACGCTTCATACATTTCGGCTGTCAGCGCTGACGGTCAGCGTGACTAAAACCAGTCTTATTTTTGTGTATATGTGCGCGAGTCAATTAAGTTTTTGTTTTAATTCCAGTGCGCTGGGAGACGCAGCTGTACATAATGTCGCACGCGGGCGGCGTGCTGTGGGCGAGCGTGGAGCGCGACACCGCCTTCCTGGCCGCGCACTGCGTCATGGACTACTCGCTGCTGCTCGGCATCGACAACCGCACGCTCACGCTGGGCCTCATAGGTAACGCCAGTACAGACGCACAGTACCAGTACCTTCCTGGCCGCGCACTGCGTCATGGACTACTCGCTGCTGCTCGGCATCGACAACCGCACGCTCACGCTGGGCCTCATAGGTAACGCCAGTGCGACCGCATCAGCGCACTCCACCAGCACACGCGTGGCATAAGGAATCTGCCACCCCATTCGTGCGAGTTCGCAATCAGCTGAAAAATGCGACGATGCCTTCGCGCGCCGCCAAGAAGAAGATTACCTCGCAACAGCCCGGTATAACAATAAGCAATAGCTTCGCTTCGCTCTCCATCGAAAATGAGCATAAAGATGAACTGGAAAGGGAAGAAGATAATAACCTGGCTACTTCCACCTCACCCACCTCACCCAAACCCAAGAAAAGAAAAAGAAGCGTCGTATCTCCCAAAGCGACAGTTACCCAGCGTCAACCGAGAGTAACCACACAACCTATTCACATCCCTGACATAATTATAACGGACGTAAAGAAAATCAGCGATCCGGAATTCCTTAATAAAATTAGAAAACTAACCACAGAACACGGGGCAAGACACACCATGGCTCCTAACAAAAGAACGATCACGATCCGCGTATACACTGCGGATATAAGGAAGACAATTATAGACGAACTGAGGAATCTTGACGACGGGCTCCGCTTCATTGCACGCGTCCCTAAAGCCCAGCAAATCCACCACACGAAGGTTGTGCTCAACACGAATATCTACGATGAGACGAATGAGGCTTGCCTTGAAGAAATGGAGAGGTGCATCGGTGTGAGACCGCTCAAAATGAGGACTATCAAAGGTAACCTGCAGCTATTTATCTTCGATGGTGCCCACTCATACAATGAAATCGCCACGCTCATGAAAACAACAAAACACGCATACTTCGGGGCTTTTAGTATGAAGCCTCAGGAATACAATGATGACCCTAGGAGAGTAGTACAATGTAAGAGATGTTTCCTCTTTACGCATGCGACATCTGCGTGTCACGGCGAGAGGAAACACCCTACATCCACAATCCGAAACGAAGAAGGCGTAGAGATCCAAATATGTACATCATGCAAAAAACCTGGACATGGGGCCAACCAAGCTAAATGCGAGAAGTTCAAGAAGGCAGTGGACCGCCAAATGACACAACACGAAGAAAAAGTCAGGAAACAAAAAGAAATAGCTGAACGTAGATATGCAACAATGGGAAAGAGCCGGGAAAACGCCCTGCACTTGGACATAACCTCAACTTCACAATTTCCATCGCTGCCCACCAAACAGATACCCATATCACAATCTCAGTATCAGCCACCAAAGCAACAAAATGAACAAATAATTAAAGACAATAGCACAGACCCCCAATGGCAAGAGCTGCAAACAACCATGAAACAAATATTATATCAACTACAGCTACAGCATGAAATCCTCATCAAAATTCTCAGTAAAAAATCCGAGGTATCGATATCATAAATTGCGCATATTGCACCTCAATGCGCAAGGACTCCGACGCAAATTCCTTGAGCTCAAGTCTCTAGCCGACCGCTATAAACCACATATAATCGTGGTCAATGAGTGCCGCGTAGACTTTTCTAAAGTCCGCATGAACCTCCTGAACTACGATAGGATTACTCACTCGGTCGCACCGCATCTAACCACAGCCATGTACGTGATGCGAGAAATACGGTGGAGTCAGACCGATGTAACCCCAGGAACAGAGGAAACAGATCGCCTCATTGAAGGCGTCGCTATCAATCTCATTTATGATCACCAGACCGGGGCATCTATAAAGGTGAAGGGAATATACATACCGCACAGATCAGAACACATTGACACCAAAGCACTTAATGATGAGCTAGAAAATATTATAACCGAAGCTCCTAACATCACTATCGGGGACCTTAACCTTAAAATGACTACACTCAACCAGATGAGAGACGAAGGAGCAGGAATACTCGTTCGCGACCTCTGTAACTCCGACGTGTGCACCATACACCACACTGGCTTACCCTCGCGACCTAACAGTACGGGCTATGGTATCCTCGATGCGGCTATCTTCTCGCTCGATACACAAGATTTTGACACCATAACATGTCGACAAATAACATCGGTTGGCTCTGATCATATGCCCTGGCTACTGGATCTAAATATAGTAGTGGACGTAGAGAAAACACTGGTGAGAAATACCCGCGCTATTACAAACAATGAAGAACTCAAACAACAATTTCAACAAACCCTATGGAATAAAACTATGCATCTACCAAAGAAAATTACATCCGACGTTGAATGCGAAGAATACATACTACAACTAGAAAAAGCTATTACCGAAACACTGGATAAGTATGCACCACTACACGAGAACAATAGAAGAGATCAACTCCCAGAACATATCGATAAATTGATCAACGAAAGAAATAAAGCAAAAAGAAAAGCGTGGCGACTGCGATTTAACCAGGACGTTATAACAGAACAAAGAAGAAACTACAATCGTCTGAAACGTCTGGTTCAACAGGCATTAGCGGAATACAGCAACGATAAATGGACACGGCTAATAAACGATCCACGCGATAACAGAACCCAGATGTGGCGAATGCAACGTAACCTAAAGGCCCCAGTACAGAGACTTCCCCACATTGAGGGTTGCAACAGCGAAGAAGAAACCATCAACGCCTTGGTCGACGCAGCAATCGTCACGGAAGCTGAGATAAACAACGAAGACAGGGGTACAGAAAAGACTACACCATTTCAGCCTCTTGACCCTACAACCATAGAGGAAATCAAATGTATGCTGAGACGTTTCAAAAACAAGAAAGCACCAGGCCCGGACAAAATCAAAGCGGATGCCCTTAAACTAGGAGGCAACCCCTTTCTCATCAAGTACAAAGTAATAGCCGAATACCTATTGATGTCAGGTTATTATCCGAACAGGTGGAAAATCGGAGAGTGCATCTTCCTTCATAAAGCAGGCAAGAATCATCGGGACGCCAAATCATACCGACCAATTACCCTACTAAACATCATGGGTAAATTGTATGAGCGCCTTCTTCTGTCACGCCTACGACAGACAACCGACAGACTCCAACCACCATTCCAACACGGTTTTACAAAGCATAGAGGTACAGGCACTCAGATTCTTCGCACTGGCAAGTTCATAACGGATGCGTTGGAAGCAAAAGAGAGCGTGGCTATGGTATCGACAGATCTCTCGAAGGCTTTCGACTCTATTAACCACGAAGGTCTAACGAAGAAGCTTCAAATAGCAGACGTCCCGAATAACATCATAAAAGTAATCGAGAATTACCTCAGCGGTCGAAAAACCTACGGTCGTTTCAGAACCACGAACGGCAAAGAGAAACCGGTGCCGCATGGAGTTCCCCAGGGCTCTATACTGGGGCCGGTCATTTTCAACCTATATGTACATGACATTTGGGACAAACGAGACCACATCCGCGGACTCAAGCTCTCACAATACGCTGACGACCTGTGCATCATCAACAGATCTCCCGACCCAAACTGCGCGACGACACGCGCGGGGTGGGCCGCAGACACCGTCATCAACTTCTACCGCCGCTGGGGGCTAAAGTGTAACGTAGACAAAACGGAGTGTGCCATGTTCACTCACAAAAGAAACTACCGCAAAACCATACGAATCAGAGGCGAGGTAATCGAATACAAAAACAGTATAAAATATTTGGGCGTACACCTAGACAAGACCATGACCATGGGCAAACAGACAGATTACGTCGTCCAGAAGGCGCGACGAACACGCAGTGCGCTGGCCCCTATAATAGGTTGGCACTCCAAGACGGATCTGACGGTGAAACTTGCCGTCATTCAGGCCTGCCTACTTCCTATACTGGACTACGGCGTGGTACAACTGCTCTCACGCTACAGTAAGAGCAATTTGTTGAAAATTGAACGCCAATATCGATTGGCCCTCAAGACAGCTGGACAGTTCCCAAGACGTCTAGAGACCGCAATTCTCTGGGATATGCTAGACTGGGATCCATGGCACCTTCGTGCACAAGATTTGAATGAGGACATGCTGCGCCGACTTGACGAAATGCACATCGAGGATTTAGAGACCCCGGGAGACGCCTATTTCAGATACGGACAACACAATCCTCTCCTGACTAACACTAGACTAGGCGAAATAAGTTATGTACCAAAAAAAGATAGGAGTCGGCTGCTCAGTAAGCGAGCAACCGCTCCTCGTCCCCATAGATTATAGTCATAGATAAGGATAGGACAATACGAAACAACATTATAAAATTATATAAATTTATTTTGTAACTACACACTAATAAGCACAAAGCACGCATTACACGACACTTATACAGATCTTTCAGACAAACATAAGTAGACTGTAAGTAGCTGACACACCCATAGGTCGAACACACTACTGGCCTGTGGATCTATAATGTAACATATAAACCAGGGAAATAAACATCTTTCTATTCTATTCTATTCTATTCACGCTGGGCCTCATAGGTAACGCCAGTACAGACGCACAGTACCAGTACCTTCCTGGCCGCGCACTGCGTCATGGACTACTCGCTGCTGCTCGGCATCGACAGCCGCACGCTCACGCTCGGCCTCATAGGTAACGCCAGTACAGACGCACAGCACCAGTACAGGGCAGCACCAGTACCAGTAAACGGCAGTATCAGTACCAGTGCGTATAAAGTTCAGACCTCTCCAATTTGTCTGGCCACCAAGGGAAGTGAAGTATTTGAATAATTTCGAAAGAAGACAGACGAACTAAATGAAAATCTATTAGTTGGTCATAGTATGACTCTAGTTCAAATGTTCCTCTTCCCACCTAGATGGGAAGAGTAGAAATAAAAATCCACTCTTCCCACCCAGGTGGGATTGGTGGAATAGGGGGTTCAATGTAATAGAAAAAGTGAAATTAAAAATAAAAGATGTTCTTTAAACACAAAGCTAAAATAAAAAGTTGAGATAAATTGGCTCAAAAACTGAATTCCGACAAACGTTACTTCGACATTACGTTACTCCGACACTACTGAATATCGACATGACTTTACTTCGACACTACACTACTTAGACAAAGGCGAATATCCTTTGTCGGAGTAGTGTAGTGTCGAAGTAAAGTCATGTCGATATTCAGAAATATCGGAGTAGTAACGTAATGTCGAAGTAAAGTTTGTCGGAGTTTACTTAGGTAGCCAGATAAATTGGTTCGGACTCTCATACCCATATTGACTCAATAAAATGTTACAGATTACATAAGAACGTTTACCTGGGACAAGAAACTGGAGCATCTGGTGAAGAAGAACCTCGGATCGGGACAGCCGACTGTGGTGTCCCCGGCCGAATACCGGCGCCGCTTCTGCCAGGCCATGCGCAAGTACTTCCCGCACTGTCCCGCGCACTGGGACAGTCTTATCCAACAGCCTGCGACGCAGCCCTAGCATTAGTGGGACAATGTTGGTGGGACATCAACACTGGGAACGCCTCATCCAGCAGATTACGACGCAGCCCTAGCATCACAGTGGAACACTGGGACAGCCTCGTCCAGCCGCCTGCGACCCAACCCTAGCAGTCAGTGGGACAATGTTGATGGCACATCAACACTGGGACAGTCTTATCCAGCAGCCTGCGACGCAGCCCTAGCATTAGTGGGACAATGTTGGTGGGACATCAATACTGGGACAGCCTCATCCAACAACCTGCGACCCAACCCTAGCAGTCAAGTGGGACACCGTTGACAGAACCACGTACCTGTGTCAATAAGCCGCTGCAGTATTCACGTATTATGATGATACTGGGACAGTTGCGGCGGAGCCCTCTAGTGGGACACCGTTGAGATTATTTGTAGTGTGTGCTTCAGTAAGTCGCTACAGCATTCGCTTATGATATTGGGAAAGTTTTGACATGTCAGCTAATTTTAGAGATGTCGCCTCGTGGGGAATCCTAGGTAAGTGTTTCAAAACGTCTAGAAAAACAAATCCAATGAAACTGCGGATTTCTAGTGATTCAATAGGAAAGATTGGCTTATTCCACTATACCCCGTTGACAATCCCCGTCAACTTGTTAGTGAACTTTTTGTTCACTATTCCCCGTTAACGCCAATTGGAACTTATAATTAATGTTATGCCCCATACTAGTATAAAGACGCTACGTCTAGTTTCAACGTGTCAAGTGGTGTCACACGGTCTCAAAAATACTCAAAATATTTAGTAGTATATTTTTGCAAACAAAATATGCAATAACGCCTTAAAATCAGATTATTATATTAACATTGGTTATGAAAGAAAGAACATAAATCGTTGGATTTGTGCATTATACCGTATTCTTGTATTAAACTTTGATCTGAAATCTTAGTTGCAAATTATGTTTATTTATATTTTTAGTATTCTATTATTCGTATAAGTTACCAAAGAGGTAAATTTATTTATATTAATTAACATTCCGTTACACTACATGTGTAATATAAAATATATTTGTATATTATGTAATAATAAAGCAACACTGTGTTAAACTTTAATATTTTTTATTTTAAAGAATTCCCTCTTAGCTTAATTATAATCTACGTCAGTTGAGAATAAAAATAAAGAAAGGGACATAAATAAAAAGTCGAATATTAAAATCAATTGTTTATTTTACCAGGCTCTCATAAGTTACATTTAGTATCATTTCTCCATACATAATAATGTTAACGATGATTGAACAAAAGTCAAATAACTTACATTTCCCACACACTGAACAAAGGCTTTCACAATGTTATTAAATTCCAGAAAATGTCTATTTCACTGGAAACCATTGTACAACATAAAGGTAGCTTTTTGATTTATTTCTTCAACCTTGTGTTAAGGCAGTAAGGTTCTAAGTACGGTAGCTACTCCTTTAGGAGGAAGGTCCATTAAGTGACGCTCAATGAACGATATATTTGACTTCTATATAAATTCTGCAACATATTCTTCCACATTCCAATTAATTTTAATTTCGGAACTATGTAGTTATATGAGAAAGTAAAATACAATAAGTAACGATACGAGATATCCTTTAGAAACAGTAGCAACAATCGTCATTGATAAATCTGATATTGAGTTACGTATAATGATAATGTGTGATAAATATAAAATCAATATTCATTATATTAATATCATAATGTAAATAAAATCAGGACATTCATGATTTTTCTTGAAATAAAGAAAATACAACAAAAATATCAACCGAATAGAATTTTCCATGCCACAAAAACATTTTTATTGAGATAAGATAAATTAAGTGTGATATTCCATACAGAATAAAATGTACAATAATTTCCATTTTTGAAATATTACTGTAAAAGGCAAAGAAGCCATAAAATTGCAACACTCAAAATATGGTATTCAGGATAGGCTATATTTAACAAACTACCACCTTACGCTTTCTTGTCGTGTCATTTCGAAGGCACGATGACATATCATGCCACGACGCGACGTCGTAACAATGCCGTTCGGTGTAGTTCTCCTCACGGCTCATTTACACATTTTTCGTTGAGGTATATAATAATTTATTTGGATTCGGTAATACATTCGACTGTTTGTATTTAGAGCAAAAGTACATAAATTACAGCCAGTTCCAAACAAATAAAAATTTGTTTCCATTAAGAAGAGTACTTTTATAAATCAGTATAACACTGATTTATTTATTATATATGTATAATAAAAATTCTTTAAAATAGAAATAAGTAGGTAATTTATACAATAAAACAAATATTCGAGCTGTACACGGAGTGAAATTCAAATGTGAACTAATAGACTTTTTACTTTCATTTTTTTTAATTCCTTAATTTACAGACGCTAGAGCCGTGTCTTCTTTTTTGTTTTAATCTAAGGAAGATAACCATTCCAAAAATATATACTCAGCTCGGACGACAAGATGCGTTTCGTTGCATATCATACGCGGCTAGCTTTCTGAACAGCGTTTAAACTAACAATCAACTTCCATTCAATTCTAAGTTTCGACTCACACAGAGGTAGGGGAAGCTCTAATATTTGGGCGACGCCGCATCGCAAATATGGAATTGTAATATTTTAATAAAAACATAATTATGAAAACACCAATAAAACTGACGGAAAAGCAAAAATAGTGTGGCGATATCTATCGACGCGACACTACTAACTAGTGGTAGTATTTAACTAACAGATGGCACTGACACACACATTAATGACACATGCCACTGCGCCTACAATAGCATGGCATATAGTTCCAAAATACTGAACTGTCCTATGCATGACATTGACAGTGGGGCGCCACCGTCAATACCGGATCGCTGGTTCCGATTTTTGCCATGTTGGAAACCATATAGTTGAACGATGGTAGCGCCCCCCTGTCATTGAGTTTGGTGGGACAGTTCAGCGTGGGTCATCTTTACCATCATACTTATTGCTTCTTTTTACATTTAATAAGTTGTTTACAATTTTCATTGTGAATGCGCTGCGGCACGCCTAAGTATACTTTATGTTTGATGATGATGGCTAAAATAGATTATGAAAAGATGCAATAGCATAATATCTACAAAATATGAATGTAAAAACATAATATAATGAGATTTCAATATGTTACTCTCACAATCAATTTTGGTTTCTTTATGTATTTCTAAATATTTACCACAAGTGTAGTGTGAATCTGACTAAATCGTTGAACTAATGGAAACTCGATGATTTTAAATAAAAATAAGCTCTTACAGCAATCTAATTGATAAATGTATCTTATTATTACATCTATTGTTCAATAGCCAAAAATATGTATTTATGGTAGTTTTGAAAACTACAATTTAGCGATTTTCACGTAAAATACATTATGTACATGGAATATGCCATAACAATAAAATTTGTACAACTATAGATACATTAATGTATGTATTATGTTAAGTATCCGTCCAGGTAATATTTGTATGTCAGTGCAGTGTTTTTATTCTGGTGAATTTAACCCTTTATAAGGGCTATATTTCACCGAGACACCATGGCGCGCAACCAGTCGCCGCTACCAACAAAATGTATACAGCTTTGCGCAACCAAACGGACACCAGGTGAGTAACTTTCTATAGAGCTGTATACATTTTGTTAGCGGCGACTGGTTGCGCCGCCATGGTGTCCCGGTGAAATATAGCCCTTAGGCTCTGTCTCTGTGTCGTTTTAGACACTGTACAATTTTGAACCCTATCCACTCGTCATAAAGTCGAGTACCAATAATAACATCTTTACAGGGTTAAAATTGAGAAGAAACACTGTCAGAGTGCGAGCATTAAAAGATCGGATTTATATTTAAGCCAATATACTACAATATTAAACAGTTTTTATTATAACATTTACATTTTAACGCAAAATTACGTAGAAAAATAGAACACATAATGTAGAAAAAAAATTTAAGACCTATTTTTTAATCGTCAGATAACTTTTATTGCAAGTTTGACATATTTTAAAACAGTTTTTGTATAGAAATATCATTGTCAGTAACCAGTCTACAGTTTTATCAGAGTAAATACAAATGAGTAGGTTATCTTCATAGAAACGCACCGGGCGCGGTTTGTATGTGAGCGCGCACGCATACACTAACAAAATTTAGCGTGGATTCGCGCTAATCATTTGTATTTACTCTGGTTTTATTCTGCAGATAAAAGTTATTTAACAGTTGTAAAATTTTAGCCTTTTACGTGTGAAATGAACAACCAGACTTTATTTCCCTTCGAAATAATACTATCGAATAACTTATAACCTAAACACCGTGCTGTGATAACCTTCAAGTGAAATCTAAGATAGTTTCAGCCTCCAACCAGAAGTTAAATAGTCAATATTAATTTATTCGTGAAAATAAATAGATCATTTCAATAAGGATTACGAAAATTTTCTTTATAATGTACATTTATAATGGTAAGCGTAACGCATTTGCATTTTTTTCAAGGACATGTTTTTATAAATTTTTCACATTAGATAACCCTAGCGATAAGAAATACTATACTTCTATTACGTTATACATTTTACACTTTTAGATTATATTGTACGTACATACAATGAGTCGCTTGTAGAAGCGGTTACTGTTCTTTTCTACAAAGATATTGATGGGATGTATTGCTCTCTTTCACTCCAGTTAAGAGTAACGGAGACAAATGACGTTTTATTGGGTAAGGAGGACTTAGAACAGATTCGTTGAGTGTATAAAACCAAGGATTTTCATGAAGGATAAATATAATAATATGATTTTCGTGAATATTATACAAATGTGGCGCACTAAAAAAGAATTCTTTAAAGACTTCATTATAATGTATAATGGAATTACAAGTTGAACAAATGCGTTACAGTGTGGACAATGGGTGTCGTGTGTGGATGTGATGTAGTGTGCTCACGTGGGGTGCAGCGTGGTGCTGAGGTTTTTCAGCTGCTCGAGCCCGGCCAGCAGTTCTCTGGAAAGATTAAAATAGAATTACAAAGTATAATGTCATCTGCTCCAGCTCAATCTGAAATAGGGAATGCAAACCTCGCGAGATAGGGGCTCAAGTGAGATCCCGCGAGTTAATGAATAACAATACTGCGAGATCTCGCCAAAATCGAGATCTCGCGAACGAGACTGCATTCTTTAATCTGAAATGTCGTCGCGTGCACACCGAAGCGAGGTTCCCACAACAGCTGTGGTACAGCACAGCTCAAAGCTGCGTTAATTCAACCTGAAATATGTCCCCTACGCGCACGACATAAGGCTTAATGTTCACCGGAGCGAGGTGTTAATGACGGCGCAGTTCTACTAGAGACACAGTTTGACCTGAAATATGTACTCTACGCGCACGGCATAAGGTCTAATGAAGCGGTTCCCGAAAGGTGGTCCGCAGAACCCTGGGGTTTCGTGGAAAGGCCGCAAGGGTTCCGTAAAAAATATTATCCCACGTTTTGTGACCAAAGTTGTTCGCTCGCACCGACTTGTTTACGCACAAGGGAGGGGCAGGGCGTGCGGGCGGAGTAGTACGGGGGTTCCGCTAGGAAAAGTATAATCAATAAGGGTTCCTTGGCAAAAAAAAATTGGGAAACACTGGTCTAGTGTCTCACCGGAGCGAGGTGTCGGCGACGGTGGTGGCTGCAATATGTACTCTACGCGCGCGACATAAGGTCTAGTGCAAGGCTGCTCAACCTTTTAAAGAGTCGGGCCAAACGGTGGATTTAGTCACTTACATTTTTGACAGCGAACTTCAGAGAGGTCTTAGGCTGAGTTGCACCACCTAACTTTGACCGTAACTATGACGTTAATCGGTGTTTTTTGTATTTAGTTTGACAGATTTTTGACGTTTGTCAAGTTAAAGTAAGATGGTGCAACCCAGCCTTAAAGTTTGTACTGTGCGCGCGGACTTTTTAATTTTTTTTTTTTCTAACTGTACATGCGCGGGCCATTTAAAATTCTTATACGGGCCACACTGTGGCCCGCGGGCCTGGGGTTGAGCAGCCTTGGTCTAGTGTCTCACCGGAGCCCGGCCCAGGTTCCCCGCTGCTTGTTGTGTGCGGCAGCTGGTAAGGCCGTGGAGCACATGCTGGGGGCAAAAAATTGCCCTCAGCCGGCGCAAAAGCCGAAGCCGGCGGTGAGCCTCATGGAGGTAGACGCGGGGGCGTCTGCCTCCTAACATTGAGGCCCGAAGTGCGGAGAGAGTTGCCCTTCTAAGGGCGACAGTTTGAGTGAGGCTGCGGCCAAAGCGTGGGGGTACGCAAGTGAACGACTTAACGGCGCCTTACGTGCTACCCCACTAAGCGCCACCCGAGGGACCCGTCAGGTTTTTAGTGGGTAGGCCCTGCCCTTCTGGCAGGGAGAGCCCCACATAACCCACCGGAACCCCCGAACCGGTGGGTATGCATTTCAATACATTTTCCTGACGCAAAAAAAAAGTGTCTCACCGGAGCGAGGTGTCGGCGACGGTGGTGGCTGCAATATGTACTCTACGCGCGCGGCATAAGGTATAAAGACTGTTCGCCGAGAGTTGATAAAAAAAAATTAAATATCAGAGGTTCTAAACTCATTATAAATTGCGGCCCGCTAATTATTTTTGTCGATATAATGAAAAAGTTGGTAGATTATCATTATTATCTCTTTTAAATTTACGGGAATTATTCCGGTTAGGGCATACGTGGGGATACGGATCAAACACGTGGCGTCCATATGTTGGATAAAAAGTATTTCATTAAATATCAAGTGGCTTATAGTGTATCCCAATGTTGGGCAGAGCCCTACCCACTGTCATACCATTCATTTCGGTCTTATGTAAAATAAATCTATTCCGTTTCACACATTGCGGCCCGCCGGCCGGGGCGCTTGACGACAGCTGCGTGGCTCGTACCATGGTACTCAGTGCGCGTTGTGACAAACGACGCCCGCCATACAGAATGCGATAATTAAGCGACAGTCGCTATTGCAAGACATTTCATAATATTTATCAACTCTCGGCGAATAGACTAGTGGTGTCTCACCGGAGCGAGGTGTCGGCGACGGTGGTGGCGCGGCGCAGGTCGGTGCCGACGCGCGCCTGCAGCGCCCGCGCCGCGCGCTCCTCACGCTGCGAATGCGCTAAGTCCTCCTGTAATGTGGCATTAACATCAACATTACACAACTATACTCATAATCTCTGCTCAAATCGGGCTGGAAGACGTAGCGTGGGCAGGCCTCCTACTAGGTGGACCGACGATCTGGTAAAGGTCGCGGGAAGAGCCTGGATGCGGGCAGCGCAGGACCGTTCATTGCGGAAAACCTTGGGAAGGCCTTTGTCCAGCAGTGGACGTCATTTGGCTGAAACGAACGAACGAACTCATAATCACTGTAAAACACTTCAATCTACAGGTCTAAAGTGGCCCCGAGACGATCAATCGCGATTGTCAATTCTACGTGATTGTCAATTGACATTGATCGTTTACAAAAGGCATTGAAGCGATTGTCAATTAAATTTACGTGATTGAAGCAAATTGATGATAATTTTAATTGAAGCTCAATTGACAGGTGCCATTGAAACTAATATTGATCGTTTCGCTGAGCAATTGACAATCGTTTCCGTCGATTGGAACGTAAATAAATTGACAATCGCAATGAGGGCTATCGTTTTAGCGCTCACCAGTTAGCGCCACTGTTAAGTAAGGTGCTGTCACTTGCTAGTAGCGAAGACAGTGGCGCCAACTTGTGAGCGCTAAAGTGGTAGGAGGACTATCGTATTTGCACTCATCAAGATGGCGCCACTGTAGAGTAAGGTCCTGTCAGTCGCCAGGGGTGCCAACTGTTAAGTATAAAAACGATAGCCCTCATTGATCGTCTCGAGGCCGCTTAACGCATAAAGCTTCAATCACACCAACGCATGCAGATCGCCATCGCCTGCGCGATCAAAGGCCAACGACAGGTCGCGCGACCCATGACAGGTCGTTACAGAGCACACAAATCTGAATCACACGAGATCTGAGGTGAGGTGAGGTGAAGCAGTTTGGTTTTTATGACATCAGAGTTTNAAAATTCGTGTTTTTTTGGTTATTTGATAAATTTCTCCAAAAAATGCCCCTATAACCGGTGGTTTTTATTACTTTGTATTATTCTCTATCGTATTATCTTTGTAAAACCAAAAATTGCATGTCTCTATCCCTATCACAACATTTGCTATGATCGTTTGAACAAAGGCCTGCCACAACATTATTCTCCGCTACAGGTAGAGACAATTTTAATTTTAACTAAAATGCTTATTTTACTTCGATATCTTTTGTTTTTATTTGAAATCTAATTTGTCTTTATCAAAATTACAAATCTAGAGCCATTTTCAGTTTTGTTGTTAACGAAGCGTTGAATGGCGCGCCCGGAGAGGCTTAGTTCAAACGATCATTGCAAACGTTGTGATAGGGATAGAGACATGCGATTTTTGGTTTTACGAAGGTAATACGATAGAGAATAATACAAAGTAATAAAAACCACCGGTTATAGGGGCATTTTTTGGAGAAATTTATCAAATAACCAAAAAAACACGAATTTTAAAGCGGATTTTTTTCAAAAAGTATCATTTTTTTATTATTTGTTGGCCTTTTTGTGTATTTTATGTATTTTTTTAGTATTGCCTGTTATTTAGTACTATTACTGTTTTTATTTTATCAAGATATACCGCTAAGTTTAAAAGTTATTATGTTTTCTTTATAATAAGTAACTGGAAGAAAAAAAATTTTTTAAAAAATTAAAAAAAAATCTCAAATTTTTTTTTACCTATTTTTTGTCGATAAAAATTGGTCTAGTTTCATCTATTTTCATATGTACACTTTAACGTGACTCACACTGTATAAAGCGACATGCAGCGTTGAAATTCAGCTCGACCTAGGTCTAGACTATTTTCTGTTAGAGTACTTACAGTAGCTCCATCCACGCCAGCTTCCAAGCTCTAAACGGCAGTATGTAGCTGGAAGGCGTAGACACAGTCATGACGTCACGCAGGGCGCTGCCGTCTCACTCTAGACCTCTCTCTCACTCTGTAGACTATGACTTACCGCAGCTCCGTCCACACCGGCTTCCAAGCTCTGGGCAGCAGTATCTAGCTGGAAGGCGTAGACACGGTCATGACGTCACGCAGGGCGCCGCTGTAGTGTCGCTGTATATAAAGCGACATGACGTCGACGACTTTCAAATGCGGCTCGACCTAGCTCTCGAGTCTAGAGTCTAGATTACCCTCTGTAGACTAGGACTCACCGCAGCTCCATCCACACCAGTCTCCAAGCTCTGAGCAGCCGCGTCCAACTGCGCCGCATACATCCGATCGCTTCTCCGTGCCTCCAGCCGCAAGCTGCCGTCTCGCTCTAAACTACTCTCCTTCTCTCTCTCTCTCACTCTGTAGAAAGTACTCACCGCACCAGTTTTCAAGCTCTGAGAAGCAGTATCTAGCTGGACGACGTAGACACGGTCATGACGTCACGCAGGGCGCCGCTATAGGGACATATAAAGCGACATGCAGCGTTCATATGCAGCTCGACCTTGGTCTAGACTATTTTCTGTTAGATTACTCACCGCAGCAGAGTCCACACCGGGTTCCAAGCTCTGAGCGGCAGTATCTAGCTGGAAGGCGTAGACACGATCATGACGTCGCGTAGGTCTGTCCTATAGCGAATTTCGCTGCATATAGCGACATGCAGCGTTCATATACAGCTCGACCTAGGTCTAGACTATTTTCTGTTAGATTACTCACCGCAGCAGAGTCCACACCGGCTTCCAAGCTCTGGGCAGCAGTATCTAGCTGGAAGGCGTAGACACGGTCATGACGTCACGCAGGGCGCCGCTGTAGTGTCGCTGTATATAAAGCGACATGACGTCGACGACTTTCAAATGCGGCTCGACCTAGCTCTCGAGTCTAGAGTCTAGATTACCCTCTGTAGACTATGACTTACCGCAGCTCCGTCCACACCAGTCTCCAAGCTCTGAGCAGCCGCGTCCAACTGCGCCGCATACATCCGATCGCTTCTCCGCGCCTCCCGTAAGGCGGCGCGTGTTGAGTCGAGCTCCAGCCGCAAGCTGCCGTCTCACTCTAGACTACTTTCCTTCTCTCTCTCTGTCTCTGTGTAGATTACTCACCGCAGCTCTGTCCACACCAGCTTCCAAGCTCTGAACGGCAGTATCTAGCTTGAAGACGTAGGCACGGTCAAGACGTCACGCAGGGCGCCGCTATAGGGACTTATAAAGCGACACGCAGCGTCCATATGCAGCTCGACCTAGGTCTAGACAATTTTCTGTAGAAAGTACTCACCGCAGCTCCGTCCACACCAGCTTCCAAGCTCTGAGCGGCAGCATCTAGCTGGAAGGCGTAGACACGGTCATGACGTCACGCAGGGCGCCGCTGTATATGTATAAAGCGACATGCAGCGTTCAAATGTGACTCGACCTAGGTCTAGACTACCCTCTGTAGAAAGTACTTACCGCAGCATAAACCACATCAGCTTCCAAGCTCTGAGCGGTAGCATCTAGCTGGAAGGCGTAGACACGGTCATGACGTCACGCAGGACGGTGCTGTAGTGTCGCTGTATATAAAGCGACATGACGTCGACGACTTTCAAATGCGGCTCGACCTAGCTCTCGAGTCTAGAGTCTAGATTACCCTCTGTAAAGAGTACTCACCGCAGCTCCGTCCACGCCAGTCTCCAAGCTCTGAGCAGCCGCGTCCAACTGCGCCGCATACATCCGATCGCTTCTCCGGGCCTCCCGTAAGGCGGCGCGCGTGGAGTCGAGCTCCAGCCGCAAGCTGCCGTCTCACTCTAGATTACTCTCCTTCTCTCTCTCTGTCTCACTCTGTGTAGATTACTTACCGCAGCTCCGTCCATACCAGCTTCCAAGCTCTGAACGGTAGTATCTAGCTGGAAGGCGTAGACACGGTCATGACGTCACGCAGGGCGTCGCTGTAGGGACTCGACCTAGCTCTAGACTACCCTCTGTAGACTATGACTTACCGCAGCTCCATCCACACCAACTCGCAACTTAAGTGATGTTCATCGTAATTATTTTTTCATTTTTTCTTCCAAACTCTGAGCAGCTGCGTCTAACTGCGTGCCTCTTGCAGGCTGTCGTCCTAGCCTCACCCTAGCTAGACTATTATCTCTCTCTCCCACACACTCTGTAGACTATGACTTACCGCAGCTCCGTCCACCCCAGTTTCCAAGCTCTGAGCAGCCGCGTCCACACCAGCTTCCAAGCTCTAAGCGACAGCATCTAGCTGGACGGCGTAGACACGGTCATGACGTCACGCAGGGCGCTGCCGTCTCACTCTAGACCTCTCTCTCACTCTGTAGACTATTACTTACCGCAGCTCCATCCACACTAGTTTCCAAGCTCTGAGCAGCCGCGTCCAACTGCGCCGCATACATCCGATCGCTTCTCCGGGCCTCCCGTAAGGCGGCGCGTGTGGAGTCGAGCTCCAGCCGCAAGCTGCCGTCTCGCTCTAGATTACTCTCCTTCTCTCTCTCTGTCTCACTCTGTGTAGATTACTCACCGCAGCTCTGTCCACACCAGCTTCCAAGCTCTGAGCAGCTGCATCTAGCTGGAAGGTGTAGACACGGTCATAACGTCACGCAGGGCGCCGCTGTATATGTATAAAGCGACATGCAGCGTTCAAATGTGACTCGACCTAGGTCTAGACTACCCTCTGTAGAAAGTACTTACCGCAGCATAAACCACATCAGCTTCCAAGCTCTGAGCGGTAGCATCTAGCTGGAAGGCGTAGACACGGTCATGACGTCACGCAGGACGGTGCTGTAGTGTCGCTGTATATAAAGCGACATGACGTCGACGACTTTCAAATGCGGCTCGACCTAGCTCTCGAGTCTAGAGTCTAGATTACCCTCTGTAAAGAGTACTCACCGCAGCTCCATCCACACCAGTCTCCAAGCTCTGAGCAGCCGCGTCCAACTGCGCCGCATACATCCGATCGCTTCTCCGGGCCTCCCGCAAGGCGGCGCGTGTGGAGTCGAGCTCCAGCCGCAAGCTGCCGTCTCATTCTAGACTACTCTCCTTCTGCCTCACTTACGGAATGTGCGAACACATTGTCCTCATTGCCCCTGATAGGGGAACTGAAACTGCGCAATCTGCGAGAAAAATATCACAGAAACAGTTCCACCAACCAAATGATCCCTCTCTCAAGGACCGGTACTCGGATATGAACTATACCCCTAGTGTAATTACTTGCAAACTGTAATAATTTATAAGTAGCTTGTAAGTACACACTCATGAACATGTACCATTAATTAGACGAATAAAATAATTCTATTCTATTCTATTCTCCTTCTGTCTCTGTCTCACTCTGTGTAGATTACTTACCGCAGCTCTATCCACGCCAGCTCCCAAGCTCTGAGCGGCAGTATCTAGCTGGAAGGCGTAGACACGGTCATGCATGACGTCACGCAGGGCGCTGCCGTCTCACTCTAGACCACTCCCTCTCTCTCTGTGTCTGTAAAGAGTACTCACCGCAGCTCCGTCCACACCAGTCTCCAAGCTCTGAGCAGCCGCGTCCAACTGCGCCGCATACATCCGATCGCTTCTCCGGGCCTCCCGCAAGGCGGCGCGTGTGGAGTCGAGCTCCAGCCGCAAGCTGCCGTCTCGCTCTAGATTACTCTCCTTCTCTCTCTCTGTCTCACTCTGTGTAGATTACTTACCACAGCTCCGTCCATACCAGCTTCCAAGCTCTGAGCGGCAGCATCTAGCTGGAAGGCGTAGGCACGGTCATGACGTCACGCAGGGCGTCGCTGTAGGGACATATAAAGCGACATGCAGCGTTGAAATGCGGCTCGACCTAGCTCTAAACTGCCCTCTGTAAAGAGTACTCACCGCAGCTCCGTCCACACCAGTTTCCAAGCTCTGAGCAGCCGCGTCCAACTGCGCCGCATACATCCGATCGCTTCTCCGGGCCTCCCGCAAGGCGGCGCGTGTGGAGTCGAGCTCCAGCCGCAAGCTGCCGTCTCACTCTAGATTACTTTCCTTCTCTCTCTCTGTCTCTGTGTAGATTACTCACCGCAGCTCTGTCCACACCAGCTTCCAAGCTCTAAGCGACAGCATCTAGCTGGACGACGTAGACACGGTCATGACGTCACGCAGGGCGCCGCTATAGGGACATATAAAGCGACATGAAGCGTTCATATGCAGCTCGACCTTGGTCTAGACTATTTTCTGTTAGATTACTCACCGCAGCAGATTCCACACCGGCTTCCAAGCTCTGAGCGGTAGCATCTAGCTGGAAGGCGTAGACACGGTCATGACGTCACGCAGGGCGCTGCCGTCTCACTCTAGACCTCTCTCTCACTCTGTAGACTATGACTTACCGCAGCTCCGTCCACACCAGTCTCCAAGCTCTGAGCAGCCGCGTCCAACTGCGCCGCATACATCCGATCGCTTCTCCGGGCCTCGCGTAAGGCGACGCGCGTGGAGTCGAGCTCCAGCCGCAAGCTGCCGTCTCGCTCTAGACTACACTCTTTCTCTCTCTCTGTCTCACTCTGTTTAGATTACTTACCGCAGCTCCATCCACGCCAGCTTCCAAGCTCTGAGCGGTAGCATCTAGCTGGAAGGCGTAGACACGGTCATGAAGTCGCGTAGGACCGTGCTATAGCGAATATCGCTGCATGTAAAGCGACATGTAGCGTTGAAATGCGGCTCGACCTAGGTCTAGACTATTTTCTGTTAGAGTACTTACAGTAGCTCCATCCACGCCAGCTTCCAAGCTCTAAACGGCAGTATGTAGCTGGAAGGCGTAGACACGGTCATGACGTCACGCAGGACGGTGCTGTAGTGTCGCTGTATATAAAGCGACATGACGTCGACGACTTTCAAATGCGGCTCGACCTAGCTCTCGAGTCTAGAGTCTAGATTACCCTCTGTAGACTATGACTCACCGCAGCCCCATCCACACCAGTTTCCAAGCTCTGAGCAGCCGCGTCCAACTGCGCCGCATACATCCGATCGCTTCTCCGGGCCTCCCGTAAGGCGGCGCGTGTGGATTCGAGCTCCAGCCGCAAGCTGCCGATGGCGTCGAGCGCGGTCGCTGCCTCGCTCTCCGCGCGGGCCCGTCGGGTGCGCTCCGCGAATAGCTCAGACCTGGATAACGATAGGGCAATTTGTACTTTTCGTCCTTTTTGTATGGAATTTGATTTTTGACGTTTGTCAAAGTTAAAGTAAGACGGTGCAAGGTTTGACTTTGACATATTTTGGCGGGAGAACGAGACATTACGACAAATACACAAGATGGGAAGAGACAGAATAGATTGTCAATTCGAAAGTCGAATCAACCTTTTGTATCGCTTCTCGTTGGCCGTACTTTAGACCCATTACGCAAACGGATTAGCAAGCTGAAGTGGCAGTGGGCAGGGCATATAGTACGCAGAACTGACGGCCGATGGGGCAGCAAGGTTCTGGAATGGAGGCCGCGTACCGGAAAACGCAGCGTGGGACGTACACCCACAAGGTGGACCGACGACCTGATAAAGGTAGCAGGAAGGCGCTGGATGCAGGCCGCTACCAACCGTGCGATGTGGACGTCATTGGGGGAGGCCTATGTTCAGCAGTGAACGTCCTATGGCTGAAATGATCATGATGATGATCTAGACCCAAAGGAAGCAAACCCAGACCAGTCACAGAAATTAAAATTTATCATTTTAAATTTCTGCCCGGCCGGGAATCAAACCCGAGACCTCTTGCATGGTAGTCCGGAATGTTGACCTATACCGTAGGTTCCTATTATATCGTAGGAATGTAAAAATTTTAGTAATTTGACCAGCTGGCCTAGAATCCACGCCACGATATAATCTTGTCGACAAATTTTAGACGACAAATGTATGAATTTATAGCCTGCCCGAGTTTAAGCTACATTTCACTGACAAACAATGGGTTTCTGCATTAACCTGCCATGAATATGGTAATCACCGAACATAAAACACTGAGTAGTACACAGCTTGCAATAAAATTATTCTAGTTAAGGTTGGTGTGGTCACACAATGCGATGACTAAGCTTTAGTACCAAAAACACAATTCAATTGGCGCTCAAGTTGTGCTATATCTCTATGATAATCAAACAAACAAATGTAGAATAATAATGTTGGTTAGTTCTGATTCTATGATGCAATTAGTATCATAGATAGCTCATGAGTTATCATCGTCGAATCGGCGGAGCGATGCGGAGAAGTGCGGAGCGTAGAAGAAAAGTGGAAATATTTAAATCTGATTGGTTATTCAAAAAACCTCTCCGCTCTGCTCTGCCTTGGTGGAAACCGGGCTTGAGTTTAGGCAGTGTATAGGTGTAAGTTTGCGAGCGAGGCAGAGACAGTAGACAGAGACCTAAAGATTCAACTACACCAACGCGTGCAAATCGCCATCACTGGCGTGATCATATTTTATAATAATAATAAATCTTTGGACAATTTCACACAGCGTCAGCTAGCCCCAAAGTAAGCAACTTAATGCTTGTGTTATGGGTGCTAGCTTAACGGATATACTACTTGTAATATACTTTTTTTGTTTTTAAATACATACATATTATACATAGTAACACCCAGACCCGTCACAGAGATTAAAATTCATCATTTCAATTTCTGCCCGGCCGGGAATCGAACCCGGGACCTCTCGGCATAGTAGTCCGTTCTGAACCACTACACCAAACGGCCGACAATATAGGCTAATAACAGGTCGCGCGACCCATGACAATCCTCGCGACCTGTCATTGGCCTATGATCGCGCCGGCGATGGCGATCTGCACGCGTTGGTGTGGTTGAAGCTTAATACCCGTTTTCACCATCAATCCCTAATTTTTATGTGACCCCTATGAAAACAAAATTCATAAAGTGTTACCATAGGGGTCACTTGAAAATTAGGGATTGATGCTGAAAACGGGCATAAGTCAAGTAACGGTCGCAGTGAGTCTGTCCCTGTCGTGCCACGAACCGCCGCTTAAGGTACAACCATAGACTATGGTTTGTCAATAGGCCGAATAGGCCGCGGCCTAGGGGCGGCAGCGTCCTAGGGGCGGCAGATTTCAGATGACGCTTACTCGATTTCAGAAGATAAAAGTTAAATAAAGATCCAACCCCACCCTAGCCAACGGGCGGCAAAACTGTAAATCCGCCACTACATAGATGAAGGAAGGGCAGACGCTGGTACCTGAGGCGCTGCACGTCGGACTGCAGCTGCTGCAACTGCGCCTCGTGGTGCGCGGGCTCCGGTGACGTGCGCCCCGGGTGCACCGGCAGGAAGTCCGGCAGGCGCATGGACTCCGCGCCTAGGAGAGAAACTTGTTAGTGGACCCGCGGAAATCTGACTAACGCACAGTGTGTTATGGGACTGTATAAACGGACATTCTCATTGATTTGATGAAACTATCACGGAATTTAAAGCTGATTTTTTTTATACAATTAGATTAAATATCAGACTATATCTTGCAATTAAAAATGTTTGCATATATTAAGGTATAATTGAGAAAAAAAATAAAAACAAAATCTTTTTTCCTAATTAACTGAATGCGTTTACGAAGCACTTAATACGCTTATTACGTGTAGTTTTAAGAACTCTATGAAGTACTATAACAATTCTGAATTAAATGTTATTAGTTAACGAGTGAGAATATTTTTGCATAATTTTGAAGTAAAAAAATAGGTAACTTTGAATTTTTATACCGCGAAAACTACTTGGAATTTTCAAACGGGAGTTTTACTATCATGTTTGTATAACTGAGCTCTATACGGTTCATCAAATAAATGAGAATGTCCGATTATAGAGTCTCATAACATACTGTGTAACGTTTTGTTTGTGAGGAGGTATCGGACTATCAGAGTTGGTGTGTAAAGAATTCGTTATCATTTGACAGTTCATAACGTACGATTATTCTGTCAAACGCTTTGTTTAACTAACTTTAATGTACGTTATGAACTGTCAAATGATTACGATTGCTTTAAACAATTCCACCTCTGATTATACAGGCTTTGAAACGATAATGATATCACTTAATTATTTCTAAACTAGACAAAATGGAAAAAGTGGATGCTGCTTCACGAGTACTATGGAACGGTATCAATTAAAAGTTACAAAATAAACTGGATCTATCCGAAAAATTAATGTTTCCAGCTTCCCTACATTTAGAGATGTGGCTGTATCACATGCATATCACTTAGCTCAAGGTGCGAAAGTAACTCTCATTTGAATGTACAAGTTTCATTTTGGTCTGAATAAGTTCCACAGCCTGTCTTGTGACACACTTCCTTGTCTTAAGTCTGTTCTTTTTATACCAGCATCCAAAGACTCATCATAACTTCATTTTTAACTTGAAAGATTTAAAATGCAACATTTAAAATTTTCAAAGTAGAATCCTTCCGTAGTACGACGTAATATCATGGGTCCCTTAAGCGTCGTTATAATCGACTCTACTGTACCACAAATATCAACTGTGCCCAATAAAAATAAAGTCATTGACTTCATATTATTTGGGTTAATCCAAGGCGAATAAATATTCATAGCATGACGCAGGCAATGACAAATGAGAAGCAATGAAATTGCACCTTCATGTTCCGTAATTATTACGAGTTAATTAATTTAATGGGTAACAAATTTAAGTTACGAGGTAGTTAAATATGTGAGTACAGTTGTTTTAACACAAGAAAGTTATGTAGACTTGAATTTTACTACACATGAAATATTTTATTATGACAAATTACCTGCATTAGGTGGCAAGTCCAAAGGAAATGTACTTCTAGGCGAAGGATTTCTTCTTGGTGAGAGATTCCTTCTTGGCGAAGGATTCCGTCTGTCAGCAGGGTTCACTGACTCCGTGAGATCCAGATTCAAGTGTGCGGGCAGGTCCAGCGGCACCGGCCCCGCTGCCTCCGCTCCCACCGGCAAGTCCAGCGGGATGCCACGTCTAGACGGTCCCGAATCATTCGAAGTCGATGCAGCACCCATATTATACACATCATAATCATAATTCCTATTGTTGTAACTGCTATTTCTATTGCTGTAACTGCTATTCCTATTGCTGTAACTGCTATTATTTCTCCTTCCCAATGAGGAGGTAGAACCCGCATTGAAACTAGTATTAATCGTAAAGTCCGGTAAATTGTCCAAGTCAACAGATAAAGGGCCGTTGGGGTTCAAGTACGCTTGCTCCACTATTAAGTGATCCTGGACGAAATCTGGCAGAGACGGCATCCCTATAGGCTCGGTGGCCACTTTCGGCTTGGGATGGAACGGCGCGTCGGAATTGTCCGTGTAAAAGTTATGCTTAGACTCCGAATTGTCCACTACACTAAAAGGTACTTCTACAGAACTACTTGAAGACGTGTTATCACTGATGCGATGATTGCTGCCATCGCTAGTCTTCTCTTTGGCTTGTGTGTCGGTCGGACGAGATTTCTCGCGCCTAGACTCCGCATGAACGTCTATTTTGGTCGGCGAATGTTGCACTGTGTTCGCGTAAACTTTAGGCCGAGCGCCCGTGTTTTCGTACGTCGAATTGCCCGGTAGCGACAGGTCCCGCTTCAAAAAGTGCCGGAATGAAAACGGATTATCCTCCTTTCGGGTAGCACCCGTCGACTCTGAAAGAAAAACGAACGATTATTGAGGAATGCCTATATATTTAGCGGACAAAAAACAACTTCGTAAAACACTCACTTGATGACGAACTTTGCGCTTCTGACGGCGAAGACGCACCATTTTCGTTGCTATTATATTTTGCTTCTTCGATTCCTAAGTCTGGTTTTGTAGCATTTTGTTCATTTTCTTGAGAGGGACCTGCGTTATTTGAATTTTGGGGAGTTTTTTTATCCGAAACACCATCTTCGTCCTCCGCCATGATAATGAAAATGACAACTAAGTGTTCGTTCAGAAACGTCCAATTCTCGTTTAGTTTTAATTTCAAGTTGCGTTCTGAAACTGCATACCATAGACAACCGAAAGATTTCAATAAGTGTAAAAAGAGGGCGCTAGCTGCATTACGCAGTTTTTTCAGTTAGTTTTGCGCGTGTGGCTCTAGCTAGTTCCAGCAACTTAATAAAGTAAGATTTTGAGATAAAGAATAGCAAACTCAACCCATAAAGAGGTAATTTTAACAATTCCCCTCAAGCTTTATCCAAGAGGGAAAGAAAGGTATGGCCTGTCTTTCGATTACGTGCTAAACCTAATGAATGGCCTATTCGGTCTATAAAATGTTATGGATGGAATGGACGGAAGGTTTAAAATAAAACGAATTACAGATTAAATTAACAGAGAATTTTATTAGGTAAATACATTTTAAGGCTTTTGTAGCGGATCCTTAAAACATTTAACACATACAGAAGTGATTAGTTATGTGCTGAAATTTACAAGATTTTTAAATAATAAGTAGGTATATTACAATCAAATAACACAACAAAATAAATTCGTTAACAATAAATGCACTTTATGAAATCTAGCTAGCGCCCTCAGCGACTCCATAATAAAATTAGAATAGTAAAACATCATAAAGTAGTAGTGCCTCGAAATTAGTAATCTAGTGGTACTCGTGAAACGTGGGATTAGTGGCACTGCGTATTTTTTTATTTTAACAGAAAATGGGGTGTGTTTTACTATTCAACTTTACTATGGTCAAACGCGTAGTGCATTTATAGTCGACCCAAGAGGTGGCGCAGCTTGCAAATTCCATCGCGGTTGCGTGTAATCCTCATATCGCACGTTCATAATCAAACTGTCACTATACAAAAAAGTCGATTTTTCAGGAAAAGCATTTGAAATGCTCAAATTTTAAAACCTTTGCAAAATGAGCAAAATGCTATTAAATGTTTTGTTTTTTGTTAAATACCAGTAGTGGCTTGTTTGGCTTTTACGGAAATATAATTATCTTTCAAATTATCATAATGGTTTATTTAATATTTAATTTTTTCCCTAAAAATAGTGTCACTTTTCCACTAAAATTGAGACAGTGACAGTTTTCAATTAAAAACATGTTGATGTTGTATTATTAATTCAGGTAGAAATGTCACTATTTTCATATAAATTTGACGATGAAAATTTCAAAATGATTATTATTAAATAAAACTAACATAGAAAAATCAGTAATTTTAATGAACTTAAAGCTTAATAATTTGGATTAAGTGGTACCAATGGTAACAGTAATAAATGTAAATTCTCGATCAGAAATAAATACGTTACACACATGAAATTACTATAAAATTACATCACATAAATCAACTTCTAAGAAAATAAGGTACTCTCTTGTTCAGGCAGCCTTTAAACAACAAGAACTTGATGACCTCGATGAACTTGACGAACTAGATAGTGATTTTTGATTTTTCATGGGAAAAAGGCTCAGAGAAGTAGGTTTAAATTCTGGATCATTATCCAGCAGCCATTACCTCTGCGAGCTATGTGCCCCGCCCACTTGTTGAGAGGCTCTACTTAGGCCATCGAGCATTATGCCTAGATCTTCCACAGTCTCAGCCATGATTACGACATCGTCCGCAAATCGAAGGTGGATTATGTACTCGTTGATATTTATGCTGAATCCGCTCCAGTTCAGAAGCTTGAAAACATCTTCCAGGGCGGTGTTGAACAGTATCGGAGATATGACATCTCCCTGTCTCACCCCTTGCTGCAACTGGATGAGTTTCGAGTCCTGATCCTGGAGACGAACCGACATTGTGGCGTTTTCGTACAAGCCTGTCAACACTTCGATGTATCTATAGTCAATTTGGCACCGTTGGAGAGACTGTAGCACTGCTCAGATCTCGATCGAATCCAAGGCTTTTTCATAGTCCACAAACGCTAGACAAAGTAATAATTACCTTGATAATTTCTTTGATTTTACTAGTGTTTGGATTGCCTGGTGGCATTTTTGTTAGATAAAATTATAACTACTTAATCATTTAAAAATCTTTCTTGTTGTTTTAATATTTCACTATTTGGATAAACACAATATTCTACGAAGTGATGAACAATCTTTTTAAAAATGTAAGAGAAATATTGTCACTTTTTGTTTTAAGGCGTTTTTCGTATTACTTTATTGTGACTTATCTTATGGTTTTGGAGTAAAAGCGTCTTTATGCTAAAAATGACGTTTTTCAACACAGAGTTTACATAACTATCACGGCGTGCCCGTCCAGATCACGTCACTACTAAAAACGTGTCACTGTTACTCACAACAAATGCCGGTTTTCCCATTAAACTCCATAACGACACTAGTGATATCTGCCGAACTATTTGAGCTTTAAGCGTGGGATTTTTACAGCATGCACTTTTCGCGGAGCGCTGATTGATGGCGTTGTTAACTCAATTTCTCCAAATTTCGTATAGTGACGGTTTGATTATGAACGTGCGATATGAACTCATGGATAAAATTCACCAAATTATATTACCCTAAATATTAAGTATTATAAAAATAGTGAACTTCTGAGCATAAAAAGTTGTGTCAACATAAACATTGAATTGTTCATGAATATATCAGTTTTAAAAGAGTCATGTTAAAGGGAGTAATTTATAAAATTTTGATGGACAGGTATTATCAAGTAACTCTGTCGACTCAACTTGTAAACAATAATTTCATTTTGTCCAGAATGAAACAGACAAAAATATCTATAATAAACATTCTATAAAAGTGGCTTAGTTTTATTTTATCTAAGAAACATGATATTGTGACCAGAATCTTTTATAAGACAAGATAATGTTATCATACATTTAATGCAATTATTATAAATGACAGAAATAGTACATTTTAATTTGAAAATTTAGAAAGAGGCAAGATATTTATTTATATACAAAGTGAAATACATTATGTATTAACAATTTTCGCATCGACAAAGATACTCGGAAGCAAGATTAAGAGAAGTTCAAAATAATTTGGCACTAGTTACGAACATTTGAGACATCCAAGTGAGAAAAAACATAACAAAAATACATACATGAACTTAAAATAATTTGTTAAACATGTTAAAATTATAAATATGGCACAAATCGATGTATTAAAAATTAGGCTATAATAATTTACTAATTTATTACCGCTTTAATTTACTAATTTTATGAAATAAACTAAAATTCTAATATACATTAACATAAAAACTCAAAATTTAGTACAGTTCTGTATGTTTAGGCACAAAACAATTTCTTTACATACACTTCTAAATGAAAAAAATAAAATAATATGTATAAGAGACAGAGTACATTCATTCAAAAAACACATTCATCGATAAATAACTAAAAAGAGAAATGGATAAATGTGATAATACAAAAAAAATATATAAACCACATTTGGCTGACATCAGAGTATGTAAGTACATAATTATTACATTAATTTGCCAAGAAAGTATCAAAACCCATATTTTTATTTCATTTACTCCAAAAAACTAGGGAATAATTACATTAATCTAGCATTTTCATTACCTATTTCGTGTATTTAAAAAGACTATTTTAGTTATAGTGCACCACAAAATTCAGATTGGTCCATCCAACTAAATATCAATTACTTGTTTCCTATTTATTGCTGATAAAAATTAACAACTCACATCATCTGCAGGGATTACTTTATGACTCAAGTTGAGCATTCGCTGCTGGGTGCAAGGGACTGGCTAGAAACCATTTTTGAAGTTATTGTAATTTAATAAAAAATATTTTACTCTAAAAAGTTCTAATATGAGTTTGAGGTTTAAACAAAAACAAAGGAAATATATAAAGGTTTATTTTTTTATCTATGCTTTCGTGGACGTTTTAAGTCAGTAACGGCAAAGTGACTCGCCAGCCAGTGCCTTACACCCTATTTTGTATTTTTTCTATGGTTAACTCAGAAAAAAGATCTAACATTACAACAGATAAAAAGGGTACTGACAGACAATGGAAGAAAAATACAAACAAAATACCATAAACAAAGAAAAATCAGTCTTTAGGATACAAAGGAAGAACCATTTCACTTTAGAAAATCAACAGTTTATAAATTTTTGTCATAAAATATCATAGTCTATTACTTATTGCACATACATAGGTATATTACTCCATAATTATGAACTTGCTTTTCAAGCAAAATATGGATAAAACAAGTTTAGTTGCAATACTTTTAGGCGCATTTGTCTATCTACTACGCAACCTGTCATAGACAATCAGCCAATGTCACTACGTACAAATAACTACGAATATCACTTTAGTAATTCACTGTACAATAAATGCTATCTCTCTATCCATTTAAAAGGTTCAAAAATAAATAAAATTGCAGGAATAAAAATAAGTATAGTTAGGTAATTATTACCAATAAGGAAAATACTTAATTTACACACATTTTACACACATACAATAAAATATTAAATTTTAGTACATAATGTAATGTAGTAAAAATATAATGAAAGTCTTCATGACTTATTTTAGTCTCGATCTCATAAGAATAAATGCCAAATACTGTTGGTTATAAGGTTTTTATTACACATAATTTATACGATTTTGTCTTCACAACTATTCGCGTGCCACAGTCAAAATAATCTGACGAGTATATTATGTTTAATGAGTTTGAATAAATAATGAATAAATTATAAAAAACCTCAGTGACTATTATTAATACAGTTAATTGAACACAAAAGTATTTCTTTGTTGACTGCATTATTAATTTAACCAATGTCTTACAAAAAATCCTCCAAATAACAATATAAACAATGTATTTTTTCCTGAACCGACTGTGACATAATTTGGCAATTTTTATTAATTCTACTAATTTTATTTAGTTACACAGAAACACATAAAAATATTTAGCTATTTACATGTACACCATACTGAAAAATCTACTCCTTTTATACATTTATAATATTAGGTGAATTGTCTACACAACTAGCTTACTATCACGACAGTTTATTACAATTCATTTGAATTGGTGCAATCATCAATAAGTGTTATAAAAATAACAACCGAATTGAAAACCCCTCCTTTTGAAGTCGGTTAAAAATGAGGATCATGATTATTTGCAGAATTGCCTGTTCCAACGACATCCATTAAAATATTATGTAAGTCTCAAATTATAGAGAAATTCCCAACTAAAAATTTAATTGCAGTTTTAATCGCGTGTTGCTAGGTAGTTATCTCCGACTGATTGTTAAACACACTTATGGTCACATATAATTTCATTGCTTTCTCATATGGATAACAATTCTTTTACATACCAGCGTAAGTACCTACAACTTCGGAAAATGCAGATAATATAGCATTATTTAAAAAACGTTATAAATGCATTTTTGTAACGCAGTTATCTTTATTATTAGGAAAACGATATTTTACCTTTGATAAACGCCCAGTTTCAGTTTCCACACAAAATTGAGTGTTCATTTAGTGCCTTGTCGTGCCCCAACAGATGGCGTTGACAGTACACTAGCTCGCGATTGGTAGATCATAAGATTTCGTTTTGTGACGTTTTGTCTTAGTTATTATTAGTATGTTTGTCTCTTATCATTTGAGAACACACGTAGCTGAGAATACATTAACATTTACGTGCCTTGCATAGTAATAGCTTTGAGATATTACATGACTACGATGCGTTTGCGAGACGCAAATATGTATAAAGTGATAGGAACATAAATGTTTATATACCGGTGTTCTATCTCGTATAATACGGCAGTGTAGTGATGTTGTGACTAACTGTAATTAGACCACGAAGAATGAGTTGCACCACCTAACTTTAACAATAACTATAACGATAACCGGTGTTTTTTGTATGGAGTTTGACAGATTTTTGACATTTTGTTAAAGTCGAAGTAAGATGGTGCAACCCAGCCTTAGATGCTAAAATGCTAACTAACATTACATCTCGATTACGTCAAAGTAAACACATACTTTTGGGACTAGTGTTAACGTTGTCTGGCTGTTATGATTGCGGGTTTATTTCAAACCTGTGCGTTCGCTAAGAACTTCATTTCTGAGTAGATCTCGCATTATGCGCTCTGTATTTTGCGACTTAATGATACACTATTCATAAATGGGTATAAGTTGTCTCTCTCATAACCTATTAACCTAAACGCCTAGGCACACGTCTTCCTCAATTAGTGAATGGCCAAACGGAGTCTAGCCGAGCCGGTGCTGTTGTAAACAACGTGAAAAATTCTGGGCTGTCAGCCATTTACCTACCAGGAGTTCTACTACTTACCCCCGGAGCAGGGAAAAGTATACGTTGAAGTGAGAGATCACTAATTGTCCTTGATCGTTTGTCAAGCGTATATGACGCGAGGGACAAACTTGACCTTCACTGGTTGGGTTTTTGTGGCGGTCAAGCTGTAGATCCTGGCTACACAGGAGTGGCAGCGGTGAGAGTCCCGTGTACGACGCGTGAATTTATTTATCTTGGGTTCATCTCCACAAAGTATAAAGAAGTCGCTTCGTCTCCGTCTGAGCGACTAAACAATTAGTTAATTCGTTACTTTGGAATTAATTTAAGTTAGTTGCTCCATGTTTGAGTCGATAGACTAAGAAGATGCAGGCATTGGCGTCACTCGAAGGCTTAGTAGGCGCCAGACGTCTGGCCCTGGTACAGATTAATAGTACCATTGACATTACCCAAATAAAAAGGTCAAACAAAGGAAAAATCGATCTTATTGACATTATTCGCTAACCAGTTTAGGTGTATAGTTGATTGACCTTTGATTATAATCGAAAAAATTTTGATACGAACGAATATCGTTGTGAACGAAGCGCATGATAGGTACTTTCCTTTCTCCCAATGCGGCAACGTCTATCTCTCCCGCTCTCTAATAGTCTGATTTAAATTAAGGTAAAACTCAGTCCCATATCTTCAACCATAATTTCATACCGTTGTTGTGGAAGAACGAAATAAGAACTTAAAATTCACAAAATGTTTTCACGTTCTATCATCATGGCTACTACGCCTTACGGTATTACGAATACTCCCGAGTTTAGATCTCATCCAAAAATTGTGTTTATCGGTGATCTCTTGAAGGACATAATGTCGACTGTACTTTATGTACGAGCTTGTTTGTCTCGTGCGAGCTGTAAATCTGTTTGTTTCCCCGGGAATGCGTTCCGTTTTTGGACCCGTTCCAGGGCGTCCATCGTAAAAATGTTTGAAATTTAATGAAAAATATGAAGATGACTTTGAAAACTGGCCACCAAAGTGGCGAAGATTCGGAGATCGTCGTATTTTTACTAACATGCAGTCTCACTCGCGCGTTTAATATAAACATTGCACTAAAACGGTTGTACGTAGAACGTATCTACTGTTCGAACATCAACAGCGTTACACTTATTTCACAGGACTTACGGCTATCCTCTTGGAGGTAAATTGGCGATTATACTTAGTATCACAGGGTCGTCTTGACCCTTAAATTCACACGTACGTTTCGTCTTGGGCGTCGGCGGGTCCGAAGCACCCGTCGAGTAGACCCTAGCTGGATCGTTCCTCGGAGACGCTGTCCAGGTCGGTGGACGCGCGAGGCGTGGGCTAGCTGAGCGTGGAGCTCGACGACGTGGATAACGACTCGGCGGCCATGATGGCGATCGTCAGCTCTTTGCGGGCCTTTTGGACCACCCACACCATGAGGGTTATGCCGATCAGTATCTGGAATTGAAGGGATAATCAACTTTAAATATTGTTAGACTACAATTTGACTAATCAGGGTTTGGTAATTGGTTCATTATTTCTTTTAATGATGTAAAAATTAATTAATGCTCATGCTTATCATCAAACATGACGATGTCATGACTGTTATACGGGCTTCGAAACCTTTCTGAATTTTAAAATGTCACTACGTAGGCAAATAACTACGAAGTGGATCGTTAGGTCATACTTCTATACATTACATGAAAACAGGTAAAACAACTGTAATAAAATAATTACAAGTTGATTGGCTAAGCAATTATGACGCTGCGCAGTCTTCGCCTTGACTTATGTCCTTATCATAAAGAATGTGGTTGAGGAAAAGTGTTTTATTAAGGAAAACTCCTTGTATACTTCCCAACAGACTGGCCATAAGAACATAATGTTACAGTTCCTTTTACATTGACAAGGTAAAGTGGATAATCTTTCCTTGACGCATTCGGAGTTTAGAGACCCCTGTTGAAATTCCCACTTGGCTACCTAGTGACTAAGCAGCCATAGAAACTTGCCTAACTTTGTTTTAACTCCTACTTACTCATTTAAAACTATATTTTAAAGCATACTGATTAACTTTGTCATGCTTCACGCGATTAAAACACAATTTCTTAACAAAAACATTTAATATTTTTAAGTATCCCTATCGAAGTTATAATTTCTTACTTCAAGTTGTTTTTGAGACAAAATAATTAAAATTACTTGTGGTGACATAGATATTAGTACAGATACAGATAAATCTTGTGTCATTAATAAGCTATCTTCAATTGATTCTGATAGTAAATTGAATGAATGTCATTGAAATCTAAATAAATCCTTTGAAGATACACTCGTTCAATATGTAACGATAGTAATCAACACAAATCTTTATCGTTCGGATGCAATCGAGTCTGAACATCAATCACAATCTAGTTTAGATAAAGCTTCCATTTAGATATAAAATATTCAAATCGGTAGAGCAATCGAAAGATACGTCTCAAGTATCGAATAATCCTACAAGTTTATGTTTGCTTGGTTGAATGCGCTGATCCAGAACTAAGTCCGTGGTTTGAAAAACGATTTTTGTTGTAGATAGCCCATTTATCGACGAAGGCTATAGACTCATCATCATAATAATTATTACGACTAATAGGAGTAGAGAAATGAAAAAGTCGCGGGCAATGTCTAGATTTGTATAATACAGTTTGTTCGTTCGTTTCAGCCGAAAGACGTCCACTGCTGGACAAAGGCCTCCCCCAAGGATTTCCACAAATTCCGGTCCTGCGCCGCTCGCTTCCAGGCGCCTCCCGCGACCTTCACCAGATCGTCGGTCCACCTAGTGAGAGGCCTGCCCACGCTACGTCTTCCGGCTCGTGGTTTTCTGCCTTTCCTTTCGCGCCAAGAATATGCTAAAGGACGCTGTTATAATAGTAGTATGACAAGATAAAATGTTGGACATTAAACTATTTAGTACACCAATATTCGTGATGGACTATGATACAATTTTATGTATAGTACACCTAGTATTCATAAATGTGTCAGGACTTTGGATACTTGTTATAAGTTAACATCGCGGTCCAATATGTATCCTATCTCAATGCTCGTTACAAAATCTATTAATATTTTAAATTCTCATTAATCGGAAGGATAATGGCACATTGTGCAATAAAGATTACGGCCAGACAGTACAAACGCGCAATAATCTGCACTTGTATTCTGGCAATAGATAACTGAGCATTTGAGCCACGAGACAGAGAAGAACAGACAACTCATGAATCCAGTGTTTTTTTTTATTATAATTGGCTTTTTGTTGATGAGCCTGTGGCCCTGTTTATGAATTGAGATTTTTGCCTTAAGTGTGCTCATCTTCTAATCAAGTTTCTTAATTCAATTCATCCTTGAGTAGAATGCTCAAACTAGAAATCTTAATTCAGAAACCGGGCTTGAGACATGTAAATGCTATCAACGGTAAATTTTATTAGGCTTGCCTAGAAGATATTAATTCACTCTCATCTTAAATGAACCATAGCTGCATAAGTTTGATGAACACAAGTGAATTCCGGCGGACATAATGTCATGTCACTAACAAACAGACCACTAGGTACTACTTTACTAGTATAGCGAAGAGAGAAGACACCACTGTGTTAATTCCTGGCCAAAAGAAAGAACTTTAGTGAAATCCATGTATGTTTTTACGGTTTTTTTTACTTTTTTACCCATTGCCTGTAAGTTTCAGAGTGGCATTGCTCTTCCAGATGGGCTATGCCTGTGGGGCTTATCTATATTCCAGTGAAACTAATCAACCGATACCGTTGTTTGTACACTTATCTTTGCGCAGTAGAGCAATAATTCAATGGGTATTAATATAATTCATTTTGAATTAATTAATTATAAGGGAATTTTACGCCAGTTAATCTTTGTTGAGTTAATGTTACAGGGAAAATGGAATAATAGGTAATAGAGTATGAGAGTGTTGTACAGCTGTTGACTTGAACAATGATTATTTGTTGTGTAACAAATGTGCAAATATTCATATTCATATTAATTTATTCACTTAGCAATGTTACAAATGTTACAAGTTCCAACAATAAAGGGTAGTAGAAGATGTTCAAAATATTACATTGCTACCTCCTAGAGGTATATGTGATTTGCAAACAATAAAAATTAGGCATTTTATCCAATACATAGTGCCTTTGTTACGGCCCTTATTATAACCGTCATATAAATTATTTTTAGGCCTACTTATCTATCTTTGCTAAAATTCGCTGACATAGTGGTCCTAGCTCTGCAGCTCTGGGAAGGGAACAAAAAGTGTGGGAAATAAGAAGAATAGAATAGTGAAGCAGCTGCGAAATTTAAACAGCTGAAATAATGTGATAACAATAAGGTAGGTACTTTACCATCAGAAAATCAATGATTATATCCTTTTGGTTATCGCTATGATAAGGTACTAAGTACATTACTTGTTGAGAATCAGAGCAACGCAATAATGCAGTCCAATAAAATTGCGTCTCGCAGGCCAATAAAGGCTGGTATTATCATATGACACGCGAATACAGTAGAACCAAAACTCAGTGAGCGCACAGAGACAAAAAAATCCATAAACTAACTACAATGAGCATGTTGTGTGGAACTACAAAGTCCTTGAGTAAAGACTTTTTTTAACCACAACGAGGAAGCTCTTGGTCTGCATCTCACCTGATGGTAAGTGATGATCAGGCCGAAAGTGAAGCGAGCTTCACCCGGAATCCTCAACCACAGAGGAACTGGCTATCTTACCTCTTAACTGCCGGAACACAACAATGCTGTTATCATTGTTGTTATGGCGGCATTAAAGACTCCGGCTTAGCAAGCACAGCGTAACATTCTAGCGAAATGAACTGGACGATAGACGCCAGGCTAGCGGTTGATAGGAAAGAGCTTTGGTCCATCAATGGGTGGAGGTATACAGATGGTGATCGAAGGTGACTGCTAATTATTGTGGCCCTTAAAAATAAATTATCTTCAACCACTGGCGGCACGGGACTATTCCCACCTCTAGTTCCCACCACTGCAACTCCTAAATTGCAGTGGTATGGTGGCATAAATAAATTAAATTAAGGGGGCCTATCTTATGATGGCGGTCCACTGGCGGCAGTATGTTTTTTCGCTACTTAATTGAGTGCTGCACTCTACCTTTGTCCAGTCATAGTTACGAAAGAAGACCCAGCTTATTACTATTACCGAGCCTACTGCATTAGATCCTCTGATGATATCATTGCCAGCCCCTCGTCCGTAGGGACTGATTAGCATGGCCCCCGCCTGGATTCAGTAGGTTGAATGTTTTAATTCGTAATGGTTTGAAATAAAAACAAATAGGTAATGTACTAGTAGAATTGAAATCCTAATTGAAACAAAATCTCTATACATAGTAATATGGAATTACACCAAGTAAGTTAAATTCCAATTACTCATCCATGAGCATGATACGGGAACTTGTCGTATTTGAAATCACATAATTTTCCTGTAGAAAGAAGATTGCAATAAGTCGATGACAGTTGCACAAAACTGGCGAATACAAAGAAACCCTTGGTGTAATGTCAGCAATATGAGAATTCTATCGGTTACAGCAGATTCTGTTTCGCGTCTTAAAAAAAAATGATAGCAAACGATTTTGATACGATTGACGCAGAGATGTGAACTGAAATAGCTTCACTGCGATGATTTCGCGGGGGAGGGGTGCTACTACTAACGAAAGTTGGGGATTACTCCATAAACATCATCCGAAGTTTCCAATGTTGTCATTCCTTTCACGCAAACCCAGATCCAGCATGAGCGAGGATGACAAATAGACCCAAAACTCCTAAGTAACGTTGTTAACCCTGCTGGTCATGATTAATATTGTACAAACTTGAAACGCGAACACGATGTAGCCGTGACGTGAGAGTCATCCAGCACCTCGTATATACGAAAGTTGGGGATTACTCCAAAAACGTCATCCGAGGTTTCCAATGTTGTCATCCCTTTCACGCAAAACCAGATGCCAGCATGAGCGAGGAGGACAGATAGACCCGAAACTATGATAGCGTTGTTAACCCTGCTGATCATGAATAGTGTACAAACCTGAAACGCGAACACGATGTAGCCGGTGACGTGCGAGTCATCCAGCACCTCGTGTATGGACCGTAGGGTGGAGCCCAGGTACACGTTGATGACCTGAGCCGGCAGCAGGCCCAGCAGCGTCGCTAGATGGTACCCGCATCCTCGCACGTCGCTCACCTGAAAAAGAAGAACGTGACGTCAAAAAAAACTACCAACAGAATTGAGAACTTCCTAATTTTGTTGAAGTGGGTTAAAAAGGATTAATTTCTTTAATCGTGTCTCTTTTCTCAACATTTAGGGCCCTTTGAAAGGTTTATGATTCTTCTTCATTTATTTAACTTTAATGTTCTATCAACTTGACTTTCATTAAGCCGGTCGTTCCGGTCCACTCGGAAAAAAATATATCGTACAGAAACTCACGATCGTTTTATTCAGGTGAGAAAGGGTTAAGGAGTCTTTAATAAGACGTTTTGAGCCGCAAGTTAGCCGTCCGTTTGTAGGAAGAGGAACGCACATGGAAAATTGTATAATAACTGTATTGGAATTTTGGAATAAATGTGTAGCTTGACGTCCTGCTCTAAACGTCTAATTTGAAAGAGTCCTTATATTTTTCAACGTGGATCTGAAGAACCGGCTTAATGAAGCAGGGGATCATTACAGGAAAATCAAGTTGATAGAACATAAAAACCAAGTAAATGACGAAGAATCGTAAACCTTGACCTTTGAGACTGCCAACGACTAGTTTTTGTCTTGTTTAGACCGAACCCGAGATGGTAGATATCTTTATCTATTTATTTTCTTCAGTAAAGGAAAGGAATACGACTGCCTAAGAATGGAATCCAAAACAGAAGTATTAAGGTTGTATTGTAATAGATACCATAACAGATTTGGGTCATTTAATACATGGAAGACACAATCATTGCTTCATATACATTGATAAATAAACGTTCCGATTACATGAAATACTAAGCTAATATTAAGCTGTTAGCTCAACAGCCAGACCTGTAATTCTACAAAAATCAAGATTAAAAACTGTATTTTAACCAAAACTGTATACTATTACCACTTTTCCCAGAATAAAGTCATTTAGAGGGCGAGAAATGTTTACGATCCAAGAGTAGAGTTAGACTGGCCGCTTGGCTCCATTTCAGATTAAGCTATTGAGGAATTTACATACAATGTAAAAAGCAGTTAAACTTACATAACTTCCAGAGGTTGCATGTCTAAAAAACAAGTAACGAAAGGTTATTGTTCGCGTTCAAAGTTTACTAGTTATTATGCAATTCGCTATTGAATGGGTTAAAATAGGTAGCGCCGTTACTATTGTGGTTTATTGGGCTTGAATCGGCAAACTTGACAAACTTCCCTCGTAGTAAAATACTGCTGTTTAAATTGGTATGATTTATCTATCAAAATCGAAACAAAAACCGATAATACAGTTTCAAAAACTAATTTGAATTTCAAATCATGTCCGTTGTACCTATTGTATCGAACAACCCACGAGTTTATAATAAGCAAAACAGTACTAGCATTTTGTTAAACGCCTTTACTGCCAGTTCGCGTGCCTTTAGCATATAAAAGCACTTTTATCAAGTGGTATAATTAAGCAAAACAATGCTGAAAATAAATGCCGTAACACGACAAACATTCGTGGATGGAATTAATTTTGCGAGCAAAACAAGGAAAAAACATTGGATAGAATAGAATATCGTGTGGACCCCGCAGACTTTAAGTCGGTCGGCTTTCAATTTGTATGAGGAATCGGCCGATACCAAATCAGTGTAGTGTGCAGTTCTATACAAGTTGAATACTGATGAACAGTCAACAGCCCAAATCCAAGTATTGGCCGACTAAAAGCACAGAATAAGTAATAGCATAGTACCAACACCAAGGTAAAAAGTATGTTGTCTGCAGGGTGTACAGAAAGTGGAACATGTTTATGCTGGGAACCTCGCTGGTGAACCACATCATGATAAGACGGTAGATATTTGCAGTTAATGATCACACAAGCTAATTTTACGGTTTTAGGAACAGTGACTTTTCAAAGGCAGAGCAATAAATATAAGGAAGAGAATTGGTTCAATGATCTAAAGACGACATTTAATTTTAAATGTAAAATGTCGCTAAAAATCTCATCCCATTACGACTTCTATCGCCGCTAAAATACAGTCCATTATAATTATCGTACCTACAAAATGGAGAGATCGACAACAGTCTCTCTGTCTATACGCTTGTGGACCTCAACAAGACTGTAAGTCAATAAACAAGGTCGAAAAACAAAACGTCATAGAAGTATTGGTTAACAAAGGGGAAGACCAAGGATACCTTCGACGTTTGTACATACGACAGCTACCAGCTACACTGCTAACAGCTGTTTTCCAAGATCATATAATCAGATGTGCCGTGGAATATTCTGATAGACTTTTCAAGTTCCTACTGGAAAAGGGAGGAATTGCCAAGGTTCGCGTGAACAGAAACTGGCCATGAAGCAAAATAATCCAGTATACTTTAACTAGAACACGTCTAGCGCATTAGCATTCGTGGATAGAAAACGTAGTTAAAAGGGGCAGTTATTTTAACTACCCCCGCCGTCACGCAGGCGGCAAATTGGCTGGAATTCTAGCTAATAATTAAGCTGTTGGCGCTGTTGCCCTTGACCTTCATCTGTTTCAGAAAACACTACGCTAAATGGAATATTTTTAATGACACTATTGGAACAGTGGCGTAATAATTATTCCATTCGTCCGCTAACATTAGTGACATTAGGTTATTGATTATTTCAAATATTAGGTAGCAGTCCTGAATAGTTTTACACCTACTTGATTGAATTAATTACAATACAATTTTATCACTATTTTTACGTATTTTCGTCAGCATATTGCTTACTTATTCAACCATATCTAAAGTTATTCTTCTTGGAAGTTGCAACGGTTCAATTAGCATAAGAAAGAATTGCGACCGAATCGAACGTGACGTCTATGTTTGGATTTGCTGAAAATAACTCTTTAGTCAATACGCCATTTACTGAAGCCATTATGTATACAAATGTTAATGTGTAAAATAACGCGACACTGAAACGCATTACCATGATTTGGTCGAGCTTATTATCATTTTAAAATATTGTATTTAAATAATGTCCATTTAGCAGGTTCGAGTTTCCTACTTCAGCGGAGTATAACAACAATCATTTTAGGACAGACCCCTATTTAATTCTACACATAGGCCCATTTTCTGTACTCATCATCTCTAGGATGAATTTTATATATTTTTTTACTTGATTAGAAAATGAGCACGCTTAGGCAAAGAAAATCTTAATTCAGAAAGCCTGCCTAAAAATAATGTGCTTGGTTTTTTAAACGACGTAGTATGAATCTACATACTGCTAGCTAAACTAAACAAATCAAAATAAACGCGCGCATGATAAATCATTCGCGTCTGACGCTGTCGAATTTCAAACGGGGCAATTCAATCAAAAGCACGGGGAACAATGGAAAAATAATGCGCGTATGGTACAGTCAGCGTCAAACAGTTCGTGACACCCAACGTGGTCAAAAAGTTGACAAGACAACCTTATTTTTTTTTATCCACAACGAGGAAGCTCTTGGCCTGTATCTCACCTGATGGTTAGTGACGATCAGGCCGAAGGTGGAAGCGAGCTTCACCCGGAGTCCTCAACCACGGAGGATTTATTGCAACTGTAACAAACACGTGTTGCGAACTTTTTGGCTACTTTGGGTGTCACGAACTATTTGACGCTGACTGTACAGACCAGCACATCAAGCTATACATTGTGACATCTTTATGTGGTTTTAATAAGAGCCATTTTGCAACAAAAATATAGTCTGGATGTTCTGCTGACTGTATCTATTTCGTTTCCCATTACTTTTCGCGTGAACGAGTGAAATAAAGGACAATGTATGGGGAAACCATTATTGAAAACTCATTGTATGTTTTACAAAAGTGTTTTTGACTTTCTATAGCGGACCAGACATTCCGTAGTGGTTGCAAGGAAGGAATAACGGTAAAAAAAATACATTTTGCGTGGAAATGTCATTTTAACCATGATGTGTTTATCGTTATTTTTTTTTGTAATAAGGCCCATAATGTCTGGTTCGCTTGTGACAGACCAAACAGCAAGTGGACAAACTAGCGGGCAGGAGCTGATGTTATTTATACGGGATATGGGGTAAACCAGGCTCTTCTCGTGACATTTACCAGATCGTCGGTCCACCTAGTAGGAAGCCTGCCCGAAGAAGAGAAAAATCCGTGAAGAGCCTGGATACGGGCAGCGCAGGAGCTGAACCGTTTATTGTAGAAAACCTTGGGGGAGGCCATTGTCCAGCCATGGAAGTCATTTGGCTGACAAGAACGAACGAAGGGGTAAACATTAAAATAGCGAAAATATTACACTTTTCCATAAACTTTTCAAACAATTTTCTAGCGTCAGTTCAACGCAGCACGTAGCGACCTCGTCCAAGGCGGAATGTAAATATCCGCGGTGTAAAGTAAACATTTTATTTGTAAACTTACACGTTTATATTTGGATCGGTGCGTAACATGCACACTGAAGTCAGACAACAACACAAGAGACGCAGTAGGATTTTACTGTCAAAATTTTTACGTACGATAATAAATTGTTAAAAAATAAATCTAGCTGTAAATTCAACTCATCACTAACATTCGCACTCAGCGGGATTTGAACCCGCAATCGCATCTGACGTTGTTGTAGGGTTATGCGAACCACCATAACTGACGCGGACGGCAGGCAGTAAACTAATGCGGGTTCTATTGTAGTTTCTGGTTTCATGAGATTATTTATTAGTCTCATACAGTGGTCTCATAGGAAAGCAAAAATAAACTAAGTAAAAATCTGAGAATTTTTGTATTTTTCTGAAAAATTTTGAATATCCAATTTATTGCAAAATCATCGACGGCACGTCATCCTTCCTTATCACTCTTTGTACATTTTACTGATATTCTGACCACTTACTGGAACGCCTCAAACAAACATAACGATATGGATAGAAATCCCCCAAGTGAATCAAAGCGGATAAAATATTCTTTAGCTACAAGTAAGTACCTACAGTCGACAGTATATCAGACTATACATTCTCGTTCCAAAATCACACCTATCACCAATACATAGGGTGCTGCACATCTCGATGTGCTGTCGTTTGTAAAAC